CCGCGGCTTTGGCCGTCCCTCTGCCGAAACTTTCTCTGCTTTGGTCGCAGCCGCCGAGGAGGCCAGAGGCTTTCACCCTTTTGAGCAGATTGGCCTAGCTGGAAAGCGAACGGCGAAAGCTAAACATGTCTGGACAGCAAATGAAGGATCTTCTGCTAAGAGATTCTATCAACACAACGAGGTTTGGCAATCTAGCAAGAGAATCTATGTCTGGAGACTAATACGAAGCATAGTATGCTCGATACACTCGCTTCCCATCTACCATTCATTTTTACTCTGTGAAGAAGGCGCCCAAAGGTTTGCAACACAACCACGGCAGCTATGCACAATTGCTAATGTATTGATTATTTGAAACACAGGCGGACTTTCACCAATCGCCCACACAGCCAATGTCTTCGATAAAGTGAACGCTGAGATCCCTGAGCTGGTTGAGGGAGTGCAGAAGCGCGGACTCGCCATGAAGATGCTGTTCCGAGCTCCAGGGAACGAGGGAGATGACAATCAATTTAACTGGGCCGGGGAGTTCAGCTTTGGCAAGGAACTTATCCCCGAAGATGACGAGGCTACCCAGAAGCGAAAGGTCGAGAAGCAGGTGCAGAGGCTTACTTCAGACTACAAGTGGACTGAAGATGGCAGCATCGAGCTGACGCAACATATCCCCGGTACGTGGTTAGGTCCATTGCCCTGACTAGAAACGTAGTAAACTGACCTGTCTTTGGTTAGGGATTCGGCGACACCCCGTCAATGGTAGGCCCCTGTGGTTTAATGGCCTCTTGGGCCGTCACGGAACTACAAGGGACATTGGTGCTCTGGACCCTCCATACATTGGACGGGACAACATGACTTGTAACAAAAGCCCCTCCCAATTCTCGTTCGCGATGAGGCTAATGATGAGCTCCTAGATCTTCCGTCTGTTTATGGAGATGGAACACCAATCCCGCGCGAGTATCTCGACAAGTTGATTGACGTTGTCGACAAGGAAGAGCTTCACTTATCACTTGAGGAGGGTGATATTCTCCTCGTAGACAACTACCAAGTCTCTCATGGCAGACAGCCATGGGAGGGAGAAAGAGAGCTGCTCGTGTCTATGTGGGAAGGCCCTACGCCTATTGGAGCATATTAAGAAAAGTTAGATGCAGTGGATAGCCAGTTGGAAACATTTCAATCAAAAATGGAGAAGCTAGTCGGCTCGTTTATTATTAAAACTAGTTTTCCAGTCAGCCCACCGATAGACATGTAGTTTCAGCAGAGAGATCTATAGACCCTTGCGAGGCTTACCAGTACACAGTGAGTGGCTCGATGACAAAACGTAGAATGATATGGATTCCCTCCTCTGTCACTAGCAATGATGAAAAAGGGTTGAAATAGGTAGGAAAACGCCAAAGCCGTAGCATAGCATGACAGCCCATTGCTCATTCTCTTGCTCTTTGGGTGCTCCCAGTACAATGGGTAGGCTAGTCTAGGGTCAGTTTCCAGGGTCCAAAGATCTTAGCCGGTGACTCCACATAGGAGGAAATCTTGAGGCAGCCACGCCATTAGTCCCATAATGACCTCTTCCTACCCCAGTATGTCAAGCACGCAATATTTGTCTGAATAACGACAAAGTTCGGTCAAGGCTGGTATCTTGCCAGTAGATATTAACTAAAAAGAGTAATAGCCTATCAAGATTTATATAAGCAACCATCAATCGCTAAATAAAGCGATACCTGCTCTTTCAATAGGGCAAATAAGTTTTATTCTGTGTCAAGAATCAACAGCATCGTAATAACTACCATGGCGGTGGATACAAAGCCTGTTACCACCGTAGAGGAGATTCCTCCGGCTACTTCTGGACATGCAGCTTCGGTCGATCCCGAATCTAGGAAGCTAACATGGAGAGGCTATATTTGGGACACTCTTGATATGCCTCCTGCAGAACGCCGTCTTCTACTCAAGGTAAGAAGTTTGCAGATCTTCTTTCAACACACATTTCGGGAAGTTTTCTAACTCATCAAAGGTTGACCTCACAATATTAACCTTTGGCTGTCTTGGAACCTTCATTAAATATATTGACAAGTATGGTTCAATGACTTTCATGCAAACAGATTGCGTACTAATCCTATTTAGAGCAAACCTTACATCAGCGTTTGTCTCAGGGATGAAAGAGGACATGAGCCTCTATGGAAATGTAGGCCATACAGTCCGCAGGGTCCACGTCGTTACCCTCCTGGCTCACAACTTCAAAGGAAATGAACTACGCCAACACCGCCTATAGTGTCGCAAATGTGAGTCTAGAAGTTATCCTTTTGTTTATTCTGTTGTTGACCATACAGATTCTTGCGTTGTGGCCTTGCAATCTTGCTCTCACCCGTTGCAACCCTAGATGGTTCATCCCGTATGTACTCTCTCGCCTCCACAGCTAGCCAAATCTGATCTAACTCGAAGAAAGTTTCCTAGAAATCGCATGGACCATTGTGTAAGTATTATGATTCTCTATCTACCACATATGTGGACGTGGTCTCACTGTTGTTCATAAAGTACCCTAGGACAGGCATTCATGCACACACCTACGCAGATGTATATCCTACGATTCATTTTGGGCGTATTTGAAACGTAAGTTTAAGACCTAGAAACCGTCCAGAAATCCAGCTGACAGCATTAGCGGCCACTTCTCAGCCAGTAAGATTTCTATCAATCTTGGCTCAGCGACTCATTGGTACTAATAATCGAAAGTGATTTATCTCTGTGGTGCTTGGTATCAGAAAACCGAACTCGCAAAGGTATATTTTCCAACTTAGAATCCTAGATATAGCGCATACTAATCGAGGCAAAAGCGAGTGGCAATCATCAACTGCTCAACATCGATTGGGCCCATGTTCAGCTCATACCTGCAATCTGCCGCGTATACTGGTCTCAATGGTGTACATGGAAGAGCTGGTTGGAGATGGGTCAGTCACGCTTTTCCATAAAGCTATGAAACTTTCTAACGTATCTTCTCACAGTTGTTCATCATTGATGCGATTGTCTCGGTTGGGATAATCATCCCACAATTCTTCTTCTACCCAGATGTTCCTGCCCGACAACAACCCGACTTCATCTTTACTCACGAAGTAAGAGAAATGACCAGAAATGACCCTCGATAATTTCAACATCGGACTTCCTTTTCTGACCAATAAATAGGAAATCGAACTAGCTAGAGACCGCAATCCGAAAGAAGGCCGGGTCAAGCAGGGCAAATTTACGCTTGCCCAGGTCAAGCGCTGGTTCACAACCCCAGATATTTTCTTGCTCTGGGTCATCGCAATGTGGGTACGATTTCCTCTTGGGCGTAGCTTTTACTAACATAATGCTAAGGTCCAATTCTATTTGTCATATGCCTCAACACTCGATGGCATATTGGTTCAAAGCGTGGAACAGTATCAAGCCAAACTCTTACTCGGTTGCTGAAATCAGTACGTACTCAATGAACCACCCATAAAAATTTCCGCCTAACTCCTGAGACAGACAACTACACGACTGGGATTGGCGGCGTCACCGTCGTTCTTATGCTTATCTTCGCCTGGCTAAGTACTACTCTCCTTTCTTGAAAATCTCATCCAAACCTAACCAGAATTACAGGTGACTCAGTTCTGAGAGGGCGCCGATGGCCGCTCCTAGTTGCTGGAGGAATCGTTACCAGCGCAGTGTGCTTCACCCTTGCTGCGACACCCGTGTTCCCGCAGAACAAAGCGTTCAGGTGGTTTCTGTACTACAATACAAACTGGGCGTTTGCAGCGAACTCTATGTACTGGAGTTGGGCTCAGGACACATTGTGAGTTCAAAGAGCCTAGAGAAACTCTTGTGTGATCATTTATACTAACTGACCTGTAGGTCTGGTGATCCAGCAACGCGAGCATTCGGAGCAGCTGGTCTCAATGTCGTCAGCTACGTTACCATCGCCATTGTGTAAGCCCAAACAATTTTTCGCTCGGCCGAGAATTGAGCTAACTGAGATATCTAACTATAGTCCGTTATTCGCCTTCCAAACCGTTGATCAACCCGGAGTCGTTGGTGGCAATTTTGGTGCTGGTGCATTCGGTATAGTCTATGCTGGCACGGCTTTGCTCCTCGCCTATATTCAGTATAGGCGGAAGGCCAAGCAAACTGTGGAGGAAGATTCGGACAATTAGCAACAGGCATAATTTTTCAGGTCTGGGTTAGCTAGCCTAACCAACCATATTCAAGGCAGTCCTTTAATGCAGAGCCCCTGCAAAGAACGGATTACAAAGGAATATGAGCACTAGAGGGTATCATTGGAGATCAATTACTCTTGAGGAGTAGATGTGGCACACCAGACTTTTGTTCTTCTAGCACTTTTAAGGAGAGCTAAATAATAGATAAGAGTTTAGCAAACGTATAGAATATTTATCAAAGAGATATCGATGTACGGGGGCTGTAGCACTCAAAGAATCTCTGTCTAGTTGGACTAATCAACATGATTGCGGGTATGGTATCTCTACATCATCGTAGGTGCAAATATACGGCCTAAATCACGTATCACAAAGAAGGCTGCCGTTAGACGAGATGGTGTTATATCCACCCAATTGCTAAAGGATGATGTAAATGCACCTCTCAATACTTTACATTGTCGTGTCCTATTTCGCTAGTTTGCTTCATCATGCCAGCTATCCCTTAGCTGAAAAAGCCGAACAAAGGCTTGCAAAGCGCGCAACATTAAATTACAAAGAATCTTCAGCCTAGCGCGTGACATTGTCGAAGCACTCTACTCCTACATTTGTGATAAAAGCATTTGGAACAATCGGTATACCTTATTTCATTCATTCGTTCTCATATATATCATTATAACCGCCATAGGGTGAACATGGCTATCTTCCCTTTCAGCCAGCTGCCATCTCTTGGCCTAATTGACTACGTGCTGCATAATTAGAAAGGCAAAACTATCTTCTGCGTGTCGTCATCTCTCAATATTTTTTGAAGGATGAGACTCGCGCAAACTTGTCAGTTTTGAGTCTATACACCGCTCAACACTCCCAATCTGGACGACCGGCGTACCAGTGGCGATGGCAGTTCTCATTAGGGTTGAACTCAGCGGCGTATACGCCCTTCACCGAAACCTCATCGTGCTTCCGCGGATCGAAATCGATTAGCAGTGCCACAGTGTAGCCAGCAGCCACCAAATAGCGATTATCCGTCGCCGAAGAAGCCAATCCGAAGAAACTCTGCCCCTCGTGCTTGATGTCCGGGGCTCCCGACACGCGCATTGGAGTCGGGTGAGGCTTGCAGCCAACTTGGTATCCAAACCGCACCGTCCCATCTGCTGAGTCGGCACTGCGCCAGGCCGGATACCGCTCACGGTCGCCAGCGGCCACAGCAGCACCGTGGTCATTGAGAACCAGCTTCCAGTGCCAGATGGTAGGTTTCAGGTGGATTGGCTCGTGGAAGAATTCCCGCTTGTCGATGTCGATGTAGATCAGTCTCTCGACATAGTCGAAGTCCCGGTCGAGGCGGTTATGCCCAACAAATATGTTCGTCTTGGGGAGAATGAGGCCAGTGTGCTCGCCAACGAGCGTCTTCGTGAATACGATTTCCTTGCTCCCGATGTGATAAGCGGTGAATATCTTCTGATCCTCGCCGCGTACGTCTGCCAGCGACACCACGTAGCGATTGTCGTGTGTAATCCAGAGCTTGGTCTCAATGTTGGTGCCCATCTCCATCGGCAACTCGAGGACACAGAATCTCCCCTCGGCGCGATTGACTTGCGCTCGCCGCTGCGTCTTGAGCACCTGCATCAAGGTATCGCCCTGCTCCGACCCAGGCAAGTCGGCTTTGGGAACCAGCTGTCGCAGGAAGGGCGATACCAACTCAGGCGCTGCCGCCGCCCCCTTCCATGTGCGGCAAACCTGGCTCGCCGATATCAGCGCATCGATGTCGAGATGATGGAATATTTTCAGAAGAAGTTCCGTGGGTAGCTTCGGATCCGACGGCTGAAGGGGTTGGGAGACACGACGAGGGGATCGTCGGCGGAGGAGCTGGGCGAAGAAAGTGAGCATGTCCACTCCGCAATGAGGAGGCGAGGTGACTGATCCACGGATCGAAACTCTAGGCGGGCTCTCTTTATAATTACATCCGCGCAGGCTGGGTAGCACCCGCTGAGGGACCATGAAATCAGCAGCTCTGAAGTAAAGTTTACCGTAATGCAAGCCTCAAACGCGGTACGACGCCGCAGCCAATGACAGGTTCTCGACTTTGATCCCAGGCAAGATTTGTTTCGCGTATATGTAGAGAATCTCGCCACGTTGCTGGCGTAGGTTCTCGTACTGAGATCGAGAATACCAAGATACGAAAATCTACACCCTGAATGGCTGCAGATTGCTCCGATGGGTATTATTGGTCTAATGGGAGATAGTAAATACAAATCTCAACGTCATGACCATGAATAATACACACAAAAAAAATCTTTTGGGGCGCGCCCAGACACACGACGGAGCGGTCTGCATGCATCGTCCAAACAAATCGAAGCGTAGATGCGGGCGCCACCTCAACGATTGCCAAAACGAGATCCCCAAAGCTGCATCTCTGAGACACGCCGCCTCTCAACATGAACTGAGGATTTAATTGGTCTACTTCAATGCACATGCCTCCCTTATCTCCCATATCAGCCCAACTGCCCATCACATTATACTCTCTCCGTAATGCACATGGTGCTACCGCTTATATGTGTCCGCCAGAAGGTTTCTCAGGGGAGAAAAGAAAATTCCAACTTGCCACCTGGTGAAGGTTTGAATGTGGTGGCAAATTGACTGGTCTAGATTACGCTCTGTGTCTTCACTCAAAAGGCGTCAGGCATACCTGGTGGATGAGAGGTGTAGTATCAACCAGACAAAAAGACCTCGCAATCCGGAGTACGCCAAGGTATGCTTGTTATATAGTCCATATATAGAGTGAAGATGACGGTTAAAGTAGTCCTCTCGAGAAGGTCCGCGCTGTCTTTTTTTTTTTTATTTTTTTTTTTATTTTTTTGGTATTTTTGGTATTTTTGTATGCGATGATCATCACAATTTCGTGTAAATTCAGCAATGAACAAATTTTCCCACTGATGATACACCATCCATTACGAAATCATGAAATTGAGTAATTTCCAAATCCCGTCAATTCAAAATGAGATCTGATCGGTATGGTGTAGCACTCAAAGAATCTCTCCTAGTTAGACCTATCACGATCATCGCCGGGCATCTCTCCATCATCGGGATGCACAATGAGGTTCAACCTCAAATATGTTATGGCTGTAATGAGAAGCGGGCTATCATTCGCCGAATTCTCCGACTGTCTTGTTAAAGAGCGGGCGAAAGGAGAAAGCCAACCGCTATAATTAGAATTTATGGCTTTCATCCGTTTGATTGCAACCTCATCTCCACATGGTCTCCAATCTCCAAAGACAATGTCACTTGGATGCATTTCCTCGCCTGGCCTTCCACATATTGGGCGCATCGAGCATCTTCTAACCGAATCTAGACGACAAAATGGCCCATATGTCATAGCGATGGTGCTGGAATCAACGCGCGACATCAAGAGCGGGTCAGAGTCTTGCAAAAGTCGGGGCCCCGCGATCCAAATTCCATCTTTATTAATCTGCAATTTATGGCTCCAGCCACGAGGAGCCGTTGGCCTCGTGGTAGATGGAGAAGATGCACCATGTGAAGAACAGGGGATGATGCCCTTGGTCATTGAAATTTGTACGCATTTCACAACTTAGACAAAGTACCATGGTATGGTATGAGCCTGCCTTGGTATTGAATTGTACAGAGTCGGTGATTGAAATTCAGGATGCCTAGTGTCAGGCTTCAAATTCACATGTGATTGTTCTAGGTGCCGGGAAAAGACGCGAAGGGCTAGAACATTCCCGGGCCCCAGACGTAGGTTTCAGGGTCAGTGTCGCCCAGTACCCTGCGCGATGATGAGGTCTGATGGGATTGCAACATGGGAAAACCACTGATGGCAACCGAAAAACACAGCTGAGGCCGCGTTTGACGCTGTCTCATGTGCTGTGACGCCATTGTATGACAGGAGTGGATTCCGCCCAGCCAGCGATGAGTGATATGCGCAGTTACCGCGAGACATGTACTTTGTACAGCGAGCGTAGTATGCACGATACAAGGCCCCTATGTATCTCTGAGCGAGTCAGCAGGGATCTCTAGCGTGCCCCTGAAGCAGCCGTTGTGAGGCCCAGGGGGATTCGTCTCGGCCGATGTCATTCTCCTCCAGGCCGGAATACTGATTCGATGGACAGATGCAGACAGGCGCGACAAGCGGCTCTCTACCAGCGGCTTGGCGAGAATGCCGGCCAGTCCTTGCATTCCTTGTGGCCGGCTCGCAGCGGGAGAAGCAAATCAACGGCCGAGGTCACCGCCGTCAAAGGCCATGCATGTAATGCTCAGCACACGATTCGGGCCGCTAGTCCACAGCCCCTGGACACCAAGATGAGCAATGATGCAATGCCCATCATCAGATGCCAAATCCAGACGGAAAATGCCTCTTCCTTATCAACATGTGTGACAGCCGAACCGCCAATCAGGCCACACGGCGAGTCAATCAATCACGGCTGTGCATTTTTAGATTTTTCCATAAAAATGTTCCTTTTCTCTCTATAAACCTATTTCGCTGCTATTTTCTCCAGATTTTAATCATCGTCTGTATATATTTACTCTACGCTACAAACCCACCATGCATTCACAGATCGCGTCCCCGTTTTTCACACAGCTGCCGGCTGAGATCAGATGGCAGATCTACGGCGAGTATCTAGCCGCGCTCCTGCAATCCGCCTCAGCCTCCGTGGGCCAGGACTCATACGCCTACGCCTTCCTGGTCCCGAGGCAGAAATCATCGGGCGTCGCAGGGACAGAGCTCAGCACGTCCCTCCTGTCGCCCCTGGCCTTGTCGTGTAAGCGCGTGCTCAGGGAGATGCACCACAAGGAGGACCCGACCAACTTTGCCCTGCTGTCTGCAAAGACGCGGCCGCCTGGCGCTGTAACAAACGACATGGAAACGCCATCTGGGGAGTTCATCGCAAACTGGATCGGCCTGGCATCTGATGAAGACGTCCGCTGGCATCGCGTGCAGCGCATCCGGTTCGTCATCAAACGGGACGACGCCACGGCAGAGTGGCTCAAGTTCTTCATCGGGGTGCTCAAGACCGCCCCGAACCTGAAGGAGATCGAGCTCGTGTGGGACAGCCCCAGACAGAAGAAGACGTGCGTCTTTGGGGAGTGCAACAGCGGCCGAGTCCTACGGCACATCCAGAAATGCTCTCCCGCACGAACCATTCGGCTGCAGGGCAATGTCCCGAACTCTTGGCTGGAGCGGATCGGCGCCGTGCCTGGGAAGACCATCGTTGTTGGGTGAATGACATTTGCAAGCATTCAATGAGGGACGGCGGTCGGGCAGGAGGAATGCCCGTTTACCAACGACGATGACGGAGCTTCTGAAGGGAGCAATTGACCGATTTTTACGGGTGCACGGGATGCACGGACAGGCACGACAGATACGATACCCCTTGCATAGATTGTTTTGTTATAACGCAATTGGAAGCATTTTAGAGCTTCTGGCACAACTGGGATTGTGCGTTTCTTTCGTCGCATTTAGGAATGCGCGATGCATTGGCCGGCCGGGAGCCGAGCGAGATACATTTAGCATCAGGTAGAATAGTTATGAGCCTAGATAATTGCATGGGTCATTTCCAATACCGGACGGATTTCGCAAACAGTATCATCTCTTGGAAAGGTTGCTCTGTGATGACCACAATGTATTGCTTCCAATCAATCCGACCTTTCAAATCAACCAAATCAATCCCGCCCAGTTGTCAAATTAAAGCGCAATACATAGTTAATTGACGTAGTTGATGTTTCTGATTTTTTTTTCTCATTTCATCCTAATTTGGCTGATTTCTGATCGAATCGCAAGGTGCCGCCGAGAACTGTAGGGTAGGCCCCCACTACAGGGCCAAAGGGCTTCGTCTAGCGGTCACCCATAGCGAGCGAGAATCATGCAAGTCACAGGCTGTTGTCCGCTGTGGAGGGCCCAAGCAATCAACTGCTGCGACAGTAAGACAAGCCATTACTGCAGACCTGACCAAGTAGTCATCCATCAGGACACCTAGTATCTGCCAAGAGCCTCAATATCATGGCTGCAGCCTCTTCTCGGCCATGCGAGGATTGGCAGACCCGTAGACGTCAATTAATTCAAATCAGTCAGCTCAAACATACGGCCATCAACAACCAATCCGATGGTTGATCTGATTGACTGGGAGGGGTTGCTATTTTCGGCCAGCCCAATCCGGCTAGTCCATCCCCGCCCTGAAAGGCTTAGCGCTGAACGCGTGGGGTTTAGCTCAACGTCACCTCCAGGCAGAGGGACATCACATCTGCAAAACCCTCGTCCGCGTCACCCCCTGGGAACAATAGAAAGGTAGACCTATTCAGCACGGGCTCCATTACGTGATAGGCCGTACTTTCTCTGCATTCAGCCGCACCGCTTGGCTCTCTACTCGCGAACTCGCATGCCGTGGCGGTGCCTGTTCTGCCGTCGTCGCTGTGGGGGATGCGGTGAGGGACCGCGCATAGTAGATCGCTGCATGGCGGGAGCACATCCGGGCTGGCTGTGCAGCTGAAAGCGGTACGGCCTACTAGCTCGAAACTTAAGCAGGGTTTTGGGGTGCCTACCCGCAGGCAAACTCACTGACCGGCCGGGAGACCACTGTTCCTTGGTGTACGCTGCACACTTCCTGGACTAGTTGATGCTGTGCTCACCTGCCAGCCCGCTAGCCCACCCGTCCGCCAGTGATCGTAGCTGCCGTGACGTTAGTGAGGATGCATACATGGATCTGGGCCTTTGCGAGCATGCAACTCACCGCGATGTGCTGGCTGGTGGTACAAGAGATGGGCGGGGGCTTAGGATGGGTATTTTACCAGCGCTCGTCTCGCCCTTGTCTTCTTTTCTCTCTCCCTGTTCTTCTCCATGATATCTCTTTTCATAGATCTTGCTTCGCTATACCTAAACACCCATACATACATACTTGCCCGCACGCCTGCTGTCCAGTTATAACCCGCTCTTCTCGCATCCTAGTTACCTACGACGCCGCCTTTCTTGCTGTCTAGGCCCCACCAAAGGCTAGTGAGATTTCCTTTCTCGCTTTTCCATATCGGAGACAGCATTGGTTGTCTCTACCCACGACGTCCGCAACGCTGCCTCGTGCGTCGCTGTGATCATCAGCTGGCACCCTCCTTTTCCCTTAGCTCGCACGTATTGTCTGTTTGCTTGCGCATATTGTTCTTCCTCCCTCTCTTATTGGCTGCATTTGTCTGGGTATTGTCTCTTTGCCAAGACCATAGGCTGTGAGCCGTTGGACACCATTACACCCACTGCGTATGTACACTCCCCTTTTACAAGCCTTGTTCCCATCTGCTCCACCCACTGACCTCTTCCATAGCAGCCGGCAGTGTCTGTCTCCCAAAACAAGTATTGACTGTTCACTGTCCTGCTCGTCTTTCTGCACGCGCCGCCCGAGGAGGGTCTCGCGCGTGGCTGATATCGTGGCATCGTTGTCTCTTCGCCCGCGTGTATTGTTCACTTGCTATCGCTTATTGCCCACTTGCCTGCGTGTATTGTTCGCGTGTCGGCGTTTATTGTTGTTTGTATTGTCTCTATTGTCTGGAGAACCCGTCAAAATCGCCAAAAATGATGTCCCGCAGTTCATCCACGGAAGCCATACCAAGGACTAATCGCCGCCGTGCCACGAGCTATTTGTATCTCGCCCCGCGACCGGTTTATGTGTCCACTTCCCTCATCGACAACCAACGAGAACATCCGCCTCGCCAGAGCCTATTCTCCGCATTCTCCGACGAGCAGTCGCCTTACCTCCAGAATCACCCCTTGGCGCCATCAGAGTTCGAGACAGTGTTCTCATCCATCTTTTCCTCTGCCCCACCGCGCCCAACCTCGCTGCCCCCTCTTGGGCCTCACTTTTCACCTCCCGAACCAGCTTTGGTCCCCATTCCAACAGCTACAGCTGCGCCATCGCAGTCTGAGGCATCGAACCTTGCTGTTCCCTCTACTACCGCATCACCCCCTCTCACGCTAGCGCCACCTCCGTCATCAACCACCTCGATGTCAATTTCAAGCACCAAGTATCGCGTCGGCCAGCCGCCAGTTCGACCACTACCCTTGGAGAACGCGTACGATGTGGCTGGTGTGTGCAGTCCGGATGAACTTGACAAGCTGTACGAGAGGGTGGCCGACATTTTGGCTTCTCACGAGATAAAGAGGCCCGAGCTCAGAGAGCCAACAGGCCCGTGGGACTCGGATGACGGTTCCGACGATTTCATTTGTCTGGTGTACCGTTCCGTCCCTGGCGTGCCCGATTCTGACCGCTTGACATTACTGATCACCGCGGAATGGACGGACTCATCGGCAACGAACTGGAAGCTCGCTGTACAAGACATCAGGCCCTTCGTGGTCAGCCGCCTAGGCCAACAGGTACACGTGGAAATGATAGCCACCTACCTCACCACTCCTCGAGAAATCGGACCTCTCGGTCATCACCCTCTCATTCAAGACAACTGGGATGCCATATGTGGCAAAATCCAAAAAGTTCTTCAGAGCCACCCAGCATCGCGAGACAATGTGACCCTGGTTACAGTTTTCCGGATGGGTTATCACAAAAAAATCGAAGATAACCCCGTCACGGTGTACGTCTCTGTAACCCACGACTGTCCTGAGGCCAGTTGGCCGCCAATCATCGACGGCATCAACGAGATCCTCGAACCCTACCCGGTCGAACTTTTCTTCGAACACAATTACTGGACACCCACCGCCTTCGAGCTCCGCCCCCCTTCCTCGGGCAAATCGTTTCGCAAGGAGTTTGTTCGTCGACCCTACCAAGAGCGCCCAGATTTGGGTGCCGACATTAGCCCGGCCCAGTATATTGAGCACGATGGCCAAAAACAGAACCCAATGTTGGGAACGCTGGGTTGCTATGTCGATTTCAAGACTCGGCATGGGGAGCAAAAAACCATGGCGCTGACAGATTATCACGTTTGCCGGCCATGTGTTCCTGGATACACCCTCGAAGAGACTGCCGACGAGGGCAAGCCAAATGGCATGCCCCTTCCAGGGAGCCTCCTTAAGACATTAGACAGAAGTGGGATTGATCCAGATCATGCACATGTTGTATCAGACATGGAACACCCGAGCCGGCAGAGGCACAACATCAATGTCGCAGGGCTCAATGCTAGCCTTGAAAAAAATCCCAAAGGGAGAATAAGATCTTTGGTGGAGACGAGGCTGGGCATTGCCCAAAGAGCATTTCATGAGGATGCAAACATTCTAGGAAAGGTCTGGGCAGCTTCGGGCTTTGACCATCGCGGCACTGCGGACGACTCTTTTGTCGAATGGGCTCTGATTGAAGTCCAACCAAATCGCCGAGGAAGCAACCGACTCCCTGGCTTATCTGCCTGGGAGAGTCTGTATGAATTTGTGGACTGGCCTGATGAGGAGGAGGGTATGGGTAGTTTGAAAATGTACCGTCATGACACTACCCTCGGTACACTCGAACCCGGCACAAAAGTGTTCAAGTACGGAGCCGCCACCGGACTGACGGTTGGTCACTACCAACAGCTGAGGTCTGTCGTCGGTCCTTCCATGCTGAACGCCAACCCATCACGTGCAACCACAATGGCATATTTAGTCGAGCGCGTCGGTGATCGTCAGTTTTCTGGCCCGGGAGACTCTGGAGCGGTAGTGTATGACCAGGAAGGACATGCTTTGGGTTTGGTGTATAGAAGATTCCGCCCCAGTGTGACTACCCTGAAACAGGGAGACTACTTCACTTGGGTCATCGCCATGGACCAGATTTTTGAGGATATCGAGAGATTCTGCGGAGTTACTGACCTCCGAATTTCACCGCCAGTTGGCTCGCCGCCTAACTGAGCATGGGGAGAAGAGAGGATGAAGAGGAGAGGGGAGGAGGGAGAGGAGGGGAGGATAGGGGAGAAGAGAGGAGATAGGGAGATAGGGAAAGGAGGAGGGCGGGAGGAGGGGGGGGATGATACGGGAGGAGAGGATGGGGGAGGAGGGGAGGAGAGGATGGGGGAGGAGGGGAGGAGAGGATGGGGGGGAGGATAGGGGAGAAGAGAGGAGATAGGGAGATAGGGAAAGGAGGGGGGGGGAGAGGCGGGGGAGAGGCGGGGAGTATCTTACACACATATGAATCAAGATACCACAAAGCGCCTCATCTCCTCAATTTATTTGATAACTATGCTAGTACTAGTGAATCTAATTGTCCAACCTGAATCAGACTCTCTAAAAGCTACCAAGTAAGTTACAATCTTATTGTATACGCATATGGGAAACACGTCGCCTTCACTCGCTCACTCAGTGTCCTATAAGGAGTCTCTCGTTCAGCATCTCAAGGCTTCGTGACTGGATCCTTGTGGGCGCTCTGGACCGAGTTCCAGAACTTCTCCCCATTATCCGGGTCATCCGCAAACAGGTGATCGACAACCATCTTCTTCGGTGTTTCGCCCAGCCACTGGAAGAGTGAAAAGTCCTGGAACTTCTCAGCCCGGAAGATTTCAAGCATCTCAATGGGCTCATCACCAATGTTCTCGATGAAATGCCCGTTGTTCTTGGGAACGATGCCAACGTCACCGGGGCCGTAGTCAAAGGTCCTGGCGTTGCCTTCTGAGGCGAAGATGGTAACGCGTGCGCGGCCGCTGATGAAAAAAGACCACTCGTCGGCAACAGGGTGCCAGTGCATCTCGCGGAGGGCACCGACGTCGATGGTGACATGGGCAGCGGCAATCGTTTTAGAGATGGGGAAGTTGGTAGAGTCGGCGATGCGGACAGTTCCCCCGGTGGTGTTAAGGGGCTCCTGCTCTAGGAAGCGATGAGTGAACTCGACATCGGAAATTTTTGCATCACTTCCAGAGGGGCGTTCTTTGTCGATGGTGTCGGGGTACGTTCCTTGGAAGATGTACTTTTGCTCCTTCGGGAGGTGATCAAAAACCTCAGGGGCGAGGTGGAAGTTTTTAGAGATGACAGACTTTGGAGTATGAGCTGCAAAAAGAATCGTAAATATTAATAACTCGTTGCGAGGAATTCGTTGAATGTGAATGATTGCATACCAAGCCACTCTGTCAAGAGAAATGTAGATTCCTCGGAGAATTCGCCGCTATCGAAGATGAGCAGGAACTCCGTGCCGTTGTCTCCAAGACCCTGGAGGGAATGGGGAACGCCTGTTGGGAAGTACCACAGGTCGCCCTTCTTTAGGTCCTGGATGTAGTTTCCTCCATCATAGTCCAGGGCTGTGACGCGGACTTCGCCGTCAAGAACGTAGGCCCACTCAGCCTGCGTGTGCCAGTGAAGCTCACGGATGACGCCCTTATCGAGCCTCATATTGACACCAGCAATCTCCGAACTGGCCGCCATCTCGCGGGATGTCGTTTGACGCGTCCATCCACCTTCCTGTGGCCGGCCTTGTGTTAGTAGAGTGGTCTCAACAAGTTTTCATGTTTCTTCACGCACCTCTATTCTGATGTGAGAGTCGGCAAAACTCCATCGCATATTTTGCATGTCCCCATGGTCGGTACTGGGGGGGCGGACCAGATCAGGGTTCTGGCGAGAACGCTCCTTGTTCCAGGGGCCAAGGACTGATGCTCCTTCACCGTTGCGGTAAGGAAGAGGGTCTAAGTTCTTGCCAACGGAGTCGATGGCAGAATCGTAGGGGTCAGTAAAGTTTTTCGTGTATGGGTTGGTATCATCTCTCTTTGCCAATCCTTTCTCAAGAGGCAAACCTCGCCTGAGTCTTTCACGAGGACTGTCCATGTGAGGAAGAGCAACAGTCATGCTAACTCCCGCGAGTAGGGCAGAAATACTGGAAGGCTTCATGATGAAAGAACTACCAAGAGACTCGGTTCAAGTTTGGATGAGAGCTGGATGTTTCGGTTCAAGAATAAACTGAGCTGGTAGGAGTATCCGTCAATCTTGTTTGAGAATGCCACTGACTTTTATATTCGTGGCATGTCTTTCCGGGCTGTTCGGTTTTCGGGCTTAACTCATGTCTAGACCTCTTCCATGAAGCTACGGGTTGCCGACTTATGCCCGCATACTCACTGATATCCGGATCGTGTCAACTACCTAATGTTGTTGACAAAAGGCCTGCTATCATTGTTTCACGGCAATTCACTGCCGGCAGAGACGGGGGTGGTGTGCATTCCCAGGTAATGATGAGTGAATATCGCCAAAATCCTGGTAATACAAAGATGCCTGCTGCTCGAAACTGGATTGATCGTTCGTGACAAACTTGGAATAGGAAAGCGGAGCGTAAGCAGATTTCTCCACAGCGGGCCGGTTGTGGCCGTCAGCATATCGGACTTTTAGGTGATATGAAGGAGTCGGGATAGCTTCATGTCGTCATCAGCATTGCTAGGATCACCATGCCGCCGTGCTGACAACTGGGCCAAACATAATTGGATAGGTGGAAACTTCGGTAGTTCTGTCTCGATTTGGACTGCCGGTCACTCCATGACCCATGTTTCACCCAGTCTGCTATTAGTTGGGCCAGTACGAATCCCGTGGCAATCTCTCAACATGGTGTTGACAGAGCATTCCGCCAAAATCCCTCCTCTTGATAGTCGGACAGTAGAGGTGGCAAGGGTATGGTCAGGACATATGTTTCAAGAGTAATAATCCAAATGCCTTGGGGAAATTTACATAGCCCTATGATGGAGGAACCTTGTCTATAACGGCCAACACTTACAGCTCCGACGTGGGGAAATAATAGGACGGGCCCTCAGACGAATAGCCATTGTCAAGAGCTGGGCCGGAGTTATGCTTGTCACTAACTCTGTACACGGGCGAAACTTATGCTTATCCCTGGTTGGCTTTTTACTTTTCTAAGCATTCTTTCACCATTCTCTTTTCTGAACCCTATTCCGGCCAATTTACTGCAAAGTCTCCAATACCTCCTGCTCCCGATCGGGTGCCACATTTCACCATGTCTGCAGCTCTTTTGCGCCCGAGCCAATCCTCGCTCGAATTCGGGTTATGCAGCTTGTTTTGAAACGGGCACGCGCGATATTAAGCCAGTACTCCCGCCTGCATGACTTCCTGTCATCTCACACCCCACATCTAGATCTACTGCCGGTTTTATAGGGGGGGCCTCGGTCTCCGGCTGCTTCGATTACGCGGCAATAATAAGACTTCATCTTTCATTCGCATCGTGGGGTTGAGGAGCTTACGTAGGCCCATGCACCGCAATATGCATATGATCAGCCTTCGGCACGACCGGCCGGAGGCGATTCTCACGGTCTTGGCATTCAGCACTCGGCATCGATATCTTGGCACGAAAAAGGCGACCCATGGGCGATACCATAGATACGTCACAACCAGCGGCGGTGAGCTGCTCATCCATTGCAATGTTTCAGTCAAAATGACTCAGCTGTCGGAGATTTGATCACCGGATTGGCAGAATCACGGCCGTTCTGCGGTCTCATATTTCATCCCCCCACGCACGAGATCAAACCTGACATTGAGAACATGGTCACGAATGCAGGTTATGGCAGATCAACAGGTACCCGGGATAGCCGGATGCGTTACATCCATCCTACATGAACATTAGGAACAAACACATGAGCTACACACTTGATGACTCATTCTACCTACTCGTCACCGGAACAGGGCTCTTGTTACTCGTCATATTCTGTGTTCTCACTCACAAATCTTACATGAGCCTTATCATTTACTACTGTAATAAACTCCGAGTTTTCAGCGAGTTCGCGCCGCTCCTATCGCTCTCGTGAGACAACCATTCGATATTTCGGGAAGTTGCCCAGGTCATCCAGTTTGGGGTCAGGTACACGACCAGTAGTGAGCAAATTGCGAGAAACTACGCCTCTCGCTCCACGTCCTCCTTATTATTTTTTTCACGTCTTTGAATTCCAATTTATCCATTTATATCTTCACTCTTCTTTTGTGAATGGGCCAAGTCTCCAGGCTAAAGTAGACGTCTAGTTTCTGTAACCTCCTTTCTTGTCCCATCTTTTCAAAGGCGAATCATTATGTTGGACTACTTTTCTGTATAGCCTCTCAAGAATATAGATGAGATGGGCTTGATACAGCCGGGCCTCTTAGTCCGGGAGTAATTTTCCTTTTAAAACTCAGGCGAGAAGATGGCCTCTAGCGTTGGAAGTCTGTCGCAATTCTTTTATATGAGAGATTAGTTGAGAATATCTGAACGTATGCTAGCGGCTCTAGAGTGCTTGATCCAGCATCGAAATCGCAAATGCCGGTTACTTATCATATATACAACCAAGTCACTGCATAAGTACGGTCGCTGCCGTTCAGGCTCCTCCCAATGTAGCGGCTTCGTAATGAACCCCCTACGCTTTGTTGAAGGCCTCATTCTTTCAAGTGAGATTATGCGCCCGCAATTTTCATTACTACCTCGAAGCCCTAACCTGCGACGTGCTCTAGAGAGAATTCCGCTTCGAGTTAAACTCTTCTGTTTTCTCGTCAAATTATAGTTTGATCTTCACGACTGCGAATGCGAGCGTAGTCACCTCTAGTGCACAATATATAGATAATACAGCTATCTATAAAATCTCAGATCAATTAAAATAAGATGAAACAAGAGATGAGTCTATTATACAGGGCTGAGAACAATTCTGTTGGGAGCGATTGTGTACTCCTGTTCCTGACTTGCTAGATTTCTACTCCGATTTCTCCGACATCAAGTCAGTCAGCGCTCCTTCGAAATGCTTCCACATCGTATAATGGGTGTCTTCTTCGAACTCTGTGTACTGGCAATGCGGTAGGCGTTCTGTCAAGTACCGTATGGCGACTGCCGGGGCGTTCTTATCTTTTGCCCCGTGCCAGATCTTCACCGCATCATACTGTACATTCTCAAAGTCGAAACCCCAGTCCTGTGAGCTCAATATCAATGCCTCGTGAACGGCAGCCTCGGGGCCTTGAACAAAAGGTTCATATACAAGCATCCGTAAGAGATTTTGCCTTCGTTCCTCAGGGGTTTTTGTCTGGGGACTCGGATCACTCGACTTGTCATTCGATTCGGGCGATGCATCTTGAGACTTCTTGCTGGTTTCCTCCAGCCATCGGTTCGTCCTGCTGACCACGGGCCGAGTGTTGACTACCCATACAAGTAGACGGATGAGGAGACCCAGCCCGGATGACACCGCACTGGGTACAACCTTTGCCAGCGAAACAAATACTCTTCGGTAGGTTGACATGTGGTGCGCGCCTGCTGCCCATGGGGGGCCGCTGGCAAACAGACCAACTCCAGTAAGCATGCTCTTTGGTAGCGAATGGGCACAGGCGAGTGCAAAAGGTCCTCCTCCGGAACAGCCCATTACTGCGAATTGTGGGATGTTCAGGCCTTCTGCGATATTACGAACATCTGCGGGCCAATCCACGAGTCGTCGGTTGGGCTGTGGTGTTGATATTCCAAACCCGGGACGGTCGATTGAGATGAGCCGGATGTTATGCCGTTTCGCCATTTCGTCGGCAACCGACGCCTCGAGACGACAAGACGGATATCCGTGAAAGTAGAGAAGGGGTTTCCCGGTTGGGCTGCCATATTCCGCGTAACCCAGCTTCCGGCCATCTGGAAGCTCAAATATGTGATCCTTAGAAGAATATGTCGTCATTCTGCGAACTTGGTTCTGCATCCGAAGGTGTAAGCAAGGTCGAAACGACATTGTAGTAATTAGCAGGTAATCAGCGGAGGTAGAGCAATCTCAAAAAATAACGCTCCATGGGGGCCTTTTTATAGCTGAGCATCGAACTGCTTGTATCACCTAACCTAAAAATAAAACATTCAACTCTTTAGCTCCTCAGCTTCACTCAGCACTCTGGTCTCGAATTTCCAAGCTCAAGCACTGGGCTACTCCCACCTGTACCATGTATCCCGCTAAACAGACTGGCTGGACCAGGTTACCTTGCAGATGGGTCAGCCCAGGTCAGCCAATTGTAGCTCAAGATGGTGTCGATCTTATCTAGCAATGGCTTAGCCTGACGTACTCGTATCGTACTCGTACTCCGTGATCGTAAGCTCAACCCAGCCGGCATCCCTCCGAGTCCATCTCGAACTCAGCTTCACCACCCTCTTCCAGCTGACCTCGATACCTAGAAGCCTCGAGATGTCCACCCGGCGCTCACACCCCAAATCACGCAAAGGATGCATCGCTTGCAAGACCCGGCACGTCAAGTGCGACGAGCAGGGTCCACCATGCGGACGGTGCTGGGCCAGATCAACCAAATGCCAATACGCGAGCCCCGGTAATCAGCAAGCTGACTCTCCCGCTACCGCGATCACGCGTAGCACCGCCGAGCCAAATACAGGCAGTACAGCTGGGTCGAATAAGAGAAACGCCGTGGTGTTTCCCGCTACGCGCCACCTCCTGGAGCTGCAGCTGATGCACCGCTGGTCCGCATTGACGTATAAGAGCTGCCTTACCCCTGGCTCCGACGATGACGATGTATGGCAGTTCATGGTGCCCGGACTAGCCATACAGCATGATTACCTGCTCTACGGGATATTTGCCCTCTCTGCATTCGAGACGGCGAGGACGGTCAAGACTCCTGATGCTCAGATGTATGTCAATGCAGCCGTCGAGTATCACGGCCTAGCACTTGGCCGGTTTCAGTCTCAGCTGCCAGCCATCAACGCTAAAACTCACGAGGCTGCGCTCTGCATGTCACTCATGCTACTATGTCTAGCTCTTGCATCTGCGCAGGTATCACCTAGCCAAGAAAAGGGCGGGAAAGGGCGCATGGTAGAGGCTGTTGTATCCCACTTTGGGCTGTTGCGCGGCTGCATACCAATTCTCAACATCGATCCGGGATACGCTTCGAGGAATGTCCACATTCAGAAGTTGACTCTTTTTGAGGACCTGCCTCGTATTCCAATGAGCCCCGAGCTAGAAGCAAATCTGTCAAAATTGAACAATCTAAATGACAAGAGGATCACGACGACAGTCCGAGATTCGGATGAGCGAAGAGTGCAGCAAGTTGCCTATTGGGACTCGTGCAAGAAGGCTCTAGCTATTCTCCGGGAATGCTACGAGAAATGCGTGGATGATCTATCGAAAGGTTACGCTCTCGGTTGGCCGAACCTGGCAGGGGAAGAATACATGCGGGCGATCGAAGAGAAGGACTCTGTTGCTTTTGCCATTCTCATGTACTGGGGAGTGTTGGCGCATAAACTCGGTCATCGGGTCTGGTGGGCGGAGGATTTCGGGAGCTTATTAGTTGCAGAAGTGGCACAGACTCTCGCCGTGTCTGAGGATGGCGCGGAGTATAAGGATGTTATTGAGTGCGCCCAACTCCTCGTGATAATATGACCCGAGCCTATTTTAGAGTAGTGAATCCCTTTGCCATGTTATCTCAGTATTCGAGAAACAAAAGATCCAGACCCTTACAGCACCTACCTAAGGTAGAGTGAAGTGATGATGGTGCAGATAAAGAAACTACGTAAGCCATTCCTCAACTTTATTTGATCGACGCAAAGTATTCGCAAAAATCTTTAACTACTAGTGATTAGGACGGATGGGGAGCATCAGATTTTAAATGCTGGCTTGTCTCTCAATTTCTAGCAGTCATTCACGGTCTGATGGATTGTGTGGAGGCTTAGGGTATGTGGTCTACATGGGGTGAGGAAAAAAGAACCAAAAAAAGATTTGCAAGTGCCCGAGCCCGGACTCGAACCGGGGTTTCCACGGTTTTGGTGAATATCCACAACGTGGTGCCCTGACCACCTAGACTACTCGAGCGCACCGTTTTTTTCATGTTGTGGAAGAGCATTGATTGGCATAATATAGGCTCAAAATACAACAGGCGCTTGGTATCCTCAATATCCCACTGCCATTAATCCTTGATTCTTTACCCAGTGCTGTAAGCCTACAACTGGGACAGCGATTTCAGGACAGATTCTGCCCCCTTTCGAGTTTCTGCAATGATGATACCAGCAGGGAGAGCTTCGCTAACGAGCCCAACCCCAGTTCCGCTTTGTAAATGTTAGCCCGTCATACTAATTTCGATCCGTGCGATACTTACCACCATATGATCTTTCTTGACTCATCTCCTCCCCGGGCAGCCTCCTTGAACTTCTCAGCGTTGTCCTTCACCGGCATCCCAGCCTCATGGTCCTTGTAAGATTCCCCAATGAGTGCTCTTCCATCATAGAGCTGAGGCCAGATGGCAGTACTCTGGATGTCGTCGAGGACAGTTGACCTACACAGCATCAGGCCTGTTCATATAAGGCGGGGCAAGGAGACGGACGAACTTGACTGTAGATGCGCCACCATCCGACGCCTGGATAATGGACTCTTTGCCAGCTTTGGACATGGATGACTCTTGGGCCACAAGAAGCTACACCTATTCAGCAGATGTGTCGCGATGAGATAGCAGGCTACATACCCTTGTGCCCAGCACAGCGCCATCGGCACCTGCATGGGAACATTAGCCTTGCATCTACCGGAGCGTGTAGTTTGCCTTATACACATATCTCAATCATCGACGCACCTAGGGCTAGGGCGGCTGCCACGGCTCTTGCACCAATAATTCCGCCAGCGGCCAGTAGCCCAGTTTCACCTTGCGGAAACTCAGTATCAAGCATCTGGCGGATCTCGGGCACCAATGAGATGACACTCGCCCCCTTGGAAAACTGATGTCCACCGGCATCTATCCCTTGAGCGACTAGGACATCAGCACCGTCGCTGACAGCCTCCCTGGCCGCTGCCACCGTGCCCACCTGTATAAATACCTTGATCCCCGACGCATGAAGATGCCGGATTATCTTGGGGTGGACGCGTTGCGGGGCGTCAGGATCGGGGGCGAAGAGCCAGACCGCCGTGGGCCTATACTTGAGAAGCACCGGGAGCGCAGTGTCGACGAAGTTCGAAGCCGATGGGTGGCAGGTGATGAAGCCTACGCCAACGGGGAGAGGATCTTGGGCCACGCCGGCTTTCTCCAGGAGACTGCGAGCGAGGATCAGTTCGTCCTCGAGCGCCTTGATCTGCGGGCTCTCAGCCCGGAAGTCAAACCCTCCAGGGATGAAGCCTAGACCGGCAGCCTTCGTTGCCTCGACAGCCAGAGTAGCATTTGAATGGCCGTACATTGGGGCGCTCACTAATAGAGGCCTGGAGGCCCAAGGCAACCAAGATTCCATGCTTGATAGGTGCGAGGCGACCCGGATTGAGGATACGATGCGGTATGGGGGAAATAGGAGGATGAAGTGAAGACGCGAGATGGATTTGAAACGCAGCCTGTGTTGGCTTATGGATAGGGCAGAGTCCCCGGAGTCTTTCTTGGTACCTTAATGTGTAATATAAACTGTATATCCCCAGATGTGCTTACTCGCCCGCACCCGCACCCGCACCCGCACGCACATTGAGATCGGCATCCCACGCCGAATCTTACTTTCGTCTTACAGCACACTCATGTGCGGCCGCACCAAGCTATCAATGCGATCGTGAAGGTTCTCTATTATGATGTTTAAACCGGCCCTACGGTGGCGCATTTGCCTGACGTCTAATTACGTATAAATGAGCTCACTTCCAGCCAAGTTAGAAAATGCAGCTCACTCTGTACACTCAAACGAAATTCAGAGAATATCGTATCCTACCTATCGAAACGCACAAATCAAGGGTCATACAATCCACCGTTATCCTGACATTGCAGAACACAATATGACATCTCGAACTGACCGTCCGCTCATTCTTATCGGTTCTGGGCCGGGAATTGGGAGGCATATCGCTTGCGAGTTTGCCTCGAGGAGGTTTAACAAGGTTGCGCTCCTCGCCCGCAATGCCGAGAGACTGGCAGAAGACCAGGCGGCAATCAAGGCTGCTACAGATGACAAAACCGAAGTGAAGACATATCCTGTTGACATAACCAATGAGGAAGAATTCATTGCCACGCTGGACAAGATTGAGAAGGAGATGGGATCACCAGAGGTTTTCTACTACAATGCAGCCAGAGTCGCGCTCAGCAAACTTCTTGAATCTGAGGGCAGGGAGATGGAATACGATTTCCAGGTACGGGAGCCTCGACCCTGCGTCTAGAGTGAAGTCCGAGGATGATTCTGACACATGTATGCATTACAGATCAATTGCACATCGCTATACACCGCTGCCAGATGGGCCATCCCGCGTCTAGTGTCACTGGCCGACGCAGACGCGGATGCACGGCCCTCATTGCTGGTGACAAGCTCCTTGCTGCCATTGGACCCTATCCCAGACATGTTCGCCCTCTCCATGGCCAAGGCAGCTCAAAGAAACATGACGCAGTCGCTCGCCAAGGTGTACGGCCCAAAAGGCGTCCATATCGGCATGATTCTTGTGGGCGGCCCCGTGGACCCAGCTCATGCCACGCTGAGCCCATCCAACATTGCGTCTTGCACATGGGGATTGTTTGAGGAGCCAAAGGAAAAGCAGACCTTTGAGATTCAGGTTGTATAATGATGGGTCACAGATCTATACTGGATGATATCTTTTCATTGTGTTTGGTCAAAGGCTTGTAAGTATCGGCCCAGAAGATATGAGGTAAACTCATTTAGTTGTAACATTCTATTTATCTTAAAAGCGATCTTGTTCAATTCCACAGGTAAAGGAGATCACATTATAGAACGTCATCTTTTCAGTGAGATCTCGGCATAAGGCGGAGCTTGAGCAGTCATCAGCGTTACTACGTTAATTACTTTCTATAGAGGCAACGCAAGGAGTCCATATTTCGCCAAGGCAGAGGGGAGGTCGAGGAGGGTGTTGTCCATCAGGGCATTCCTGGTTACTAGGTAATCACTGTAGCCACTGATCATGGGAAGGTCAGAATTGAGAAAACAATAATTATTCTCGATTTATTTATGTCTGCATTGCTGATAGCAACGGTAAGAAATTTTCTGGGTAGCTAGGTACCTTGCAGTACAGGACAACAGTCGAGTCTTTGCACCAAAGTCCAACAACCTTCTTCATATCCAGCATGCTACCAAGACAGTGGCGACCTGACCCGACGGCAACGCACACGAAGGCTAATCGAAACACGCAAGTGACTCCCAGGAACTGTGCTCGAAGATCAATTCCAGGTGGTGGGGTTCGATGATCCTCTTAATATCAGCGATAATAGGAGGCCAATCAGCCTGGGCGCAATCATCACTGACCGCAACGTACACGGTAACAGGATTCTCGCTGGATTCTGTTTTGCCCGCCCGGAAGACCGTGACGGCGGTCAGAGTGCCTCGGGACGCTGGGTTGTTTTGGAGAACATCCACAATCTCGCGCGATATTCCGTCCCAGATCCGAGCGATTTCAGGGTCGTTGCCGACTGGCGAAAGGGATAGTGAGACGAAGTGACCCTCATCGATCATCTCGACATCCACCTCCTGCTGTGTAGGTAGGTGCTCGAGCACCAGAGGCCTAATGGCCTGGACGGCGAGCTCCCAAGCTTCCGGTGAGTCTGTCCAACGGGCCATGACCAACAAAGTTAACCGGGCAGATTCAGGGACGTTGGGATATGCCCGATATACCAGGGAGATGGGGCGCTCTATATCATCTTCGCATGATGAGCTCCAGGCACCACTCGAGACAACGAAATCGTCATCGAAATCGTCATCCACGCTTGAAGGCTCTGTTAGGTCGATGTCGTGTGCACGGAGAATATCGGCCACCTTCTCGTACAACTCGTCAAGTACATCGGGACTGCACACATCCGCCACATCGCATGTGTTCTCCAAGGGCAGAGGCCGCACCGGCGGCATGCCTACACGGTACTTGGCGCTTGAAATTTCCATTTTTTTTAAGCTTAAGATCGAGGAGTCGGTGGCGGAGATGGGGGTGGTATCGTAGCTAGCGATACGGTAGCTGAGAAAGTAGCCGAGGGAACGGATACTGGAGGTGGTTCAGGAGGTGGAAGACAGTCGAAGGAGGCGGGAATGAGGTTGGCTGTGTCGAGGCAGCTTGTAGATGGAAGGATAAGATGGGACGGTGTTGGATGTGGATGGCAAAGCAAGGCGATTTATATCGAAGCCGGAACTCATCGCCGACGGTGTAACCGCAAGCGTGGACAGTGAAGTTTTCCAGACCAACGCCGAAAAGAGGACAAAAGAAGGTAGAAGTGACAATAGGCGTGGATAAATAAACAGTAGGCGTGGACAAACGCACAGTACTCGCGGGCTAAGAGACAATGATGCTAGTCGATCACAGACTACAGCCACTCACGAGGCACTGTTACGGGTGGAACGGACAGAAGGGAAAAAAAAACTGGACAATGAGGGTTGTTTCCATGAACAGCAAAGACGGTAGATTTTATAGTCATTCGATGAGTGCTCGTCCCGATGGCAAGTGAGTCATCAGCATGAAGGTTAACAGACTTTTCCTTCCGCATGACTGCAGCCTTGAGCTAGCAAAGCTTCTTTTTTTTAAACCTTTCTCATTCATTGTGTTGGGGTGTCGGGTCTGGCATCTTCTATTGTTCTTTTTTAACTTTATCCCCGAATTCTCTTCCGTTTCCATGAACAGCAAGAAAGAAAGCTCGCTAACCTTCAGGTAGGCGTAGAGAGCGAGAAAGGTGGCAAACTAGCTCAAATTCATGCAAGCCTAAGAGGACAGTGTTGCTTGCGATAATAGAGCCCTATAGTGCTAGATGTAATCAAGGCTCATTCGGAGCGAAACAAAGAGTGAGCTCGCCGTCATTTGGCTCATTCGCCGGATGACTCCCTTGAACTATTATCCCTCTTTTTTTCTATTTTTCAAAACTGCCCTCCCAGGCCTGATTGATCTAGCATACTTTGATCAGATCATGCAGTCTCTCAATCATCTCACATTACGCTCCTTGAAGATCCCTTTGCGCAAGACGACTAGCTAGCTTGGACCGTATTCAACAGCAATAGCCTACTAATCTTTCTTTTCTTCTTCTTATTAATAAGAGAAGTCATGATTAGTAAAACTAGTATTAATCAACAAATAAAGGATTTATGGATATATAAATCTGATAAGAATATACGTAAGAGAAAGAGAATAAAGTTCAACAGCAATGGAAGCTGCCAGAGCCCGACAACTTAACACAATGAATAATGATAAGAGTATATACTACTTAATTGAGGTTTCGCTGTTGTGCTTAGAGGAGAGAAAACTCCGTGGCGATCTAGTAATACGTCTGTCTCGGAATTAATGTTCCCGGCTTTCGGCGCCAGCTTGGCGGGGCAATTCAGGCAACCCGAGATATAAACTGATCTGCATTTCACCCCCGTGAGCATATCAGGTATCGAAATTTGAACAATACACGTCTCAGCATCCGTCTCTATGGTTTCACAACATACTACCGAGGTTCCCAGTGGTTCTTGGGACAATCATATCCACGTCTTCGAACCCTCCAAGCATCCCTATTCCCCAGACAGATCCTACACACCAGGTGCTGCTCCATTAACAGACTATCCCAAGGATGCCACTGGCTGCAGCAACATCGTCGTTGTCCAGGCTACCGTCCAAGGCACTGACACGACACCTCTGCTCGATACGCTGAGCCTCAAGTCGCCGCACGGAGGTGTCTTGCGCGGCCTTGCCGTACTTGACTTGGAGAAGGTCTCTGACGAGGAGCTCGATCGCTTGCATTCTGCAGGTGTGCGAGGTGTCCGCATGCACGAGGTATCGTGGGGTTTTGGAGACCAGCCCAGCGACAATGCCGTGGCTGAGAAGATCACATATGCCGCCCAACGTCTCAATCGGCTGGGGTGGGTTATTGACCTTTATATGCACCCGAAAGCTTGGGCTGCTCTTGCACCAACAATAGAAGCATTGCCGCCATCTACTAAAGTCGTTGCGGATCACTGGGCAGGTTTCCGCGCGGGAGGTGAGGATAGCCCTGAGTTTCAGGTCTTCCTGCGCCTCTTGCGTGACCAGCGACTCTACGTCAAGCTGTCCGCATTTGAGCGCCAATATCACGGTAATGATATGGGCATCTCGTCCCTGGATAACATGGCCAGGGCTATCATTGAGGCCGGACCCAACCGTATTCTGTTTGGTTCGGATTGGCCTAACACTGCTCTGGCGTCAGATCGCGAGGGCAGGACGCGGGAGGAAAGGCTGACCATTGTGGAGGGTTTCAGAACGGTTCCTCATGCGGAACATGTGGCGCGTTTACGTGAATGGATCCGGGATGAAGTCGTTTGGAGGAAGTTCTGGATTGATAACCCGGCCACGGTCTTTGAATGATAGGATCTATTCAACTTGTTTTACAGGCACATGGTCACGGATCGATTTAGGAAATGGCGCTAATAACAAGAATTGGTCAAAACTGGTAACCTGAGAGTGAAATCAAACCGGAGGTCTTCGAAATAGCTACAACGAAATGTCGGACACTGCCCGTAGCATTTGAAGTAACACTGTATAGTGCCAGTTCCTAGACTTTCATCTTGCCATTCTTGACTCCTGGGTCCATTTTGGAAAAAGAGAAATGGGAAATTCCCGGGCCAAATGGCCGATGATGGGATGATAAGATAGCGAATCATAGAAGACAATTTGCTAGGAGAAATTGTCAGAATTGCCGAGCGGTAGCGACGTTTACAGAAAGGAGACCCTCATCTCCCCGCGGGGAGTGCCAAGTCACCATTTCCTACTATTTCTCCGGGAATGTGTTCCCACTCCCCTGTATTCTGATGTATACAGGATGTCTGAGTTCATATTGGCGCTACTCTTCTTACCGCCGTTATACTTGTACATCCACGCCCTCTACTGTGAAGAGCGGATACGCGTTGCAGGCAGGCTTCGCCGCCCTTGGATTTCCACGGCGTTATCGCCAGGTTTCGCTCACATGCACAGCTAACCGAAACCATATGTATCTTGAATTGAGATCCAAATTAGATTCACATCTTTCCTACAACAGCTCAGGGCAAACTAGCACTCAATCAGCTCTTTAGCTGGGCAACGCACAGTGTTATTGAAAATACGTAAGGGGGCAAAATTGCATGTGTGAGGTAGTACGGCGAAGACTGACCTGACCCCCGCTGGGGCCTAATGACTGGCCACATGGCATATATGGATTGACCCTTGATGTTCTAAGGAGTTATGTGGAAGTATAGAATCGGACTGCAGGCTGTCCAGACTAGCTGGCTTACGACGAGGCGGACTGGACAGACAGCATCTTTTGTTAAGTGTGGCCACTATCGCCGAGGGACCGCAGCAGTTATAGAAGTAGTAGATCTCTCGGAGAAGTAGCCAAAATACCCACGGCATGTTTGAGAGCGTGAGTCATGGCGACTAAAACCTTGCTTAAAGTAATTCCCCACAGATAACTGGTAAACATATAGATCTTCGGACTGGGGAAACGCGGGGTAGGTCCAAACCGCCGGGGTGTATTTGCATCTTCCACTGTCCCATGCCGAGATGGTTATCGCTCTTCTGGACAAACCCCAAGATTACCTGCTAACGCCGGTGGCTGTTCTTGTGCCAAGACTCTTTCTTTTCCTCTGATACTTTTGGGTGCGTTGTTCTTCTGGTATATCTCTTTCCCCCGGTGCGGAGAGAACGGGCTTTTTGTTTTTGTCTTGGGAAGGGAACTAAGTAGATAGTTCTCCCCGTGGGGTTTTCTTGTCCCCACCTGCACTAAGATAGAAAGATAGATTTCACCTCCGCTCGTCTGGACCAGGCTTAAAAGCTTGACGTGCTAAAACTTGCATTAATCTGTGATTCTCTATAAGATCCCCTCATCCCACTAAATTTGTCAAGAATGTGGTAGCAATGCAACAGGGACACCATTCGCACGCACAACCACTCTTGGCTATTAATCCAGCTTCCTTCTTCTTCCCCTGCCCGTCTTCTCAAAATGGCCACGCCTAAGGACTCTGTTCAGGATACAAAGCTCAGCCTTGATAATCAAGCCAAGGATACGGAGGTCGCCTCCCATCATGAGTTCCGCGATCTGTATGGCCTGAGCGCCGAAGACCAGGCGTTTTTAGACAATCTGCCCGATAAAGTCAAGAAACGCGCCATTAGCAAGGTTGGTTGAATGATACGGGATTGTCACCTCGCCATGAAGCTAATAGAGATGTGATGTAGCTCGATTGGCGGCTAATCCCCCTGCTTACCTTTTTGTATCTCATGTCCTTTATTGACCGTACGAATATTGGTAAAGGACAACTTCATTTTCCCTATCTCAGATTGATCCAGTGGTTAATCTCAGTCTAGGAAATGTCAAGATCGAAGGTATCATGGACGATATCGACCTGAGCGGGGATAGATATAACGTTGCTACATGCATTTTCTTTGCACCATATTGCTTTTTCGGTACGTTTTTGTAGCAAGACAAGTTCTGATGTCTATCTCATATCACTCATCACCGACTAGAAATCCCAAGTAATTGGATCCTCAGTCGCACAAAACGCCCATCTTGGTACTTGGGCTCCCTCGTCGTTTCATGGGGCATTGTCATGACTTGCGCCGGATTTGTGAACTCCTACGGAGGTTTGCTCGCAGTTCGATTCATGCTTGGTCTCACAGAGTAAGATATACCACCTCTATACGCACGCTCTTCATTACTAACATCCTCTTTAGGGCCGGGTTCTACCCTGGCGCTCTTTACCTTATTGGTCGATGGTATACGCACAAAGAAGTCCAAATGCGTATCGCCATTTTTTACAGCGCCAGTGCTGCTGCAGGTGCCTTTTCTGGTCTATTGGCCTTCGGCATCGCCAAGTTGGATGGTACCGCAGGCTACAGAGGATGGCGATGGATCTTCATTATCGAAGGTGCCATCTCCGTCCTCGGCGGAATCGTCTGTTTCTTTGGCCTACCAGACTCTGCTGAACGATCATCTAGATGGCTCAGCAAGGATGAAATCGCGTTCCTCCAGCTGCGAAAACGCCAATCAGCCCGAGCAGCCTCGACAAGCCACCCAGAAAATTCCAATGAAGGAGAGAACAAGGGCTTTCCGTGGAAGACTCTCAAGAACGTTCTTCTGGACTGGCAGATATATCTACTGATCGTGATTTATTGGTCCAACGCGATGCCCAACTATGGATTGAAGTTCACAATGCCGTCAGTGATCAAGGGAATGGGCTTCACCTCGTCCACCGCACAGCTACTCACCATCCCCCCTTATGTAATGGGTACGGTCTCTGCGTTGGTGTCATCATGGATCGCAGACCACTATACTTGGAGATTCCCTTTCATTGTGTTTGGCCAAACGCTTATCATTATCAGCTATGCCATTTTGTTTTCCTATGGACCGACAGTTGAGAGTCGAGTGCCGGAGTGTTATTTCGCTCTCGTCCTGGCATGCATCGGCTTCTTGCCAATCCTCCCCAGTACCAACGCTTGGGCTATCAGCAACCTCGAAGGCCCTACGAAGCGTGCTATAGGACTTGCCTGGATGGTATCGCTTGGAAACTTGGGTGGAGTTCCGGGATCGTTCTTCTTCAAGACCGAGGAAGCTCCCCGATATCCCACAGCCTATGCAAGCTCTTTCTCGGTTGCTAGTGCTGGTATCATTGCTGCTGTCTGTCTTGAGCTTTCTTATTCTACAATCAATGCGAAGCGAGCGAAGAAGAGCGAGGAAGAGATCAGGGTGAATTACACTGAAGAGCAGTTAGAAAAGATGGGCGACCGCTCTCCGCTCTTCAGATATACCTTGTGAACACCGGCTGGATAGCAAACTGGCGATGCACGGGCAAGCGTTGAATCGAAAGAGCTTGGGGGATTTGTTACAGAGGTCAAATGATGTAATTAATTCCATGGCAGCTAAGTCAAGTGGTTGATTCTGTCATGATGATCCAGGTTCATGCATCGAAACAGTTGTGTTCAATTATTGATTCTCAAACAAGGGCTGGCTTCTCTAACCGGAGAAAATTGAACTATCCAATATCCAAGACAAAGGGTCATTCATTTCTGACCAGAGTGTTGCCATTGTGTCATCAATGTAGTTACGGCTCTCAGTGACCTCCGCAGTATTTCCCGCAAAGGAAGAAAGCTGCATAGAGCCTGTACCTAAGTTTGGGGTGTGAGCCCATGTTGAATGAGACTTGGTTCCTGCTTCCAAGAGAGGCCACGCTCGGCAAAGTCCGGGCCCGAACTCTCTAAATAATGGGAGAACGTTCCGTTCCGATCTAAATGTATTTACCGAAACATCCTGCCGTTCTTGCGACTGCTCCAGGACTTCCAGAATATGAAGCGTGGCCAGGGCCGAGGGGTAGCGGTCTGCAAAACGTCTCAATGATCGTTTAATGATGTCAAAGTCTTCTGCAACATCATTGTCAGGGAGAACTCGGAGCTTCGAGGCTTCAAGAAGCACCACACCCGCCGTGAGAAGAAAGAATTTATAGATGGCGGGCCCCAGGTTGAGAATTTCATCACGGATTAGGAGTTCTTCGAAAATACCTGCTATAAAGGAGGCTGCAACGATCAATCCCGAGGTGGAGTGAGTCTCGATTGGCGGCGGTCCATTTGACATCGTTGGTTTTCGAAATAGGATGATCAGTACCACAAAATACATAATGTGAAGCTGGCGACTGAGCAGGCCGTACTCCTTTAGTCCTTGCTGTGGGTTTTGATGAAATAGTCTCAACTCCGACGGCAACTCTCGTATCCAGAAGTATAAATCATTCCTGAAATGAAGCCACATACTATCGGTAATCAACCCACGGCTATGGCACTCTCCTATCCTGCAAAAGATTTCGCTAATGGAGACGTAGTTGACTGAGCATGATGCATGTGGATCGCCCTGTCGAAAGTCCTCTATAGTAAGAGGTGGTACTGTGGACTCTTCTGTTTGAATGGCCTTGGGCCGGCCGTGTGCAGCTGAAATTTGGAAATCTCTGGCCTATAGTTAAGTTGTTAGCGGTAAGGTAACTGCCGAACAAGAGACGGATGGACACACAGCCAGAGACCACCATAGCCGGCGCCGAAAAGTCTTGTTTTTCTGGGTTGACGTTTCCCTGTGTAAACCAATCTGTGTTGCTATTCCAACGCCGGTTCTTTGCCAGAACACGCTGCTATCCAGTGATATCCGCTCTGGGCCAGCTGGATTCCACCACTGAAGCAAGAGACATGCTATAATGAGAACAATTGGATTCTTCTCTTGATTGGAGTGAAAGAGCGCCTTTGCTTTCAAGTAAAGGTCTTTGCTTGATACAGACCCCATTGATGTGACACGACTCCCGGCAAGAAGAACGGCTTGGACAAGTAAAGGCGATGGGGGTTGTTCCGAGGAAGAGGATTCCAGCCATTTCCTCTCCACAACCGGTACCCAAGGGTAGCAGTACTTGAAAAAGCTATCAATGAGGAACGTTTTGATTGCACGCGAGGGGAAATCAAAGGCGTTGCTTGCTTCCAGAAGGGCGATGTCTGATGGCGATGTGCCATCTCCTTCCGGATACGCTTTTGTAGACTCTTGATTACGACCTTCGATTGCGGAGAAATAGAGGGCCCTTCCATCATGAACTAAACTCATCGGTGTTGATTGCACATCCTCTTCAGCCGGATCGTCATATTCCCGGGCCATATTCACAGTATGAGTTTGAAGGTCAGTATTTTGCCTGCCTGTCGACATTGACGTCTCGTCTCTCGCCATACCAAGCAAACATTCAGCCAGTGCGGTGTGAGACTGTTCTGCCGAGCTTTGACAATGATTTTGGTTCGAGCCTGGCGAGAATGAAGTGCTAACAGTTGGCGATGTCTGGCTTTGTTGCATCACGTTGATATCATCTCGATTTTCACCGATGACGCGTCTTCTCTTTCGCAATCGGGGTCTACTAACGTGTTAATTATGCACAAACCATCACCATGTTACATGAGACAGACCGGCATTCAACGCTATAGAGCACACAATTGGAGCAGGAAGACTTCCCGCTTGCCAAATCGCACCGAATCTTCCATGTAGATTAGCCATATGAACAAGTACGTTTTAGCCACACGCTCGTACCTTCTTCTGATAGCAAGCTGTGCATGCTGAGGTGACTCCTGGTCTTTTCTGGCCGCCACTCTCTTGCATTGCCTCGCTCATGATGTTGTTGGTGATATCCAAGGTGAGAACAATACAAGAACGATCGGCTGTGCAAGCGAGAGGGAAAAGCCGAAATGCGGGGGAATCTCCGGAAGCTCCAGAATCTCCGGAGATATTATTATGGAGATTTTGGGTCATTCTAATTGGCTATGCCGGATTCAGCTGCCGAACTCATGGAGGACTGATTCACGTTTCTTTCATACAGGAGCGAGGTTCTTAGACTAACTCTCTGACTGGCTACACTGTGCCCATCTTGGAGTCACCTGCCATTTCCATCTATCTTCATGCTATCTCTCACAAAGCCTGCCTTTATAGCTTATGTCTCTTTTCACCGCGAGCAAGTTTGTTGAACTGCTCTTGTGGCACCCCGGTCATGAACCGCTCCAGCCCCGCGAAAACCTCCTCCACATTCTGCTGCTGTAAGATACTCATTTCAGGCTTTCGGATAAGTCTCTTGATTTCTACAAGGCTGTCCCCAATCAAATGGTCCCCTAGTCCCTCGACCACTTCCTTCAAAACCTTTTCCCTGAACAATTCATCTTGTTCTTTGCCTGTATCAATGATACCATTAACGAACCCGCACTGCTGTAAGTCCTTGGCGGAGATTCTCTTGCTCATAATCAAGGCCTCGTTAGCCTTGGAAATTCCAAGGCGCTGAACAAATGCACGTGAGGCACTGCCCTCGGTCACAAGTCCGATGGAGGAAAACGGCGTAAGCAGGTATGTGTGAGGCGTGCAATAGATGAAGTCGGCGTGAGCCACGAGAGCAGCAGACATTCCCACCACGGGACCATTCAGACCGACGACTAGAATTTTGGGATGTGTGTAGAAAGCATGGGCGATGTTCAAGTTGAAAGCGACAAATGTTTGGAGATATTCTCTGTGCAGATTTTTGTTATCCTTCGCCGGTGCTGCACGGGGCATCCCGACGTCTGCCCCTCTAACAGATAGTTAGAAGCCTTCCGGGATATTACTACCACTATTTCGATTGCGTTTGGTGGTCTTGACGGGACAAACGAGTGAAGAGGGATGGGAGCTTACGCGGAGAAAAATCGGCCTTTGGCCAGAAGAACAGTGACAAAAACGTCACTGCGGCCCGCAATCTGGCGTAGTTTCTGTGCAAGCTCATAGTATTGTGCTCGAGAGAGCGCATTCAGCTTCTTGGGCTTGTCGATCGTGAGGATCGCGAAGCGACCCTTGTACTCAAGCTCAATAACGGATTCCGTACCGTACTCCATTGATGCCAAGCGTGAATATCGTCAATATAAGTTCGCCAATATAAGTAAAAGATTGAGTTCAGATACAACTTCACTTTCTTTGAAAGTCAATCTTATTGGTAATTAAAATCACTAATGGCTGGCAGAGGCTTGAAGTCTTACCCTTGGATCAACACATCGACCGGAACTTGTGCAAACGCCGTGGCGATTCATAACCCCGAAAATGCGGGGTGGCCGTTTCTGGGGAGTCCATCCCCATATACTTAGGTATATCCTCACGCGTTTGAAATCTGTACGCTGAGGTTGGTTTTGAAGGTAGATCAAATCAATAGATGATTGTCAAATTCCTTGGGCAGCCATCATGTCACAACAAATAAGTCGATCCGATCACTTGACTGTGGAGCGTTGGGACAATGTTTTCCTCTTCACAATGACCAAGGCACCCGAAAACCGCCTCAATGTCTCGTTTTGTAACGAATTAATACAGGCTTATAGAAATACGCGTGCTCTCTTGGGTCAGAACAGTGAAGGGGCCGTGATATTGAAAGGAAAGGATACCAAATTCTTCTGCACAGTACTACTCATACCCCTACTCTCATTAATGCATTACTTAACCGGGTATCTAGGGCGTGGATCTCTATGAGCGTGATACAAATCCCTATGCCAGTTCAGAGGGGTTCTATCCAGTAAGTGAAAAAAAAAAGGGGGGAGGAGGGAAGTTTAAATGCTAAAGTGAACAACTCCAGCTAGTCCGCACGATTCTTGATTTTCCGTTCCCGACGATTTGTCTTATTACGGGCCATGTTTTCGGGGGAGCCTGCCTGCTAACAATGGCCCACGATTACCGAATAATGAATTCTGAGAGAGGATACTGGTGCATGCCTCCGGTTGATCTAGGTCTGCATTTCGATGGCATCGGTTCACTGTTGAGGGCCAAATTGGGGCCTACTGTCGCTCGAAAAGTTCTGCTACAGGCTCATAAGTATAAAGCCACGGAAGCGTTGGGTGACGGCATAGTTGACGACATAGCCTCTCCGGATGATATGCTTGACAAGGCTCTGTCACTTGCAAGAAAGGTGCAATCGAAGGCAACCATGGGTGTTTATGGCATGTTGAGAGCCGAGCTATATGGGGAAGCTATTCAAGCCTTCGCAAATATCAGTAATGTTTACTCTCGTGTAATATCTCGGGAGGCAAAGGTCAAATTGTAAATATATTTAGAGCTGATGGATGGAAGACGCTACTGAAGTCAAATTATAAATTATGTCTGTGTTGGGCACGCCTCTTTGCTTGGTAATTATTACTTCATAGTTCAATGGCGTTTGTCCTCTAGTCTATCTACGCTGGCCGTATCAAATGAGTTGGTGTGGAATTTATCGACTTGGCGTCGTCAATCAAGAGGTATTGAAACCACATGCATGGAAGCAACCTAAGACCCGATTTCACAGTAATAAGAACGCCATAGGTCCGGTATAGGATTAATTAATGATCCCAGTGCATAAAAGAAATCAGCTGTTTAGTAGAAGAACTAGCACCATTGATTCCTTTCACAATTTAGACAAGATCTTCCCAGCATCACCCGATCCCATAATGATTTCATCATTTCGATAATTCGGGTTGAATGTGAACTTGTTCAGAGGGTTAAGTCTATGAGCCCGGTGAAATAAGTCTTCATAGACACGACCATCATATCTACCCAGAGCACTAGCTTTGATGTCAGTTGGCGAATTTTTGAATTCGTGATGTGAAGCTCACCTGTTTAGTAGATAATCCGGGAACTTCCAGGAGTCCACAATGCTCACTGCGTGTGGTCGGATGGATGCCATGATGTCGACAAGATGGTCATCTGCGAGAGCGTCGAGATCACGTTTTGGAACTGCCCCGGAGCGCTCAAAATCTCGTGAATGCTTGCTCATTGTAAAAAGAGCAAACAGCCTAAACAGCTTCCAGATGACTTGTTTAGTGCTGAACGGTAGTTTAGTGTCGGCGCTCAGTTGGTCGTAGAAATTATACACGAGAATGGCCTCGGATTGAGCTTTGAAAATGACATTAGCCAATCTTTACGGTTAATCTTACATCTTGGGGTAGGGATAGCTTACCATTGCTGAGGTCGTGTAGTCGAATCATGAGCTTATCATAACCCTTACCATGGACCTCGGAAGCTTCATAAGCCTGGAATGTCTGCCTGATATTAGTGAGGGTGGCTCAGAATGAATGAAAATAATGCTAACCAGAAACGACGAACGATGCTCAAAAGCGGCCACAATGTCTGAGTCGCTGTTCAGAACGTCCAATGGCCTGGACGTCCTTGGGAGCTTCTTGTCACAGTTAATTTGCCAATACTGGGCCAGCGTACTTTCAGTACGGTTTGAGGGTTTCAACCCCGGCTGAGATACAATCAACTTGGCTTTCTTAAGTAGGTATCTAGCCATTTGCTGAGTGATCATCCAATTATCGCCTTCAACAGTTGGCTTCGATAGGTAATCGCGGCTGAGTCCTATCAAGCCCGTTTCACCACCGAACCCATGGCCACCCATTGCCCGGCGGGCGGTTTCAATCCCCGAGGTAGCTAGCTCAGTAGACAAGGACTTGAGACCAGACGAAAGGGAGTGTAAATCAATCAAGTTTGAGAGATTGCCTTCCTCTTCCACGGCGGAGCGAGTGCGGTCATAAACTTCGCCCATGACTTTACCACTGTAATGCAATGCAAACCCAGTGGCAAGGAGTGGAAAGAGTCGAATTTGGACCGTTGTATAATCAAGTACGGAGGACTCGTGCTCTGCACCTGGATTATCCTTCGACTTGAATTGTCGTCGTACAGCGCAGTAACGGATTGCCACAGTCACAGCGCGTGCAAGCATAAGTCTAGCAGCCATGACTATTCGTTTGCGGGCCTTGTTCATGTCAGAGGGCGGCATTCAACTTATCAGGGGAAAAGAGATATGTGTTTTCATACATGAGTGAGTGACCCATAAACCACCGCTCTATTTTCTGGAGCACGGTATGCACCGGTTTCGGGGTCAACGGCGGAATAACGAGCAAGTAGAGCACTATGAGGAACTCTGTATTGATATATACACGGTTAGTAATTCTCAATCTTTGGGTCCGATACGGATGTCTAACCTGACTTGATTCATGAGCATATATGCATTGTCCATGCTATCATACCCAAACTTCGCACCAATATCACCCACGACAACTCCCTCTAGAGGCAGGTGGCTCTTCATGTCTCGCACTTGAACAATGAATGGGTGCGGGCCAAATGATTTAAACCTGGTCTTTCCAGTGGTAGGAGCACTCGGGTCCGGAAGCATGAGCTGAGCGATAACAACCGCATGGTTGGCAGTTTTACCCAAAGTACCGTTCCACCATTTAGAAGCAGTCAAGGTGGGACTGTGTATGACGAACTCTTTGGTCGATTGATCCCAAGTTGCGGTAGTTTCCACCCCTTGAACATTGCTACCGTGGCCAAGCTCAGTTTGAGCATAGGCTCCGACGATATCCCAGTCCTCACAGCGACGAAGCCAGTAGGCACGTTGAGCCTCATCAGTCTGTTCACGCAGTGTTTGACGGAACATGGTATTTTGTAGTTGAAACGGCGAAATCTCATCCACCAAATATTTAGCCATCTCATGATCGTCGTCGGACCATCCATGTTTGTCTTGCAACTGCCGCATGCGCTTCCCTCGGGCTAAGCCCAGCATGTAACGCTCAGGGCGTGACAAGTTTGCTTGTTTTTCTTTAGAAAATACTTTCTCTTTCTGGAGAATTTCGAGCACTTGCTGCTGTCGTTGGAGATATTCACCGCCAAGGACATGTTGGGCAAATGCATCGACATCAATGGAAGAGCCGCCACGCTCATGCGCCAGAGTGGATGGTCCATCAGGAAGGGACGGCTTTAGTTGGTCTACCCAGCTGTTTTGCGCCATTTTGACAGGTGCAGTTTTCGGGTGCAGTCTTCGTTTTGTTTCTTTGAAGCTAGGTTGATTGGTTGATATGCAGACTGAGCTAGAGTGCCTTCAAGACGTATTTCGTTCGGATGTCTAACCCTTCTAGCTTCGGCATTATATCTTTTTGTCGGCCTGCAAGCTGCACCATTCTAGCGTTTACTCCGGCAGTGCGTACTTCTCCGAAACCATGATATTACCACGGAGTTTCGATCCATGCTCCACGGCTGTGGAATGTCCGGCTACGTACGAATCGCCTCAAGGTGCGGGGTAAAGCTCCGGTCAATGATCTGACAGACGATTAACTGTTCCAGAATTCCTAAGCAGTTATGTAATGTATCTTACGACTATGGCTGGTCAATATGCTTTGGATCATATTTACTCATTTCTTGCTAACAACATCTTGATGATCAAAATTTAAGCATACCGAATGTACTCTGTGAAATAAGTTCAATAAATACGAGCGTAGTATTCTCATCGTTCTAGAATAACTTCACATAGCGACAGGGTTCATTCTGCGGGTATGTAACAAATTTTCTATCACAGATAGTTCCAAGTATATGTATATCCAAATTGATTGTCTTGCTCCATAATTGGCTTGCTAGGTTGTCTAAGTAGTATCTTCTCACGGATGCCAGTATTGAATCCATCACTTCCGCAGTTCAATCAACAATTGGTCTATACTCAACAAGCTCACGATGCCATCTGTATCAGAGCTTTGACCTCTTAGGCTTGTACATCTGCACATCAAGATGTCCATTGGCGGGGAACAACTCCTTGCTCACTTTCGGCTTCACTACCTTGCCTGACGGTGTCCTTGGGAGCTCTTCTACAACTCTCAACAGTAAGGGCAATTTGTAGGGGGCCAATCTACTGCGTAGATTCGCTCTAAGCCTTTCGATAGTAAGAGGTTCAATCAGTCCCTAAGTCGCATATTTGTCAGTATTGACTCTTCACGGCCATCCCCTGTGAGAAAGTATATTTACCTCTTTACGTTGTACAATAGCTGCGGCAACTTTTTGACCATATTCTTCATCTTCAACTCCAACTACTACCGCTTCAGCAATGTACTCAAGACCAATGATCTCGCGTTCAATGTCGAGTGCTGACAACTTATAACCTCCGGATTTGATAACTAAACTAATCAGTTTAGAGAACATAGATTGTTTACTTGCAGAACTTACTATCAATCGATTCTCTGCCTAGGATGAAGAAGTAATCTCCCTCCTTCCGTGCTATGTCTCCGGATTTGTACCAACCATCTGGCGTGAAAGCAGCAGCAGTGGCCTCAGGTTTCCCGAGGTACCTATGTAATTCGTTAGTTGTGTGACGAAACTCTAAGAAATTCAACTTCAGATCCGGCCGTCATACCTCATAAACATATGCGGACTTCTCATCAAGATTTCTCCCTTGTCTCCTTCCGAGAGCTTGACCTCCACGCCAGGCAACAGCTTACCTGCAGACCCCTGGGTTCAAGAATTAGTATGGTTTAAAAAGAAGTGGATTGACTCAGAAACATACATCAGGATTGTTCTGGTCTCCAGGCTGAGCACTAAAAATGCCGCTGAACTCAGTTCCGCCATACCTCTCCAAAATCTTCCTGTTGCCACCTAGAAGCTCTTTCCACTTCGTTTGGAGCGAATGTGGAAGAGCAGAAGTACCGCAAAGCAGAAGACGGATTGATTTAGCTGCATCAGCATATCTCTGCGCCTCCTGGGGGCCTCGCTTCGATACAATCTCATCTTCGTAATATCTCATCATGCGCTGATACATGGTAGGCACGCCCGAGAAAACGGTAAGCCCGCCTTGGAGCCATCTATCCCACATATTTTTGGGGGAGAATCTCCATTTGGGATTTGATGCTCCAAATTCGATGCACGCTCCAGCCACGATGGGAGCAAAGAAATTGACACTGACACCGGTGGAATGATGCACCGGCATAACATGGAGAAGTGTATCATTTGGCTGCAGGTTCCACCAATTTGCGAATGTTTCGGCGTTGTTTGTACAATAGCTTCGCTTCTTCAAGGCACCCTTGGGTGGTCCAGTTGTTCCGGAAGTGAAGATGACTATGCCAGGGTCGGAATTGAGCAGTTCATGGTCACTCGAAATAGATATTTGGCTCAACGGAATGATGGGCTTGCCCAGGGCTGTAGCGACGTTCATTGAGAAGAAGCTCTCACTTCCGGTGTTCCTCATGACCACGGCAAGCTCATCGCCCTTGTCTTTATATGTGGAGTTGGTGAGGACGGCGACAGCATTCGAGGTCTGCGCAAAGTAGAATGCTTCTTTTACTGGAACATGGAAAGCTATCATGGCTGTCAGCGCTTCAGAAGAAAGAGTAGGAGGATAACAAAACAGAGAGACTTTTAACCCAACTTACCGATCGGCACCACAATAGCTCCAAGAGCAACAATAGCAAGAAACCCAACGGCAAACTCATAGGATCCATTTGCTATGAGGCAGATAAATACCTCCTCATTCCTCAGCAGCTTTTTTCTAACCTCCGGATGCAATTCGCCCTGTACCTGGTTTCGAAAATGGAGAACATCTGAAAGAAACTGAGCATGAGTAGCTTTGATTCCATGGAATACGTCGTGAAAAGCAATGGGATTGTCCACCGCTGCGATGTACAATAAACGGTGAAAAAGCGGGAAATCAGGCAAAATGGTAGACCCAACATGCCTGGGGAGAGCCGTTGCTTCGATGGCCATCTTTTCCAATGTAACAGCAGCCTAATCGGGATGAGAGAATCGTATGATCAGGTGTGATATAAAACCGCCCGACGGCCGTTTTGGAAACTCTACTCTCTAATGGTTTTAATCACAGGCGTCTGCTGCAGTGGGGGTCAGTCGGCCTCCCTCGGAAGACATGGCAGTTTGTCAAAACGCCATGGCAAATCCCCACCACTATCTCGGTATTCAGTACATGGAACATCTTGAGCCAGTAGGAAAATCATCAAATGCCCGAGTTTAGGGTCTTGGCACAACCAATTCGTTGAATAGCTAAGATATTGATACCACTATACGACTTCCAATATTGCCACCCACCACTGAAACACGAGGATCTCCAAGCAGAAACGCGAAGAAAAAGAATGTCCGGTGATTCGGCATGACTGGTGGCAACGCAACATCTACACAGCATCTACGCACCATAGGTGGCGCTAGTTTGGCAGTATGCTCCTCCATTGTGACATCACAAGGAGTGATTTCGGAACCGACTGTGGGGACGAAATCTCCGCGGCGATTTGAGATCAACGAACCTCCGCCCTTCGATTTTCTCCGGTGGGCGCGTCTTGGTCCATGGGGCTCTCACATTATCACATTTGCCCTCCATGCATTTGGCTTCTCCCCAGGGTACCATACTCTCATTTGTGCATGGGAAACAATCATTGCAAACCTTCTATCATAAGACTTATGTCGCTACCTACTGCTACTTTACTCTTCTATTACCCTGGATTTATCCCCTCGAACTCTGAACCTCGAAAGGCGTTGACTGGCCATTTCATTTTCGAAAAAAGTATTTTTCACCATGACTGGAGAACGGAAAGATGTTATTCCTCAAAATGAGTCTATGAAACGAAAAAGAGCTTCAAGGTGGGATTCTAATTTGTTAATAAGAGTCGCAGACTGCAAGCTAACTTATGATTTAACAGAGCTTGCTTATGTTGTCGGACTCGTAAAGTTCGCTGTGATGTTTCTCACCGGGGCTCACCTTGTACAAACTGTTGGCTGGATGGCAAGACATGCGTCGAAACGAAAAGACGTCAGAAACTGTGAGTTTATCCATGGAGTAAACTTCAAACACTTTGCAATTATGTCAGGTGGCCAAATCGCATGTGGCCCGAAAAGAATGCTTCCTTCTAGCTGTTTGGGCTGTCCCAACCTTTTTTCTTTCATAAACCACCTGACCTTGAAACACGCGTAACTAATGCGGCACAACTCAAGGACGGCGTCGAAGGTTTACGCGATTAACGATCCAGTAACGAAACCATCTCGGCCTACCGATTTCGAGTGTCAATTACCTATACAACAGAAGATCGACGATATTTCGAACGATCTCGACGTTTCTAGCCCGTATATCACTTATATTTACTATAGTTTCTTACGTATCAAGAACCTACACAGCCTCCTAGCGCAGGATGTCAATTATCTCGAGTCACAATGTTGCTTTCGAGTTCCAACAAAGAATCTCCTAGACGAGTTTCTCAAGCAGTATTTCTTGCACGTGCATCCTCTCACACCAATCATTGACGAGCAGAAATTTTGGGATATCTACAGAGACCGGGTTACAGAGCTATCTAAAAGACCAATATCCCTGCTAGTGTTTCAGGCCATGTTATTTTCATCATGCAGCGTGAGTGAAAGAAGCCACCACTACTCATACTTCCTATGAAAAGACGCCTGGGTTATTAACATCGAGCAGTTTGTATCGAAAAAAACCCTTTGCTTATTGGGATTCCAAAGTGCCAAAGTTGCGAAGGCATCGTTATATAGGCGAGCAAAGGTCGGGCACTTCAATATGATATTTACTACTTGTGGTTCAAACTGATACGTAAGAGTAGCTGCTATATGATTTTCAAACTGAGTCTTCATCTCTTGAACTGGCTCAAGCATCACTACTTCTCAGCCATTGGTGTCCCAAAATCTCATCGCCAGGTATGAAACAGCCCAGCAGCCTCTGGCTAAGTATAGCCATCAGGCACGCAATATTAGTTGGAGCACACCATTCAGTTTGCCATTCTACATCTAAAGTACACAAACATGGCTCGTCACCGAAGAACAATTCAAACCTCTTCAGACGGCTATGGTGGTCTTGTATTATTCGTGATCGCATGCTAGCTCTAAGTTGGCGACGAAGTTTACAAATTCTGCCTTCAATGGGTGATCTGGATTCTGCTGAAGTTATCGGCTTCTCTGAACTATCCAGTGAGGTTGGGTCATCAGAGGTTTACAGCCCCGGGGAGAAGCAGCAGATGATTCGCATTATTGAATCAACAGCGAAGCTTTGTATCATTATGACAGATTTGATCTTACTTTTATACCCATCCTCATTATATGTTACTTCTCAGAGTGACAAAGCGTCTACACTTGGGGAAACTGAAACTGCTTTCGACCAATGGTATCTCGAATGCTGTGCTCAGATTTCAGGCCATCGGCAGGGAATAGACCGCAGCCCCTCAGAACAGTGGGTTCAATTACATACCAGCTCAATGATTGCGACATATCAGTGAGTCTCTTATACAACAAAACAATAACAGGAGCACGGTAGCTAACCTCAAGGCAAGCACTACCAAAGTAGCCTTATATCAATACCTAGCTTTCAAGGACTCAATATCGTCACCGGTCATTAAGTTACCTGAAGAAATTAGCTGGATGCATGTAAACGGCAAGTACCACGATCAATTACAAGATGCTATCCTCAGTTCAACCCAGAAACTGGTTGAAATTTCCGATCACGGCATGAGTCAATGGATCCCTGCCCACTTGTGAGTTGCTACAATAAGCTAAAGAAAACTTTCCATCCCTCTAATTTTATTCATTTGCTTGTCGAAGATTGGTGTCTACCGGCACGTCTCTCCTTGTCCATATTTTATATGCGAAAACGACCGACCTAGAAGACTACATCATTCCATTAACTACAGACGAACAGGCAATGAAACTAAGACGCCGATCATTGGGCTCCCTGATAGAAATGTTGGACATTGCCGACGATCACTATAACGACGTTCAATACATCCTCGAGCCTCTTCGTGAATTTTCTCGTAATAGTGGCGTTGGCATGTTGCTGAGGAAGTTACTAACGCGAAAGGAGGGAGCCCAAAAGTCATCGAGTTGGATTAAGACCACTTTCGCAGATGCAAGAGACTATATCCACCTTCAAACGATCCTGGAAATAACACTCTCCGAGGGTAACCTTCCGGAGAGAAGCGATCTAGCCTCTTCGCTTAAGTTTGCGAATGATAATAATACAATAACCCCCGAGTCTTCCGACAATAGCGATCAATCACTGCTCGGTCTCTCACAAAGTTCTTTACTCTCCGATGCCGAGCAAAATTATCAGTCAACTTCCTCCAATACGGGAGCTTTATCAACCCAAGGCCCCTCATTATCAGATGATAGCCCATCCCCTTTCGTTGATTGGTGGTTCTCTGGGAAGAACGGTACATCTTCGCCACTACCAAGTCAGAGCTTAATACAGCCGGAACCAGGGATAGAATCCCTTGATGACTGCAGTATGCATATTCCAGGGGAAATTCCGCGGATTGGCAGTGGCCTTTTGGATGAGGTTGAACTGAAAGAGCTCTTTGCCGAAAGTGTATCGGGCAAGAGTAGCCCATATTAAAGTGTTAGTGAGGTTTCCAATAAATCACTACCATAGACTATATCCATAACACGTATAAATGAATAAATAAATGATCTATCTTCTTTACTCGAAGCTGGGTCAAGGTTATCACTTGTAATGCTGAGCCCATCCAACATTTCGTCTCACACACGGGGTTATTGGAAGAATCAACGGAAAACAAAGTCTGCGTTTTAGGATATATGACAGTCTCCTTTAGAAAGGTCCGGAATAGGAGAATTGCAAAAAGCAAAGGCAATCTGTTGAAAAGGTACAATATGGGACTTTGCAGCACGTGAGTTTCAGTGGAGACATCGACCGACTAATAATAAATGGAAGGATCTAGCCTTACAACCTCATTCCGTCATCATTGGCTCAAAACCAAAAGCCCCGCTTCTTGTCTGTAGCGAGCATCTCTGGCACGGACACGACAAATGCCCTCATTCTCCTGTGACACGCGGTAGGCGCCGATACACGATGTCTGATGAGAGAGCCTCTGCCGAAGCCTCTGCATCCCAGCCACCAACCTCCGGGTCTTCCTTGCTCTCACCGCGAGTATGTGAAAGGTGCCACAAGAGCAAAAGAAAATGTGATAAAGCCCTGCCGCAGTGTGGACGATGTGTGAGGTGTGTTTCATCCCTCCTGCCCGATGCTGTCTCCTTTATTCCATTGCCACTTTTCTAAAGAAGATCGACACCCCAGACTTCAGAGTACCTGCAGCTATGATTACTCCGTCAGGTCGTCTCACAGTAGCCCAAACAGCGATAACCATTCCGCTTCCGCCAAAGCCTCGCCCCCCGAGCTCCCAAGCGTAAAGGCAGACGACGATTACCAGGCTCGGGCAATCCTCAGGGCATTCAACGTCAACTGGCTACAGTCTCTCGTCCAATACTTTTCAACCGTTCACAGTGTATGTATATCTTGACCAATTAGGTCTTTTTCAATACCAGCTACTTGTCCCCAATTCAGAGCTCCCTCTGAGTGATAGTATCGATAACCAATCCCTCATAGTGGTTCAGTATTATCCGACCAGATACCTTCAAGGTCTTAATTCAGCAGCATTCCGATTCCGACAATGGAGCCTGGACAAATTCGTTAGAAAGCGATGAGTATGCCCTACTTATTATCTGTATCCATCTCGTCACAGATACTACTGCCCTTACGAGATCAGAAGAGGACCTGTTTGGGCCCATCTACCGGGGCGCCAAGCGAGCATTTGCATCACTGGCCTGTTTGTCAACGCCTACACCTGAGTTGATGCAATGTGGCGCCTTGATATCCCTCTTTGAATTTGGCAACGGCAGGGCAACTTTTGCCTACAGGACTCTCGGAGAGACAGTCACCATGTCCCACGTTGCTTCCCTCCAAAAGTGCAAATACTACCCCCAGAGACCTACTCTTCTCCCAGCTGAAGAGCAGAGCACATCTCTGTGGTGGGGGATGTTTATCCTCGATCAGTAAGCCTTGCTGTTTTCTCATCGCATAGCCTCCGTGCCTGGATCAGTCTTTCTCATACGATATTTTGATAGATACATTCACCTTGACTCGGCTGCCAAGGATCTACCACTGCTTCTAAACAAGCCCAATGATGACGACCTTCTTCCCACCTATAGTGTTCTCTGGGACGGAAGTCGTTATCTTCCTTACAACAAGATGCTCCCTGTGAGCATAGACGTTTCAGAGCACTTGGGGACATTCCAAAGATCTGCTCAAGCAGCAACTTTACTACACGCAGCCCATCTTTGGAACAGTGCGCTACGTTCCGCCACCAAGCTTCCCTCTGTTGCGGAATTCGCCCATATCGACCGCAATATTCGCAGCGCGTTGGATGCCATGCTGTCTCAGTGTGACGGATGGGAGGTGTTTTGCGACGGATTCGCAATGCTGATGAGGTAATTGGATCCTCCAAATCTCGGACGCCTCTTTCTAACTACTATATATAGCTCTTTCTTTATTTTATATCGCCCCTATTTACACTACTCTAGGGCCAAACCGCAAGATCCCCTGGGGAGCCCAACCGACGAGGATATGACCCAGTCTTTCGCCGCGGCAAGATTTGCCGTGCGGTTCATTCACGACTTGGCTATCAACTTCAACAATCACCTGGACAAGCATCAGGAGTGGTTAGCCAACCTGGCACCCCCGGCGACCATTTCGTGCTTCCTGGCAGCTGATCATATTGCACTATTTGATAACGTACACGAGGATAGCAAAGCTGGATTTCTGGAGATACAAAAAAGCTTGGAGACTTTCAGTAAACGATGGAGAATAGGAGGTAACTCGAAAGCTCTTACACTCTAGCAATCTGATGTTCACGTGCTAACATATCCTAGAAAACATGCTTATGGCCATGAAAAGGCTTGACTACATGTCCGAATAGCTTTCAAAATGCAAGAATGCATCACAGCCTTATCGGTCTGCTCTAATTGTATTATTAAGTTTATCTTTATCAAGATCTTCCGGAGAGGAGAAATACATCTACAAGACTCTTGTTCTTCTTTTCGAACGGAAGATGACAGCCATACTTTGTCTAATTGAGATATGTTTTGATGAATAGCAGATTACTATTTTTCAGGGGTGGCCAGTTGTTACCTGTCTGTCACCTGGTTGATATCAGCTGTCACCCGGATTCACACGAGTATCCAAAACACGAATCATCACTTAAAAGAGATAAGAACTCTAAATAACAATGCTATCTTCAAAGTAATACTAAATAGTCTATACACATATGAAATAAATAAAGAAAAACATCACTCCTAATGAAGCCCGCTCTCCCCCGTCTCGGCCATATACTGCTGGCACTTGACCAGCATACTAACCTGCTCGCCCACCTTGTCCAGATGCCCGAGGACCTTCTTGTTCCCGTCGGTAAAAGTCAAGATGGAGTACGGGATGCCCGTCTCCTGGCAGAAGACCCGCACGAGCGCCTGCACCTTCCTCAGGTTGTGCCGGGGCACGCGGGGGAAGAGGTGGTGGATGACCTGGAACTGCAGGCCGCCGTGGACAAAGTCCATCCAGGCGGGGCAGTCGACGTCCATGGTGGTCCGGAGCTGGCGCTGGGCGAAGGACTCGCTCTCGCCCAGATCGGAGGTGGACATGCCCCAGTGGGAGAGGGTGATCTGGACGTGCAGCGGCATGGTGATGACGTGGCTGACGAGGATGAAGACGACGCGGGCGGTCCAAGTTGGGATGTTGCGCCAGCAGAGGACGTAGCCGAAGAGGAACCAGTAGCAGGCCATGAAGGTGATCTCGGTTGGGCGGATCCACCATGCCGTGGTGGTCCCGAGGCCGGTGGAGCGGTTGCCGAGGACGTGGAGCCAGGAGAGGAGGTAGAGGTTGAAGCGGGCGATGCCCATGACGGGGTAGTAGGTGTACTTCTGGAAGGGGACGAGGATCTCAGAGGCCTTGTCCCAGACGTAGGTGAAGTCGTAGTAGGTGGAGTGTAGGGACTTGAAGAAGGAGGGGCAGGTAGCGAAGAAAGGGAGGTTCTGGATATCAGGGTCATGTTCCTGGGCTCAAGTTAGTTGACGTTCGACATTGATAGTCAAGCAGACAGGGATACGGGGGGCACGAACGGGTTGGTTTGTGATCAGGTGATGGACGTTGTGGCTACTCTTCCACCAGCCGATGGAAAGTCCACAACAGAAATCAGCAATGAACAAGCTGATGAAGGTGTCGATATTGAAATTGTGTGTGATGGCAGTGTGGGCTGAGTCATGAGCTGAAAACATGATTTGATGCTACAAGTATATGCCAATTAGTAAACGCGTAGATGGATAGGTGTCAACACCAGAAGGGTTAGGAAGTCTTACCCAGAAGAGGCCTAGACAGATGGCCGACGGGACGAACCACTGCCATCGGAGGAAGACAATGAACGCAGCAAACAATGTGAAGTACCGGGCACACTCTTTGCCATAGTCAAGGTACGGGGTGTTGTAGTACCCCATGTCGACAATCTTCTGGTGGAGTTCACCATACTTCTGGGCAATGTCCTGCTGGAGGATGGGCTCTACCGAAGGGTACTCCTCCAAGTCCCGGCCAACGTCCCTCTGCATGGCCCAGTCAGTGTACTCTGTGGGGGACAAGTGACGGATCTTGGGGGCGGGACGGGAGGCATCTGCCGTAGCATTGCGTCTCCGGACAGCCGAAGAGTCCGAAGAGTCCGGGGCAAGGCCAGCCTCGTACGCCTTCTTCTCCAGGGACTCCGCGGAGTCATCGGCGATGCTGCTGCTGCTGGATGCTGCAGACGTCGCCGACGAGGCCCCGTCGCCAATGTGACTGAGGAGATCCTCATCATCATCCGACTCAAGGGTCTTGGCTGTCTCGCTGGGGGTGTAGATGCCGCCTCTAATTGGCGGTGTCATGTTGGGCCACGGTCCCGCTGGCTTCCGGCCTATCCGAAAAGCCTTCATTTTCTGCACGGTGGCGGCGGAATGATACCTGCAGATGCATATGTCAGCTGGGGCCAGAAAAAACGACTAAAGATTCATAAGCAAACTCCGAAGCCCCGATAGCTCCAGCTTTTCAATTTAATTCAAGATGCCCCGGGTTCGGGTGTCAGATCTCTCCCTTCCCCCATCTCGGAGCCCTTGAGCTTAAAATAACGTTATTCTCCCCCCTCTGCTACCCAGGATCTGGAGATCTGGAAATCCGCATTCACTAACTGGTGCACACACACATGAAGCAAGGAGACAAGACTAAGATGGCTGGAAAAAGGACCTATCACGAGCTCAGGGCTGCTCGTGGCACATCCAAAAAACACTCTACCACCGGACTCCAGGGATGATCTTTTGGGATTTGCGGCAGAAAAGACAAATGAAAGAAAGAAAGGACAAGGGCGGGAGCAAATATCGCTTCGATGGAGATGAGGGCTGGGCATGTCTCTTACACTGTGATTTCATGAGTGGCATCTCTCCCAATCATGTGTTTGATGACCAAGTCACCTCCTGGGTGTCTGTTGAGCCAGGAGTCGAGTCGGAGAACGTAATCGTCCATGATTACGATCGCTTTCCCCTCTGCAATCATCTCCTTCACCTGGCATGGCGACACAATGTCGTCGCGACCCATCTTGAAGGTTCAATGGGTTCCGGCTGGTATAAATGTGTAGCGTCGCGTCGCAAAGGTCGATGGATTTTCGATAAAGGGGTCGGATCGCACAAAGGTTGCGCTTGGGACAGGCTGTCGGATTCTCGTCGCCGGCAGGTCTATTCAACGGACACAATGCTGATGATGAAGCTGGCGTTGGGCAGAAGGGTCACGGCTGGCTTCAATTGGGAAGGCTAGAGGATGCTTTTGAGCAAAGACGTGATCAGTCGGTCAAGACCCTGCTTGCATGGTGGCCAACAACGATTACGAGCGTCTCGGAAGGAAGTCGAGGTTATGGAACGATATGACAGGGGGGAGCATCCACAGATATCTCTCGAGAGGGAGGCGAGGGATATATCTACGGCCCAGGCAACCAAGAAGGGGAGAGAGAGGGAGCAACACCGACCGGGAGCCTCCGACCCGCGGCCACGTCTTTGCCAGGAGGAGGAACCAGAGGATAACGGGGAACTATTGGGGGGCCGCCTGCTCGTACCGGCGACGGAGAGTAGGGGCAGTTGCCGACACACCCCAAGAAGGGGTCGGGGCCTGGGAAAATGGACTCATCTCCATCCCGTATGGTTGAGGACCCATACCTCCATGGGGTGCGTCGTTAGCTGGGAGGGAGAAAGAGATGGACGGTCCTCGTTGATCGAGACGCGCAAAGCCACAAGGGGCTGACGACAAAGTGGAAATTGGGGGGTGGATATCGAGACCAGTCCAGTCAATGAGTCGGACGGGCGAACAACTAGCATTGGAGCCATCAACGGCTTGGCTAGCATGATCAACATAGCCGTTCAGAACGCTCCCCGGGGCTACGTGGGCGAGGTGAGATGGAGAGATAAGCAATGGCTTGCGGCAGAGATGAAGATACACACCCTTGGCGGGTACCTTGGCAGGATCCTTGGCAAGAGGGCAACGCCATGAGCGAAGGTTAAACCGAGGGAGCAATTTTGCGAGCGGGAGATTCAAGTGGGAAAAGGAAGGTGGAGGAGCCGGCGCTCAATCCAGAATGGAGCTGGAGGACCCTTAGAACAGGGGCTCGCACGTTGGTTCAAGAATATCAAAGGGCTGTGCATCCGGGAGCGGGGCGGATAGGAGACTAGCCAGGTCGAACCCCAGGGACGGAGCAGCAGAAGCAGAAGCATCCCCTCAGCAGGCGGGAATATGAAAGGCCTGGAACAATTCGCGAAGGGGGCCTGGGGACAAGGCCAGGATCCCGCACTGACCGATGCTTGGCCCAGATGACTGGGACCAGGTCCCTAGGTATGGCAAGCATGGGTCCCCACCCCAAGATGATTGTGAACACTTTCTCTCCACAGCAATAGGTCAATTGGCTTCCCCTCGTACATTTTGCCCGAGTTCTTCTGGTCTCCTAGTCATGTCCCTCATTCTTGCTCGAATAAGGTCCGTAAAGGGGGCTGCCCGCGTCCAATCAGGGGCTGAGCTACAATTTTAAATTGGTCGGCCTAATTTAGTGGTAAAAATAGTGGAAGGCCCTGTAGTTCAGTGTGGAGTTTCCTCTGCGCTGCTCTACTGTCGGCTTTGTCTCTCAGTGGCTGCACGTTCTCTGCTCACGTTCTAGTAGCCGGTCATCGTTCACGACGACATATTCGCCGCTCCGTTCGTGACGCGTTATTGCGAGTCAACTGGGACTGCTTCCCGAGTATCTTGCTGAGGTGTGGTAGGTAGGCCGGTTCAGGCAGCAGCAGAAAGCAGCGTAGACAAACGTACCAACATGCAGGTACATGACGCGTAGATTCCATGTTGGTTGGGAATTGCGGCCTTTGTTGGCGTGTTCTGATCCTGCCAACGCCCCCTCATCTGTTATACCGTACAAGTAGCCTTGGCGATCGACTGTCTTCGCCATTCCGTCTCTCAGGAGCGCCCAGCCAGGCAGTTTACCTATTCAATTAGAATGCCCTGTCTTCTACAATTTAGTTTCTAACACCAGGGCACTACCTAGAGAAATAGGCACCTGTAGTGAAGGCGTCAGAGGCTAGAGGCGAGCCGTCCAGTGGCTAAATCCACTGTATTCTGCGGACCCCAGCCAAGCTACAGAGGCTTAGCTGCCCGCTACACGTAACCGACTCCTGAACATCGTCCACGCGTCCACAAATGCAGGCACAGCGCCGAGGGGCCTGATGTCATCCACCGTCTGATCAACACAGCACGCACCACGATGGATTAGACTCTGTTTCGAAGAATTTTCCTGTTTCGTCATGTGAAATGGAACAACCCGAGGCGAGGACACAATGCGAGACATTACCCGACACCCTCGCATTATGTTCTGGGATGCGACATAAAAACCTCGTAAGTGGGCCCCCCGGAGAATCCCCGATCCCAGGCTACGAGCTGGTGCCATGACTAGCAATTACCTTGTTTTACTCCTTCCAATATACACGTAGCCCCTCCGTTTGGCACGAACCAGGTGTAGCTGACTAGTTTTGACGGCACCACATCTTTGCGACGAGCCCAATCACGAGTCAAGAGTTCGTCATGTGCCATATTCCAGCATTGGCTCCCTCCTTGGAACCACCTAAACTTCATGATATTGTCTAGCGTGTAGGGTAGGCGCGTTGTGAGGGACAAGAGGCTTTACTCAGACACCCTAAAGGCCGCTGTCTATACTTTAATTTCATATTATTTACACACTCAAAAGTTAAATGTGTAGTACACAAGTAAGGTACCAAAGGTAATCAGTTATTAGCAAATGGTGCTGTTTGTTCTCTTGGAAACCTCCCACGCCCCACAAATTCAGTCTCATGTAATACCCTACATCTTGCTTGGGGTCTGGGAAGAGAAGTCCCGAAATAAACGGATATGAGCTTGGAAAGACTTGAAGTTTGTAACTTAGAAGAGGAGGAAGTGGGGAGGAAAGCAAAAGGAAACAACGGAGAGGTCGCTCCCCAGAGCATCATATACTAGAATCGCCCAATGATTCTTTTTCCAAAATCCCCGGCGTCATCCATCAATTTATTATTCTTGCCGCACGCTAGTTGCTGAAAAGAATTACTCACGAGTGTTACGGCCCAGACTAAGAATCAATAACTATCAACGACAGAAAACAAATAATAAAATTGAGCGATGACACAAATAGACTACAAGAGGAAAAATAGAGCGGGATAAGAGAGGAAGATACAAGAAAGGGGGAAAAAATCCAAGACGCGAAACGAGGACTACTCTGAAATTAATTGTTTCTTTTGTCATGTTCCTGTCTGATCCTCAATAAACTCCTTTCAGACCCTCAACAATTCCCTGAGCAATCCCCGTCACGGTTTGAAGCTCAATGCGACGGCTCTTGATGTCCGCCTCCGCTTTTTCGGCTTCTTGGTTTGCCTTACTTATTTCTGACTTAAGTAAATCCCTCTGGATTTGAGTCCGGTTGGTTTGGGTTGGCTTTAGGGTTGCACCTCTCGTCTTACGGTCATCGTTGGTTGGTCCTTCTTCAGTATCAGGAAGAAAGAGGCTATCAAGCTCTCCCAGTTGGAACCGAGAAGTGACGGTAACCAATAATGATTCCATTTTACGGCAATATGCCTCGTCGATTTGCTGCTTGATCGAGTTGAGGTCTCGTAGAACTCCCGAGATTTTATCCTCGAGAGTGAGGGGTCCGGAAGGCTCTTTCACATTAGCTATGGACATACTGTAGTCGGATTGGGTTTGGGAAAGCTCGCCAAGTATCGTCCTAGCTTCCTTGGCCGTTTTTTCCCGCCGTTTCATCGTCGAGAGGCTTATACGCTCCCAATCATCAACCATACGATTGACAATGTTGCAGAAGTCGCTTGATGTTTCCTGGCCAGTGCTCTCGAAAGCAACGCGAAGAAGCCCCTTAGGGCCCCAGAGGAATGAAAGCTCGGTAATTCGACGCTGGGCTGCAGTGGTGGCCCTGTCCATGCACTGCATAGCTGCGAAGCTAGGAGAGCGCCTGCAAGCACAAGCACAAGCACGGATGTCTCTTGGAAGCCAGTCACATCTCCAGGCCAAGCAAAGTCGACGTTTAAGAACTTCTTTTTGCTCCTCCAAGGAGACGTGCTCACGAGTTACGTCGGGGCCCATGTTTTCAGTGGAAGAGGGAAAAGAGAGAAGACTCTGCGCTGGACCTGACTCTGCTTGATTGTTCGTATGTCGTTGGGGTAATACGCAGTGAGATTGGCTTCGTATGGGAATAAGAGAGTATACATCTTGGAGAGCGATGATTATTCTTGCGCCTGCGTATACAGTATATATAGGTGTTTGGTGATGATGGTGAGGGAGGGCTGGGTATGACGAGAAGATGTGAGTGAAAGACGAGGGTTAGATGGGAAGAAAGCAAGCGCCTTCATAGAATGCAACTACAGTTGAAGAAGGTACGCTCAAAAAGCAAGGTTTACACATTTAACTTGGCAGACTTAACTAGCTATAAGGAAAGGGGGAGGGTTTCTTTGTAAGCGCCCAAAAGGATCTGATCTGATAGACAGCGGGCTTTATATCGTGGTTTCGTGGTTCGTGTTTGCGTGTTCACGATGGTGTTGTTTACTGAGTCGGCAACTACGTAGCTCATCAAAACAAGCAAATAGAAACAACGACGGCGAGTTGCAAAAGGCATACCTCCGACCGTGGCGAATACAAACTTGGTCTCTAGGCAGTAACCACAATGTGTCTGATTGCAAGAACTAATTTACCTTAAGAGAGGAGGGCTGTATATTTTGGCATGAAGGCTGTTTGTTTGTCCCACTATTGAACACGATCTTATCAAATGTTCTTATCTTATCTGGTATCGCAGCTGGCAGCTGACTAACATAGCAAGATGATCTCACATGTGCCCTGCCGAGCCGGGCCGTATTTGTTCCGTAATTCTCCCAAGTTAGTCGGCAATCAAGGTCGAACGTGTCATGGAACATACCATGGGACCATGCCTCTGCCCTCTGCTGCTCGAAATAGTTGGTACGGCTTCGCGTTGGCAGGTCATTGCCGCCTGAAGCTGTTTGCCCGAATACTTGTGCAGGGCCACGATAGATTCTGTGACGCACAGTCGACCATGTCGAGAATCATCCCACCTGGTCCGAGGTAATAGACAACAAAGTAGAAAGATACTGATTAAACTGCGACAGGGAACTGCGACAAGACATGTCGAATTCATACGAGTTCCAGTCCCTCCGATTCCCAGTTGAGCTTGAGAGCTCGCTCGATGTTCCCAACGCGCCGCTCGAAACCGACTCGACCGTGATTCTCGTCATTTCTCGGCCCGTACCTGTCGTCCCAGAAGTAGTCCCCGAAGGGAAACGTTGTTCATATAACTCGTTGCTGCCGAGGCCACTCAGCAAGGATGGTGGCTTGTCACGTCTGTGAATTGGAGTCCTGTCGGGAAATATCTACACCTCATGGTCTCGCTCGGCAACCATTGCCATGGACGAAACGGTCGACAATGATAAATATATACGAACTCATGGATATATTCATGGTCGTTGGTGTCCATGTGGGACTCCTCCCGTGCGTAGATACTGTGTAATCAAGTCATGGAAGGTGGCCGCCTCGACATCTACCGTAAGGCCAATGGATTGTCTGATCCGGGTGCCCTTGACCAGTTGGACTGCTCGTATCCTTAACTGCTCAACCAAAGGTTGTCTTTACAAGCGTGTCTTCCGTGTTCGTCCAACAGTTTTACGGTCTGGGTGAATCACCACATGTAATGATCATAGCCAAGCAAGATATTTTTGAGTGCATCAAATTAGATTCGTTGTAAATTATCATCGCTGTCTATAATGCTGTCCGGCCGCACAGGCATACCATGCCGCCATGCAATCTGTCTGTCATACCTCGACACTTACGCCAGCATCGTGGTTAGTCGTAGCTTTTCTCCCACCCGCAGCAGTGATGCTCAACCACTCCTGGCTACTCTATTGGATAAATATGAAAAACGCCCATCCGCCGACATTATGGCTCCTTACTATGCTCCTATACTTGACTCGGGGAGGTGCTGTCTCGTTTCGTTCGCGGCCATGACATGAACCGCTTACTCGACCTTCTTCTGGTCCTGGATCTTCTGGAGCTTCTTCTGTCGGCGGCGCTGGTAGGCCTCGCTGCCGGCCTCGGTGTCGAGCATGTAGTCCCACCAGCGGAAGCTGGAGGCGTAGTTGCCGATGAACTTCTCGTGGTGCAGGTCGTGGTGGTCCGCGCCGGCCCAGACGGGCAGGAAGTGGCGCAGGCTCCAGGGGAAGTCGTAGCCGCTGTGGGCGTCGATGGCCTGGCACATGCGCAGCATGATCCAGACGTACATGGTGACGAGGTGCAGGTCGCCGGTGATGGCGAGCTGCACGACGGGGGAGCCCACGACGCCGAGACCGAGGATGGCCGTCTCGATGGGCGAGGCGTACTCGGAGGCGAGGCCGAAGGGGGCAGAGTAGGTGTGGTGAAGCTTGTGGATCTTCTTGTAGAGGTAGCGGGTGTGCAGGGCGCGATGGGCCCAGTAGTGCCAGGTGTCTTCCATGACGAAGCAGATGGCGATTTGGAGGGCCATCTTCCAGGCGGGAGGGAAGGGCACACCGTACTGCATGCCGAGGTAGGTGGCGATGGGGTGGAAGAACCAGATCTGGGGTAGCTCGGCGGTGAAGTGGATGAGGAGGACGAGGCGGGCGCAGTCCCACTGCTCCTTGAGGGTGGGCATCTTGGCCAGCTGGATCTTGTACTTGTTGAAGTAAGGGAAGAAGTCGAGGACGAAGAAGGGGAGACAGCGGCCGAAGTAGACGATCTCGTGGAGCGCGAGGCTCATGATGCCGGTCGCGTAGGTGTCATTCTGCATGTAGAGGTACCAGGCCTGCAGATAAGGTCAGTTGGCTGCTCTTTTTGGCACCAAGGGGTAATATTCAAAGACAAGACATACAGTCCAGAGAGCCTCGAAGTATCCGAGAGTCGGGTTCTCCTTGGATACGGTATCGACGATTCTGAAGTAGCCCTGGCCGGCTGGCAGGGTCGTGTTTGTGCCTCTGGTTCGGGGGGTAAAGTTAGCAGCGTCCTCGCGACAAAACAGCGACGATTGAGGGAAAGGCTGAGATCAAACTTACAGTCCGTCCATTGTGCACAAGTCCAATGCTGGGAATGGCGGTTGGTGCTTGGAAGAATGGTGTTGTTCTAGAAAACGGCTGGGCCAGGTGGGATGGGACAAAGGGGCTTGATTAATTATTATACACCGCGACTCTCCTGACAGTCCTTGGCGGCATTTGTTAAGCAAAACGTAAAATGAGGTGGGACGGATGAAGAGAGATCCGGACCCAGATCAGATTAGATCTGTGGAAGAGTAGCCAATGGCATCCTCTTCTGCGTCTGAGATGGAGATTCTCCTGGCCGATCGACTGGGAGCTACGGCCCAGAAAGGCATAGATCTGGCCTGCCAGACGCATCCCCGACGTATTCGTGTTGCTAACTTTTGAGGGACTGTGCCATCTGGCCAATCCGCGTGCCCGAGGCGAGTGGCGGCTCAAAGTCAAGCGGCGAGGGTCTGGAGCCTCCGCACCGGAAGCTGGTCTTCCCGTGCGCGTGGCATCGTACGGTGTCTTGCTACGACCTTCCGGAATCCAGGACGCCATGCCCAAGCGCTTGCGAGGGTATATCCGTGCTCTCAAAGTCAGATTGCCGAACCGCCTGGGCTGGCCTCGGTAATCTAGCAATCGCGATATCGAGATCTGACCGTGATAAGAGAATACGAGAGTGGATACGAATACGAACAAGATGCGGGAGGAGCGCGCCCGGTGCAGAAACGCGCCTGCCTTCAGTGCATTTCAGCGGCACCCTTCTAGAAGCCAAGTTTTACCTACCCTAAAGTCCCAAACTGTCATACTCAACGCAAAGCATCATACGATACGACCTTCATCCTTCCGCGATACCATAGCCTGATGCTTTGCGCTCAAGCTGACGCACATCCTTGCGATGTAACGGCATTTTGATTGCAATGCAGGCAAATCACGTGAGAACCAACTGTCAGCCAGCGAGAATGCAAAGCTGCGTTATCCCAACATGTCGTTCCTGAGGGTGAGTCGCCCTTCCGCAAGTCGGACCGCGAGTCTTCACCATGGCAGCGCAGAAGGCTCCCATAGAGTCAATCATTGCTGTCGAGCCCGTTAATGAAGATGGCCCAGATGTCTTCCAAAGCGTGAGGTAGGCTTCACACTGCGCTCCATGCACGATACGTCAATTGCATTCGCTAAATGGGTCACGATGACGGGATACAGTGGCCTTCATGACCAGAAAAACGCTCGATCCGTCTTTGGTGGGATCCTCATCAGTCATGCCATTGGCGCCGCCAGCCAGACCGTGCCCCCGGAATATGTCGTGTGCTCGTCCAAGTCGTCATTCATCCGCCCGGCAGCCGGCGAGGAGACGATCAAGTACGCCGTCGAGAGGACGGCAGACACTCGTGGATTTGTCACCCGCCTCGTGCGCGCATACCAGGGCCCCGAGAAGTTGCTTCTGTATCTCTCCACCATCACTTTCCAGAACAAGAAGAGCTCGGCTTCTCGCAACATACTCACCTATGGCCCGCCTCCACCAGACCTCGGTGGGATCAAACCCGACGACATCCCCAAAGCTTCCCTGCCGCAGATTATGCACTGGTCAACTAAGCAAGACTTCCCGGTGCATGACCGCAACTACCTCAAGTACAGAGAACCATGTGATTGGCGCCCGTGCGAGTTTACCGTAGCCGACGAGCCTACGGAATTCCGGATGCACGGCTTTGTCCGGTCGCCTGAGATATCTACAGACAGCCCTGGCATGCATATGGCAGCGATAGGCTATATATCGGATTCTTACATCATCGGGCCTTCGCTTTATGCAAACATGAGCAAGGTCGGTCGTATGATCGAAAATGTGGCCATTGCGGTCAGTTTGAATCACAGTGTGGTCTTCCACGACCTTGATGCAAGGGCGGATCAATGGATGGTCTGCGAGAGAAAGTCCTCCTGGGGCGGCGATGGCAGAGTCCTCACTCACCAGCGAATCTGGAACGTCGAGACGGGCCGCCTGGTCATCTCCTGCGCTCAGGAGGGCATTGCCCGGATCAAAGACGCATCATTTAAGCTGTAGGGTACGCGAGCGACGACAGCCAGAGTCTGGATTGTCGGCTTGCCATGGGGCAAGACTTTGAGGCACTCGAAAAATCAATTTTGCCCCAGAAAGCCCCATTTTCATTTCCTGTACCTGTCGTGGTGAATGGGGGCGCGGATATTTGGTCGGTGCCGGTCGAGCTCTTTGTTACAAGTCAATCCGAGAAGGTAGCCTTCTTAATTTGTGCCTTTGTAGTGTATACTCTCTTCACCCGGGCCACTTCAACAATTCGCGCGTGCCTGCGTGCTCCCTGCATACAACTGGGTCCGCGCGTGAGGATTTTTCGCTGTTTCCGCCAATCACACCTGATGTTCTAATCAATCCTTTCTTTTATCAATCAGTAGGATGCACATGACCCTTTAACTGCGAGGGTAGGAGCTGAAATCTCACCAAGAAATATCGCTCACGTGGGGTGAACGGCTGATCATTATGAGCGGGATAAAACCGAGTTGTGTGCGTAGGAGACACTTTTCCCCGGCTCTGCCTTGGAAGTTGAGACTCCGCCAGCCTAGAACCGGAGACTATCTCATTTGATCCCTGGTTCGATCTCGGCATCTGGTGCCCAAGGAGCTGTGCTGTATTCGCTCAGCCATGTCTAAACAGGGGTATATGTCGCTGCCGCCGAGGGACTCTCCTGCTCCAAGCCCGCCACTGAACACCCAGTGGAGGCGAATATCCTTCAGACTTTTGTCGGTATTGATATCAATATGTATATTCGTTTCTCTGTCCCAGCACCACCGCTTTGTGGGCAACGTATTGCATTTTGACGAACCCAACGGTGGTGAGGGGTCCTCCTACTTCAGCTGGGAGAGCATTAAACCCCAGGAATCATTCGAGTTTGTGCCGTGTTTCGTTTCGTTTCAGTGCGCCCGTCTCTCCGTACCTCTGAACTGGAATACTACGGCAGAGCAAAGAGAGAACGGCCCTCGCGCGGCTATCGCAGTCATCAAGCTCCCTGCCAAGGTCCCCGTGACCGACCCGCGATATGGAGGGCCGATTCTGCTGAACCCCGGCGGCCCCGGTGAGTCGGGGGTCTTTCAGACTCTGGGTGATGGGAAGAGCCTGCAGAGTATTCTTGATAACTCTTTGGAGCCGGGCTCCCCTAAATCCGGCTCATCGAGTGGCAAGTACTTTGATATTCTGTCCTTTGACCCAAGAGGGGTGAACAACACCACGCCTTCTTTGAAATGTTTCATAGATGCCTTCAATCAGCAGGCTTGGCTCCTGGGTCTACCTGACTATGGCCTGCTTTGGCATAGCGAGACCACCATCGGAATGGAATGGGCCAAGGCGGAGGCGCTGGGTTTAAGTTGCTCATATGGGGAAGGCGATCACGGCATACTGCGCTACCTCAACACTGCACAGACTGTAGAAGACATGTTGCAGATCGTAGAGCAACACGGGAAATGGAGGGCACTAGAGGTGACTAGGCTGTTGTCCGCTGCGAAGCCGGTTGACCAAGAGAAAACACGCGAGATCATAGAGCGCACTGCGTATAAGCCAGGCAAGGAATTGATGCAGTATTGGGGCATGAGCTATGGTACAATCATCGGCTCAACCTTTGCAGCAATGCATCCAGACCGAGTTGGCAGTCTCGTTATTGATGGAGTAGTTGATCCGGCAGACCATTACGCAGGTGCCTGGCTCACTCAGCTACAGGATTCCGACATGATCATCTCGAAGCACTGCGACTATTGTTTCCAAGCGGGCCCAGAGGAATGCCCTCTCTACACTGGCACATCCCCTGCAGATATAGAGGCGCGATTCACGTCTATTCTCGCCACCCTGGAACAGAATCCCATCGCCATCCCCGTGGCCCCATCACTGGATGGCGTCAGTTCGGGTCCCGCCATTGTCACTTATGGCGATCTACACCTCAACCTGCTCTCCGGGATGTACTTCCCCTTCGCCATGGCGGAGAAGTTGTTCGAGATACTCCTCGCTGTCGAGTCAAGGAACGCATCGTCCCCAGCTCTTGTAGAAATCGTATCCCAGAAACAGGCCATCCTGAACCCCTTCGCGGCCGGCCCAGCTCCATACGTTTCCGGCTTCGGACCCTTCCAGGCTATTTCGTGCATGGACAGCGGGGGGCCCACGAACCTGACCCGCGAAGAGTTCCACGAATTTGTGGCGGTTCTGCACTCTCAGGGCCGGTGGATCAGCCGCAGCTGGGCACGCAATAAGCTTGCCTGCCTGGGATACACCAGCCAGCCTGCGTGGAGGCCCAGCCTGGACTTCAAAACGCAGCAGTGGGCGAACACCTCGCACCCGCTCCTCATCATCGGGAACACCCACGACACGGTGACGCCGATACGCAACGCACGGCGCGTGTCGACCCTGTTCCCGGGCAGTGTCGTCCTGCAGCAGGACTCGCAGGGCCACTGCTCGCACTCGATCCCGTCGCTGTGCACCGCCCAGGTGGTGCGTGAGTATTTCCAGACGGGAGAGCTGCCGCATGAGGGGGCGGTTTGCGAGCCCGCCGTGAGGCCGTTCATTGGGTGCACCAAGGGGAGCGCGGCGGGCAGGGGTGAGTGTATATTTTCGTCGCCCGAGGAGACTAGGCTCTGGGAGACGATGGTGGATTTGGCAGATCCATTTGGCTTACGTTCGTAGACGGTTCTGGGGTTGGCATCGGTGTCGGTTGTTGCCTGCATGTGACAATGTACATAGCATAGCATAGCATATCATAGCATAGCGTTGGGTGAAGATGGTGTTCTGGAGACGCGCGATCTGGTGTTTGGTAGTTTCGTATATACATTCTTTTACTTGGATATCTTCATATACAACTGTGTCCTATTAAGCTTTCGCAAAGACTCTTGGTCTTTTTCTTCTTCTTCTTTTTCAATACGACTGTATGAAGCTGGCTGACTCGCATGTGATCCCCAAAAATGCTGGCTTCTAGCTGTTTGGGTTCGCATTTAAGCCAGCTTTTTTCTGCCTTACCGCACATGCAACCGTGTCCCGGTGTGTACTATTGGCAAAGGCCCCGTAATGGCCGTGATCTAGAGTTTCAGGAGGATGACTTCGTGACTGGTTTTTTGGATGGCTGGATATTAATTTCGCAGTACCAAACACGTGGACATACATGTGTTCAGGAGTTCATGTTGGTGTCTGGAGCAAGTTGACGTCAAGCTCGATGGTCTGGCTCGATGGTCTCGCCTCTCCCTTTCACCCTACTGATTTTAACGCTTTGAAAACCTGCTAAAACGCTTCAAGGGCTATAGTTACCCATGTGATATTGCGGGAACTACGTATGCGAGCTATGTTACCTCCATCCTGTTTGGGGATGCCGATCGGCGCTCACTACTACAACCAGACCGTGGAAGAGGACCGAAAAAAATAAGCATAATACGGGCTGTCTTTCCTTATTGTGGGCTACGATCACGCTAAGGCTTGGCACTCATTCTTGTTTTTCTCTCGCATTACGCACAAGCGATATTGTGACATATCGCTACTAGGGACCTGCCAAATCCGTTGGTTTAAAGGGGAGGCACCCATTACGTCTCACATGGCGCTATTCGCCATCCAGTACGAAAACCGGTTGGAAATGGATGCGGGAAATAAGCATTAAGCCACCAACGGTCGAGACTCCAAGCGAGAGACTGCGTCTCGCGAGAGGGCGGAAACACATGGCCCGTGGCTGTCCATCGTCTGGTGATGGCATCCCGCCTGGGTCCCGACCATCCCTAGCTTACACTCAGACCAGAGAGCAGCACGAGCATGGGGGCTCCAGTGGGGGAGTCTCATCGATTTCAGGGGTCCGAAGGTTAATAATCGGGATTCGGTGCCTGTGGGCCATCTACAACCAAACCATTGAATTGGAGATCACAACTGAACCGGCCCAGTCCATTTGGGGCTACACGATGACTTTTGGAGTCATCGTTGGGTACCAACCAGACGATAGGTTTCTCCACACGTGAGCCAAGTTGGCCATGCAAGCCATGTTCATCACGCTATAGCGTGTGGATGGGATCGGACATGAACCTGGGAGTGGCGGAGTCCGGTGGTTTACCGGAAACGATACACTAACGAGCAAGCATCAGCGTTGCTCGTGCGTCGATCTCCGGCTGCGATTGGATGCCGCCGGTTCAGCTCTGTCCAGGGACCGACTAAGCGAAGTGGGAAGTCTGCCAATTTTGCAACACTAAAGGTAGCGGCCACTGTTGAATATCTTGGCTTCCCACCGGTCATTCATCACTCTCGGGCCCGTTATTGCCAGTTCTTCCTTTTGAATCCGCGGTCGACCTCGGCTAGGTCTGCGCACCAGATGGACCGTTGAGTGCGCGTTTGTTGTCACCACCGTCGGGCGTAGATTGAATAATGGCAAGATGCACTTTGCCTTCGGGCAGTAGGATTGTTGGCCCCCAAACTGTGCATTTTGCCTGGCCACCTCATGTGACGATGTGTGGGCAGGGAATCCCCTCGTGCGAGCGATGTGCTCACAAATAGCTCAGGGGTCGCCATACTCTAATCATACTAACCACACAATGGACCATGAACAAGTGATAGCTCGAGTGGAATAACGTGCCCGGCGCCATTCTATCGGTATCTACCGATCACGAATCGTTCCGGGTAGCGGGCGTCCACTCAAAGCCCGCCGTTCGAGCATGTTGAAGAATCCAACCTGCAGGGATGTCGACTTGGCTCCCTCCCCCCCCATCCATCCTCGTACTTTAAGCTAGGCGTTCCTGCGGCAGGCTTTCCAGCTCTTTCGTTTGGACGTCTGTAACGTCGTCAGCCTTCTTCATCACCCCTCCGTCGCCGCGTCTCTGATCTGCTGCGGTCCTCGCCCAACGCGCCCTAATACCTGCTCATCACCACTCTCCTTTCCAGTCATCTATTGGCTGGGTGTCCCCTTGTGCGGGCTGCCCAGTGACCCAATCTGTGCCGCCGAGGAGCACTAAATGGAAACCATACATCATCGCCAGTATCGATATCTATTTGTTGACGACTGACCACACCTGAGCCAGCTCCGGCTGGTCGCCGGGGAATATCGAATGCCATGGCGCAACTCTCTAAATATACCTATCTGTTCGCGATCTGTACCTGCTTTTCTTTCCTTGATGCTTGGAACATCGGTACGTCAGAGCTGGGCGCAAACCGCTATGCAAACTAACATACTGACACTCTTCTCCTTGCAAGGTGCCAACGATGTCGCTAATTCCTTTTCCACGTCGGTTTCATCCCGGTCGCTTACCATGAAGCAAGCCATGGCCATCGCGGCGGTGATGAAGCTCAGCGGATCCTTGGCCGTCGGCTCTCGAGTCACAGACACCATCCGGCTGAAGATCGTCGACCCCAAGCTATACGAGCAAGAACCTAGCGTTCTGCTTCTCGCCATGACTTGCACCATCATAGCCTCAGCTATCTTCCTGACCTTTGCGACGAGGCAAGGGCTCCCCGTCTCGACGACACATTCCCTTGTTGGTGGTCTCGTTGGCGCTGCCACCGCTTCGGTTGGAATTACAAAGGTCGACTGGTCTATCAATGGCGCTTCTCAAGTCTTTGCCGCGTGGTTTGTTGCGCCAGGCATCTCGGGCTGTCTGGGCGCAGCCCTGTTTCTCTTTACCAAGTACTTTATCCTTACGAAACACAACGCTCCACGCAAGGCGTTCTATTCTATCCCGGTGTACACATTCATCACGGTGGGCCTGTTGACCAGTAAGTAGTAGTCCGCCAACCTCGATTCGATTCGATGGAGTCTTGGGGGGATGTTATAGAGATATACTGACTTCTCAAAACCAGTGCTTCTTGCCTGGAAGGGTGTGCAGAGCAGAGTTGATCTCACCACCGAGCAGGTTATCATGGCCGTGTTCATCACGGGTGGAGGCGCCACAGCCCTGGAGGTTTTCTTTATACTCCCTTTTATCTGGCGCAAGATCATGGTGGAAGACTGGCAGCTCCGCTGGTGGGAGGTCTGGCAAGGGCCCTGGCTGTTGAAGCGACCCCCTCCGCCCCCTCCGCCGCCCAGTATGTCGAGGGGGAATGTCAAGAACTACTATCGTGGCCACCTGACCCGCGACGAGCTGAACCAGATCCGGCGGTCAGAGACCTTGATGCAGTCGGTCCAGAACTCGCCCAACCTGCCGTCGACCTTGGACAATGACGACAACAATGACGAGATACAGATCCTCCCACCACCGGCGATCAGTGTGACAGAGCCCCCACCAGCAGCCCGCGGAGAGGAAGAAGATGGGACAAGAACCGTCAACGACGAGCTGATCCCCCCGAAACCCCCGGGTCCTTGGTACACCGTCCACGTCCTTATCTGGTACGTGAATCGAGTCCTGCTGCGCGGTCTGGAAAAGGATGTCATCATGATGCAAAAGCGCAACGCTGTTCTGTCCTGGAACCTCGACGATATGCATGCTCGCGCCGCGCACTACGACAACAGGGCAGAGTACATGTACTCGGCGCTTCAGATCCTCACAGCCGCGACGGCCAGCTTCATCCACGGCGCCAACGACGTCAGCAACTCGATTGGGCCGTTCACGTCGGCGTACCATGTCTGGAGCACGGGGGAGATCCCCAGTCAGGTGGGCGTCCCGCTCTGGATCCTGGCTATGGGTGGTTGTGGTATCGTGATTGGGCTGTTGACATACGGGTACCATGTTATGAGGAACATGGGGAATCGGTTGACGCTGATCTCGCCGAGCCGCGGTTTCTGCATGGAACTCGCGAGCGCGATGACGATCCTTATTGCAACGCGGCTGTCGTTGCCTGTGTCTACTGTAAGCAACACTTTTTTCTATGCTCACCTTGCATTTTTGGATGATACTGATGCGTGTTTCTTTAGACTCAATGTATTGCCGGCGCACTGGTTGGCGTCGGACTTGCCAATGGTGATTGGCGATGTATCAACCTGCGCCTGGTTGCGTGGATATATGGCGGTTGGATCATCACACTGCCTTGTACGGCGTTTATGAGCGGGTCTCTTATGTCGCTGATTATCAATGCCCCGAGGTGGGATAATAATTAATAATGATATACCTTAGATACGAATGACGAACCTAGATATTAATTTGTCCCCCTGTCCCGAACGTCTTCACACCCTATCCTTGATGACTACGCTGATCCTCCTTATATCGTTGCGTGAAACCCAAGGAGTTGGAAGCTAATGTTGCACCTTCACATCTCAAGTACTCGGTTCAACTCGGAGGGCTCTTATTGACTGAATGGCACAGAAGAGCTTGCAAGGAGACTTTGAAATGCTTTGTTACACTACTGGTTTGGCAAAATTCATTGCTCTCGAACATATCTTCGGCTACCTTTGGTATTTCAAATGATAAATACATTTTCGAAAAGGCAGTGGCGCTCATTACAAATGAGTCCATCGGCTCAAGACCTCTGTGGGCGTCGTTAGATGGGACATTATCCTAGACAGCGCTGCTTGAGCAACGAAGAGCCTTCGGCAAACAGCCGGCTGGATGGATCCCGTGACGTGTCTGATGTGTCACTCCTGAGTTCGTTATTGGTGTCGTCGCCCCTCTTATCTGAGGTTATCTGGTCGCGTCATTGCATCTACTGCGTGCCTTATATCCGGCCATGATACAACACCTGATTACCAATCTCCAGTTCCAACCGATCACCTGCATGTAGGCTGGAAGGCGTCATCTCATATCTGGAGCCGATTTCATTTCGACTCATCCTTGAGCAATTTAATATCGCTCCTCTACACATTAATACCTGTCACACGTACTGACATATTGACCTCGCCAAATTGAATAAAATCCGGCCATTCCATCTGTTTGCTGAAGAAATCGCCTCTTAACCATACCTGCGTAACATCATCTTCACCAAAACAATGCCAGGTCTTCGTGTCATCTACGGCGCTGGCTCTGCAGGCAGTTGGCGCAGCGAGACGGACGGACCAAAAGTGGCCGAGGTCCTCCAGGAGTTTGGCGTTGGCAAGATTGATTCCGCTCGGATCTACCTGAAAAGCGAGGAGCTCATCGGAGAGCGAGGCGTGGCGGCTAAATTTAAGATCGACACCAAGCATCCGGGGGGTTTCGCGGAAACCACCCAAGCAACCAAGGAGAACGTGCTCGCGGTCGCCGACATCAGCTTCGGTCTGCTGAAAACGGACAAGGTACGTATGCCGCCCCGCGAGGGAATTCTGCTGGTCAATCTAATGCGGCCTCCAGGTCGATGTTTACTATTTACATGCCCCTGATCGGACGACACCGCTGGAGCAGACCCTGGAAGGCATCAACGAGTTATACAAGCAGGGTCGTTTCGAGCACTTTGGCCTGTCCAATTTCCTGGCGAGCGAGGTCGAGGAAGTGATCCGCGTGGCCAAGGCAAGCGGCTTCGTCGTACCAACGGTATACCAAGGCAACTATTCCGCCATAGCCCGAAGGCAGGAAGAAGAGCTGTTTCCCACCCTGCGCAAGCACGGGATCTCCTTCAACGCCTACTCTCCCCTGGGCGGCGGTTTCTTGACCAAGACGGCAAAGGATATCGAGGAGCAGGCTGGGAGGTTCAAACTTGACACCCCTTTAGGAAAAATGTACTCTACGCTTTACAGCAAGCCCTCGTTTCTGGCGGCATTGAAGAAATGGGAGGATATCAGCGCTAGAAGCGGCCTCCCAAAGGCCGAGCTAGCATATCGATGGGTCTCGTATCATAGCGGCTTGAAGCCGGAGCTGGGCGATGGTATTATAATTGGGGCGAGGACCCTGGACCAGCTGCGGAAAACACTCACCGGTTTAAAGAGCGGGCCTCTCCCGGATGAGGTGGTGAAGGACATCAATGGAATCTGGGACACTATCAAGGGTGAGGCAGGGTTGGATAATTTCAACTTGAACGATGTCTGATGAGCTCGAGCATTCTTTCTCAACAGGATTCACTGCCCCGAAGTCTGTTGGGCAACCTCCCTTCACATTTTGGAGCTAATGAAGCACAATTGTTTCAATATTGCCATGTCCACAATTAGATGGTGACTCCGACCTCAACAATAGCGGCACTTCCAGGCTCGTTGCTAGGATCACTTTCCCAACGTTCCATCGCCTCCCATCAGATCCAAAATCCTCCTAGAGGCCAAAGAACGGGTCAGGGTTAGAATGAAAGAATAAATCATCCAGGTACAGCTGCTCAAGCTCGTCCGGGTCAAATGAAAAACTCTCATCCGTGATGAAATTTGAGTTCGGAGCTGGCTGCTGCTCCTGCTGCGCTTCGGTCAATGGGTGAGTGAACCGTGTAGTGACACGGAGTCGAGCCTCAGGAGCAGCTGGGGCCTCGTCCAGTATTTCATTGGAGGTATTCATATGGCAGATCTCTGGATCTAGCAGAGCCCAGACCAGGGAGGGCTGGAACATGATGGTATTGCCTCCTTCGTGGTTACTTCTCTGGTGATCGGCAATATGCTGTAGGTTTCGTAAGAGATCGAGCTATATGTATATGTGAGCAGGTTATGCCTTGTCCAAAGAAGGCTATCCATTATTTTGCATACCTTTTGCGACATGTGCGGCCAAATTAGAGCAGCACGAGCCAGATAGTCTTGACACCATTTCAGGTCTTTCACTGCTCGCTTCGAGACCTTCTCATCAACGGCGAATCGAAATAGACACGGCACAATGGCCAAAATGGCAACCAGGTGCCCGACCAGAGGACTGATAATCTCTAGGCCAAACCCTTCACTGCACTGAAGGATACGGAAAACCCAAGCGGAATGAAAGATTGCCAGGTCGACAGTCTGCTGTAAGAACGCGTGAGACTGAGGCCCTTTTGTCGATCGGCGTACGGCAACTAAGTGAATGAAGGGATGGTTGATGGTGGCGGGGACGGCGTGGAACAGAATCTGCATGAGAACCCACGATGTCCAGTACTCCCTCTGCTCGAAGATCTCGCCAGCTGTCCGCGTAGTGAAGGAGACATTCCGGAGGAGATGCATATGAGGAAGCTGGCGTTCGAATTCGAAGTAGCTGGTGCTCAGTTTGGTATGGCCGGATTCTGGCCGCCAAGGGATCTCATCGTTCCCAAGCTTGATGTCGTGGAGCCAAGTCGCGACGTCACCCCATACGGAAATCATCTGTATGTAGTAGGCATTGATCCCCAAGTCCGTGACAGCATCGTCAGAGTCGTAAAGACCAGCTACTTTGTCACCGGCACCGGCAGAGGTGAGGAGTGGTGGCAGGGGGGCACTGGAGGGATATTCCAAGCCGTCTAGGTATTTGGCTGGTATGCTCATGTGCGGTGAGAATATCTTCTCCAGGCAGAAGACGCTCCAACGACACCGGAGAGTGCGGTCTTTTTCACTGGAGTTCTCATCAGATCGTAGAGCGCGGCAAGAGACTAGCCGGGACGCAATTCCGATTGTCATCCAGGCCACATTAGGTTTACACGCTGTATTTAATCATTGGTGGGATGGTCTCTTTGGATAAAGGGGCTGTTGAAGGGGTCTGGAAACATACCTGCAAGCGCCGTCAAAGCTTGGAGGCAGAGCGCTTGGATAACCTCCAACCTTGCTACTCCCTGGACCGATAGAACTCTGGTCATGGCCTCGGCTGACCTGGTGTAGTGTTCAACCGCAATAGCACTATCTGGGTAGTAGACATGAGATTTTAGACTCAACGTGAGGGCCAGGAAGCTATGGAGGAGATAGCGCGGCGAAGATAGTAGTTCGTCCTTCAAGCCTTGGGATCGGAACAGAGGTATTGGCTGAAGGTGCGCCGACCATTGATAGACTTGGATTAGATCATTTAGTACCTGTGTTGGAGGGACCCTTCAAAATACTCAGTAAAATGGGACACATGGGAAAATGTATGATGAATGCTCACTCGATGCTCGACGCTCTTAGTCCTGTGGATTGTGGTAGCCCTGTAGGCGCCCTTGGGGCGAGGCTCTGATGCGAAGACATGGGCTGTTGCTGTGATGTTGTGATAGGATGAGTATTTGAACCTCCTGATGAAGAAGTACCTGCTCTAGGTGATTGACTGGGGAATGTTGTCAGCGAGATATCAGCACTATAGAGAGATGTGATATACTCCGTATCATTTTGCCGAGCCGTGGGCTGTACCCTAAGCTCTTGGGACCTCTTTTCAGGAACTGCCTTTGCTGGCTTTCTGGGGATTGCAGAAACGAATTAACACATTTGTATGATGGATGACGGAGAGTGACAGCTCACTTTACACCTGCTGGAGCTTGTGCTGTCGAAGATGGCGGTTTGGTGGCTGGGTCCTTGGCGCGGTATTCGCAACGCAGGTTCAGTCGCTGGCAGGCTGAGCATATCGGCTTCTCGGCCGGGCATTTGCTTTTCTTGCGACTACGAGTCGTTTTAGTTCAGTTCACATGTCGGTCCTTGGTGACGCGGTTTACGTACCGACACGGCACGCACGCCTGTTGGCTTCTCTTGTCGCGAAAACCGGAGCCGGAGCTCATCACGCTGCCTGAGAGCTGCTTGACAGCAGGGTCCCTGACGTGTTGCGAGGTTGGGATGTGGTAGAGGGATGTGGTTGAAACGCTGGCAGCGGATGGATGGACGTTGGTGAAGATTCGAGGTGGATCGTCATGGAGGGTTGAGAAATGTGGGGGACCGGGAAGGGTTTTTATGAGATTGCAGCAGCCTGAAAGATGCGCTACAGGGCCTCTATCAGCCAGTAAATGCCCGCTACCGAGATAAGCCTACGCCAGCCAGCCCCATGAGATATCAGATGACTCGAATGAATATTGATCACTATCTCCTTCGTGGCTGGTCTTCCCTCTCGATTAGCCTATTTACGGCTTCATGATGCCAATTTCTCGTTTTTCTCGTTTTGAGTGGTTGGGATTGAATAAACATCAATGAGTCTTTTGGCTGTGTTTCTATTCATCCTCCTCAACGGCGCTTTAAATAACAAATTATCTACTTAACTGCAAATTCACCTCAAGAACTGCTTGACTTATTGGATTATTACGTTACAATCTTGCAGTTGAATCCAAATAATCGTTGAGCTCGGATCTGGGCCACTCCGGGTTGAGGCTAGGATCCGGGCGCTCCCTGTCCCAGGACCACTTCTTCGCCAAGGCTGACTCGAGCTCGCCTTCCAGCATCTGTATTACATATTCCCCAATCACAGGGAAGAATTTGAAGCCGTGGAACGAGCCGCAGGTTGCCAAGTACAGCCCCTTGGCTGCTGCATGCGGGGAGATGATGAAGTCTCCGTTCGTGGTGAAGGCGTCCCTGGCTAGATGTCAGCCCATGAATCAAGTGAATGGACTTCAGCATGACTTACCAGCAAACCCGGAACTTCTCAAAGTGCCAATCCTTGACCTCCTTCCCGTAGAACACCTCGCTGACAGAGCGGATATCTTCCTGGAGCGGCTTCGAGACCTTCCACTGGCGGTAATCCTCCGCATCAGGGGGTGATGAAATGTGACGACCCGGCAGGACCTCCGTCGTGTTTCTGAAGATCTTTGATCCCCACCATTTGAGCTCCCTGTCTTTGGTGGGTGCCAGACTACCCAGAAAAGGTCCTGTTTTGCTCCATGTCAGTATCTGTTGGATGTTGGCCCTGTCCGTATCGGTGAACTCACCTATTTCAGCAGGATAGCCTTGCATGCCCACAGGCATAGAAGCAAACCGCTCATTGTATGTCTTCTCATCCAGCGTCACCATGCCCGTGGCGATGCCGCCCGCTACGATCCTCGAGCCTGCCTGCAGATCTGACAACCCGGTGCTGCGCGCACTATACTCCAGCAGCTTGGATGTGCCGGCACCCGTGCATACAATGGTATGCGAAGCTGTCAAAACCTGCCCCGCCTTGGTCTTGAGCCCGTGGCAGACTCCCTGACCATCTACCAACAGGGTCGCAGCCTCTCCCACCACGTACTTGACGCCCAGTTCAATTGCTGCTTTGGTCACCGCACGCAGACAGTCACCGGCGAGAGCCACACCGCTCGTCTTGTTAATAAGCACCTCCTTGACACCAGTATAATCAGCCTCCTTGAAGAGCCCACCGTAGAGCTCCCGGGCCTCGTCAACAGTAACGGCAGAGATGTCCGCCTTGCGGTTCAGCTGCTTGTAGTTGTTGATCACATCCTGGGCGTAGCTGTTGCGGCACATCCAGAACATGCCCGTCTCGAGGAAGTACGGCTGCCAGAGGGGGTCGGACTTGAAGACGTCCTGGGACTCGATGGCCATCCGGCAGTAGACGATGTCGTCGTAGTCGGCGCGGACGATCTTGTTCCAGTCCCACGAGGCGGCGACGCGGCTGTCTGCGTCGAAGGCGTCGCGGTCGACGATGGTGACGGAGGCGTTGGGGTATTTGCGGATGAGGTGGTAGGCTGTGGACACGCCGAAGACGCCTGCGCCGATGATGAGATATGATGGCTGACTTGATGCCATTGTGGATTTGGATAAAAAGAAGCCTCTATAATAGAAGGGAACGAATGCTGCTTTGACTTAGGATTGAGAGCACAAGTTTGTTGGACGTGGGGTTTACCTACTTTATATTCATCCTATCTCGCTCCGATACTTCGATCTAGATCTAGAAAAACAACCCAGGGAAAGATAACCGCCTATCTATCAACCCAATCAAAATCAGATCCGTTCAAGCAAACCTCGCTTTACCCCATCTTTTACATGGCCGTGATAAAGGAAACCGGAGAAGCATATGCCGGTCACGTGCTCGTATCTCTCTTCTATTGGCTCCCCCGCATTTTGGTGTGTGATTTGGGCCGGTCAGATGACCTGGATGGCCGATTCCGGCGTGATGGCTGATCCGAGCCGGTCTGCGCCGGGCCTGATATGCAATTGATTGTTCCCTCTCGACATCCTAGGTGTAGAAGAAGATTTGAAACTGCGTGCAGTGTGGCCCGCATCTAATAGGGATCTAATATGCATGAATGGATCGACGATGTAGGTAAAAGCAATGAGAGCGGGCTCTGATTGCTATTGATATGCGCACTCCGCACCGGCTTGTCCCCTAGTTGTGGCGCCACTCACCCATCTAAAGGGGAAATACTGGAAGACCGCATACTTATTTACCTCGGGATGAGCCTTCAGTCTCATCATAAAGCACACGGCGCCGTTCCTCGTCGTCTGGATCTGCAAGATGTGAGTCACAACGTGAGATTCTCACAGTCGATGTAATCAGTATGTGGTGGCTTACCTGGTTGCTCCAACCCCAAGGCTGCCGCAATCCGTGGTGTTGCTATTTTAGGCCTATCGGAACTGTGAATCCAGAATCCAGATATCCGTTCACTAGGTTCGGCCGCCTCCTCCAGACTCCGGTCATTCCGTGTTTCTAATGTAGCTTCTCGTGAGGCGGACTGTCTCCAGAACTTGATGCCTCCAATCTCCGCGTGCTGTGGCCTGGATACCTGCTCTCCCTGTGCCTCGATAATGACGAGATCAATGGCGGAATGCCAACGCCACGATGGGCACGATATGATCACGTCGGCGGTATTGGGGACAATCCTATCTAGGAGATTGTCAATCATGGGGAAGAGCCGGTTGATCAGGATATCTTTGATTTCTCTATTGTTGATGGCATGCCGATCGAGACCAATAGACTTGGCCTCGTCTGACGATTTTCCAAATGCAAGCCGAAGACAAGCCATGGACGGGAAGAGTGGTGACGGGTGTTTTGATATGCTAGTGTTGCCTTTCTTCTCATTGCTCTTAAAGGCTTCATCGATCGGAGTACTGTCGAGGTCCCAGAGCAGTTCGAGCGATGTCAGATGTGAAAGAACGGACCAGGTGAGTATGGACTGCATATGTCGGTGGAGGGCAGGTGACGCAATGTGGATGGTGTTGGTTCGATAGAGAACATTGAAGCCTTCTACGTAGCTGTTTGTGTTCAGTCAGCCGAAAACATTCAACATGGCCTATCGATCCATGATATTCCAACTCACGCTTGTCGACACGTCAAAAGCCAGCCGATCGCGCCGACCTGGCACTTGTCGGGCCAGTTGCCTGGCCAGGCTTTGCAGCGGCCCGTCCCTTCTGTGCAACGATCATCCTTGGGTTCACAGGTGTCACTGCAATCCATTCTACTGCTTCGCAAGACGGGAACATGGGTGTCGGAATAAGCTTGCGGGTTCCGAAATGCACCATACGATCGCAGGCCGCCGACATCTCGGTATGAGGAACGATGGCATACGCAGCCAAACCATACCCACTCCTTGGGCAGATCTGTTCGTAGGTGGGAGTCGGACACGGTAACGAGACGTTCAATCTTGGCGTGGCAGGCGATCCTGGAGTCGCCATATCTGTCGAACATTGTGATGAAGAAGGGGTGCTGGAATTCGAGACTCATGTGCATGGTGCGCCCACCAAAGGCTTGGACCAAGATCGCATGCCGAATCTCGGCCGGCAGACCAAAGAACCCGGCCGAGGTGGGCGTGAGAGTAGCTGCGATCTCCGAGGCTGAGACAGCAGGTGTCTTCTGAGTACGGGAATCTGTCTTGGCGGACAGGAAGAACTGCTGGCGGAATGCAGCCTCATGCTGCCTAACCCTCCGTTCGCCCAAATAGGCAGAGGACCTCCTGATGCAGCGAGACAGGCGGAAGGAGTTGAAAATGACATAGCCAACGAAGGCAATGAGCCACAGGGCGGTGGTCAGCACGGGGTGGAAGATGACGACCAGGATGATGCGGGGGAGCGTGCGCTTGAAGCCGTCCTCCCTGACCTTTCGCTTCAGGCTGCGCCAGCTCTCCCGCCACCAGTGCAGGATGGTGAGGGGGTTGAGGGCCTCGTCCCTATTGAAGTCCTCAAACACCTCGGCCACCTCGGTCAGGAAGTCGAGGGCGAGCTGGACGATGGCGTGCAGCTTGCGGGGCGCCTTGGTCGACTCGGGGTCCGTCATCTCGGCTCTCCGCGAGACCAGACCAAGCCAAGTGGAGGATGGCACACGCCGGTCTGGCGATGAGAGTGTCGGTCATTAATCTCCCGGCGGTGGGCCTGGTCCCGCTCGGATGATCTGGCGCGATCTGGTCTGGTCTGGGCTGATCTGATCTGATCTGATCTGGCCGGAGGCTTGTCTCTGAGGATGGGTTGTGATGGCTTGATCTGATCTGGTCTTCGGGGATGGAAGGCAATGGGCTCCTCTGCTCTGATCTGATGCCGCAGGACAAGGACACTTTGCCTGTCAGCCTTGGGGGCGCGTGTGCTTAATATGCTTAGTCGGTCGGGGGCGGTTTGGGCAGAGACGAGCCAAACAAACAAACATGTCGCTTTGTTGTTGCTTCAATTGTCTCACGTGTGAATCTGCAGGGATCATCAATGGTGGGAATAAACAGACCTGCAGTGGCTGATTGGCGGTCCTCAGCGTGTTTTCAGTGCTTACAGTGGATGACATGCCCTGGATGGCCTGCACTGACCCTGTAAATAGCGGACAAGCCTTCTGAGCAAATCTGAAAGGTCCATCCATTGTTACCTTATCCCAGCTTTACTCTCCACAGCATCACAGACCACAGTCAAACGAGGGCTCTTGATATCAAAGAGCTCGGGCCCTGAGTTTACCAAACAGCCAGATACGGCGTATTCTTAAATTCGACACCCATGTATTGAAGCTTATAGGAGATCTCACAAGAAAAACACTTCCAGATACAGCACCGCGTATCAGGAGGAGCTCTCCCGAATAATACTATTAAAGGCAGGACGATCTTCTCCCGGTGCAGCTCAGCCATTGTCTCAAGATGTGCTTTCCTGTCCAATGCTGCCCAATGCCACCCTCCATGTCCACACATGATCGGCGATAGTGCTCTCCCAATCCGGAGGTAGTTTGCCTCTCGAGAGCAGCGGAGTATTCCATTAGAGTGCTAACTTAGTATTTGTATTTAAAGCTTCGTTCATGTAAATGGTCGCGTTTGCCAGAGATGCAAAAGTCGTACTCAATACAGACCTCCTTTGTCCGATCTGCGCCTCCTAAGCCTGGCGGTACAGGCGAAGTGACACGCATCCTGAGTGGCTCCGAAAAGCAGACAAGGGATCTGTGTTCGAACTTGGTATCTCCACCTGAAGGTCTTCGAAAATAAAGCCCTTCTGTTGATATAATTACATTGATTGCTAGTAAGCCTCTAACATCACTTGGGGTTCCGCCATTGTAAGCTGTACCTCAGACACTGTTAAAATATCGCTCGGGTTCCTAACTAATTCGAACGTTTCAACCTGAAATGATCATCAAAGGACTCTTGAAACCTATAGATGTCGGAAAAATTGACAATGACTACCCCGGCAGTCTGAGAACTTCAGCTAGCTGTACGAAACCTCGATGGCCCAAACGATGCTCCTCGATTGCCACTTCTGGCTATTATTAAAGCTTCTGAGAAATGGCGGTTTTGAAGGTCTCCATTTTGCACGAAAATTCGAAACGTTAATATTGCCAACATTTTCGAAATGCGAAATCGAGGTGGGTGATTGCGGCAATAATGACCATTTCGTGTTCTCCTCCGGCCGGTAACCTCGGTGGCAGTCGGAATAGACTAATGTGCTACGACTATAATACCGGTGATCAATGTCCGGGCTTCGACCAGCCACAGGAATACAATTTCCACACTCTCGGGATAATGGGCGTCGTGAATTATGTACGGCTAAGGGAATAGATGCTTCCTCAAGAAGAGCGCGTGGTCCATTTGATGTATCGACCCAGGCTAGTTTTAAGATGCTGGTATTCGGATGGGTGGTAGGGGCTCGTGTCTTGAACATGGAAGCGGGAATAAGTAGCAGAAGTGTGAGGTGAGCAGGGGTTGTCAGATATTGATTTGTCATTAGCTTGTAGCTTGCCATGACGTGCTTTTCTTCGGCTTCTCTCTTCATGAAGCCGGGCGGGGTTATCAAGCCATTGCCGGCACATCATTATATCTCGCTTGTTTGTCATCACTATATAATGTAGAGAAGTCCGGCCACTTGCACTTTCTTTGCCCGGTTGCTAACTTGCGGAATTTAAGCTTTTTTCTTGTATCATAATGGCCACTCAGGTAGCTGTGCTCGATGATCACCATGGGCTCGCGCCCTCGTACTTTGACAAACTGGACCCATCGGTTTTCACTGTCAAGTATTTCCCAGAAACACTACGGCCATATAATAATGCCACTGCCAGTGAGGAGGAAAAGCTGGAGCTTATCAAGAGATTGGAGCCCTTTGATGTCATTTGTATGTACATACGATCGGGGTCTCTCAGAGCAAGCCACTAATTAGTCTAGCAACTTTGAGAGAGCGAACACCATTCCCCAGAGAGTTGATTGAACAACTCCCCCGACTCAAGCTGATTCTCAGTTGCGGAAGAAGGAACAAGGCCATTGACATGGAAGCTTGTCAATCGCGCGGTATCCCAGTGACGGCTACAATTGATAAACATGTTGGATTAGTCGACAGCACCACCGAACACATTGTCACACTCATCCTCGCCGCCTGCCGAAGCATACCATACCACGATACAGCCATCAAGACTGGCAAGTGGCAAACGAGACTTGTCACATCTATTTCCGGCAAGACCCTTGGTTTGGTCGGACTCGGGCGCTTAGGTGGGGCGGTGGCTCGTATTATGAGCCTCGCGTTCGGTACCAAGATCATCGCCTGGAGCACCAACCTTACTCAAGAAGTCGCCGATGAACAGGCCAAAGCTCAAGGTCTACCCGTCCACAATCAGGACGGAGAAAAGACCTTTAGAGCCGTGAGTCGCGAAGAGCTATTCAGTACGGCTGATGTAGTGAGCGTGCAACTAGTACTCTCCGACCGAACCAGAGGTTTGATTACCGAGAGCGACTTGTCCAAGATGAAGCCTTCTTCATTCTTTGTCAATACATCTCGTGGTCCGCTCGTCGTTGAGAAAGACTTACTCAGTGCACTTGAAGCTGGGAAGATCAGGGGAGCGGCACTGGATGTGTTTGACTTGGAGCCTCTGCCTCTGGACAGTAAGTGGCGGAACTCGGACTGGGGCACGAATGGCAAGAGTCAGCTGATTGTTACACCTCATATTGCATTTGTTGAGGAACGCGCGATGAATGAGTTCTACGAGCAACAAATTGTGGAATTGCTCAGATGGTCCAGCGGCCAGACACTTAGCAAGACTATGTATTGATTTGTTGAGTTATGAATGTAGAAACAGAGAGCTAATATTCCCAAATTAAGAAATTGAACCAAAATTTACGCGTTCAGTCAATGCAAATTCGAATTTGATGGCGTATTTTGTGATTTACAATAACCCCTTGGACTTGTAGGCCCTTCAAACATCCTCAAGGCGTTTACACAAATTATATACCCTTTCCATCTAAAGTTGTTTCAAGCCGGTTCTTTACTTGTTCAACTAGACGTGGATATTTGTTTTGGTCACAGGCTTCCCATCACGGTAAGCATCCAGGACCTCGTTGACATTTTCGGCAGTGAGCCCATGCTTCACGACATACCCGAGAGGCTTGATCTTGCCGGATTCAAGATATCCCGGGAGACGGTCCCAAAATGGTCCAGCCAGGTCTGGCCACCCGTGGGAGCTCCCGAAAGTATCCCTGATCTCGAAACCAGCCTTCTTTCCCAAGACTTTGGATTCATCAACTGGCTGTCTCGGTATAAGCCGAGCCAATGCGCCCTTCGTGTGGCTCGATAAAGCGTTCAACGCGAGAAGTTGACCTTCGGCAGGGTTCACCGCTTCGAAGGCATAGATCAATTCATCGCCAACCACGTCCTTGATTTTACCAAGCACAACATCTTGTCCCCCGTGGCGATCGATGACATGAGTCGCACCAAATCCCTTTAGGTCGTCCTCATTTCCGCCAACGACAACAATCTTGCCGATTCCTGCGAGTTTGGCGAGCTGAACCCCGAATTTGCCACAACTAGAACCTCCACCGACTACCAGGAGTGTCGTGCTGGCGTAGTCGAAGCTTCTGGCCTCGTCCGTCCATGGCGCAGGGATCCCCAATACCGCGAAGATGGCTATCAGAGGCGCGATGATGTTACATGGCAGCGTCGCAGCCTCGTCATTGGTTATCCCATCGGGAATCTTTGCAAAGGCGCCCATATCGGCTAGACTGTATTCCTGAAGCCCATGTTGAGTCCATTTGTCGTTGGTAAAAATGGATTGGATCATAACTCGGTCCCCCACGACTGTATTAGCCACTTCTGGGCCGACTTTCGTGACCACGCCGACCACATCATGTGTAAGAATAGCCGGTAGATTGTCGGCGACCATGAGCCCTGTGTCTCTGGTCTTTCGGTCATGAGGATTGATGCCGGCTACAGCGATCTTGACCTGAATCTGCTTCTCCTTGGGCTCTGGAATTGGCCAGTCGGTTACAAGGACAACTGGCTTACCCAGCTCTGTCACCACAATGGCTTTTTGTGTTTGGGCCATGATAGAATTCGCCGTCAACTGAACTGCTGTGATTTCAAGTCATAACCTCCAGGTAACGGCAGTGGGCTATTGTTTCTCATTTTTATAATTCAGCTATGAATATTAAGGCTTGCCTCTCGCTCGAACTGTTCGATACGCAAGCCGCCATCGGCGCAACCTGAAGACCGAGCACCGAGATCTATGAGAGCTTGAAAGTAAAGATCATCTAGGCGTATTATTAATATGGTGTGATATTCCCTTAGTAGCGGGGTAATTTTCGTCCGCTAGGTAGAGCATAAAGCTTTCGGCTGCTTCCTACTCTAGAATATGAGCGATGATTGAGACGGAAAGTCCGCGGGGATCCCGAGCTCTTGTATTGCTTAGCATAGAGCTGCTGGAAAGTCCATGGAGGTTTGGAGACCTTGTAGTCGAATATAAAAGCACACAAATCTGTTTGCATTGTCTTGGCTAATGAAAGACGAACTCTATTAAGGATGTTTTGGCATAACTATATAAAACGAACCCTTGGGCTGGAAGCAAAGATCTAGCCTGGCGAACGTCGAAGAAACTGAACGACCATCATGTCCACTCCTGAAGCCATGCTGGATTGCCATGATGTTGGTTTTACAATGTGATAGGCCAAGCATCTTGGCTTGAGGTGCTGTGAGCGGGGGACTTCGTGTCTAGAGAGTCAGGAATCTTGGGTCTTAATCCGACATACCATAGCCCTATTTTATGTAAAAATGCTGAGGGGGAGTCACCCAATGATGTTATTCAAATATAATTGATACATCTGGATCACACGAACTTCAACCATGTAAATCTCAACGGGAGTGGAGGAAGTCTCTTGACTATCCCGGGGTCCACTACTGGTCGATCGCTACTGACACCGACATTCCCTTAATGAAGATTATTTAGTGTGATGAGACGTGGCCTATATTTAGTCCCCATTCTATGAAGAAAGCTTTGTGTCTCATCGTCATTGGTGATCCTCCAATTTACTTGTTCAGATTGCCTTGTCGTTGAGAGTTTTTGATCCTAAATGTTGAGGCAGTTCACCGGTTATTAGATATTACGATGCGTGACGATTGACTGGCGGTAATCTCTGTATTGCAAAATGTGTGAACGTTTAAAGACTTGAATAGAAATATCCGTAGACAAGATTTGGTAACGTGAGAAGGAATGCCGATCCGGAGGCAGCATCCTATCCATCTACACCAACGATAATAAACCAATGACGGCATAGTGCCATCAACCTATGCTGCCTGATTTCCAATCGAGAACGGATCGTCGGAGGGGATTTACAGAAGTTCTGCAATATTCGTCTGTTATGTACAGACTCATCTTGCCTGCTGATTTGGCCCCCAAGTCGTAAGCACGAAAGTGCTCGCTGATTGGCGAGGGCGTTGAACAATCCTGGGAATACGACTTTCTAAAAAGCCCACAGCTGCCTCTTCGATCGACAGCTGCCTTATTGAGCTTAGCGGTTGGTATAATTCCCAGTTGAGTTCTACGATCCGACGTGGGGCAATCCTTCTGGCTTCTACCTTGCTCTGAATTGTTAAACTTATAAGAATCTGACTTGCGGTCAGACAATTGGGTGGTGGATTTTCATTCTTAAACTTGCACTTGGAAAACGGCGTAGCAAGATGGTCAAGGCACAGTTCCGATCAACAGTCTTCCTCTTCCTAGGCCTCTGGCTGGCCCCAAATGCCTATGCTGAGCCTATACCGACACCTTCAGGAAAGTATAACGTAGGGATCCAGCGTCATTTGGTTCCTTTTATCAACAAGAATGATCCAACTTGGCCCAATGAGGTATCAACGGAGTATTTGGTGACTCTGTACTACCCCACTCCCGACGAGGCCGCAGAGCCCAGTCCATATATTGAGCCAGAGCTGGCACAGCTGTACACTGACTTCTCGGGATGGAACTTTTCGCACCTCACGTCAACAATGCGAAAGGATGCCTCATTCCTTCCCAAGCCAGCAGGCCCGACATTACTCTTTGGCCCGAGCGGTTGGGGTCCATCAACCGATGGCGATGGTATTTTGCTTTCCGAGCTGGCTTCTCACGGCTATGTCATTGCCGCCCTGGACCATATATTCGAGCAGCCGTTCCTTCGTCTTCCCAACGGCACCGGCATTTATGGTCTCGCTATTGATTTTAACGGGGACCTCGAGTACATCCAAGCCTTGCATGAAGTCCGCGTGCGGGAGATGGTACACTTCGCCGGGTTCCTCCCAAAACTAGCGGCCAAGTTGCACGCCCCTTTCAAGACAGACAAGCTCGGCGCTTTTGGCCACTCCCTTGGCGGCTCATCTTCCCTAAACGCTGCTCTGGAGACGGACAAAATCGCGGCGGCGATCAATATGGATGGCACGAACTTTGGCCGGCTGAACACAACCTCCGATTCCCTGAACAAGCCCTCTCTGCTGCTGGGATTCGATGGCCACACGCCAGAGATTGATGATACGTGGGAGAACTTTTTCAAATCACAGAAAGGCTGGTGGCGTCTCTTCACCGTGACCGACGCCAAGCATAACGACTGGACTGATATGGCGTTTTGGAAGAAATGGGGGACGACACGGCCTCTGGGAGCTATTGACGGGGATAGGATGGTCGCTTTGAGAAACAGGTATGTCAAAGCCTTCTTTGACGAGCATCTGCTTGGGAAGGATGATGCCGTTTTGGACGGGCCATCTGAGGACTGGCCGGAGGTGAATTACATTCAGGGAAACCAGTGATCGCGGAATGCGGATCTTTTATACTGGCTGTGTCTCAATCTATTAACGGTGATTAGAACACTTCTATTAAGCTCCCGCAATGATTAAAAAAGGAATTTTCCAACTGTGCCAAGGTGGCCTATCTATTGGGCGAACCTAGCTTTTTTTCTTGTTTCTTACCTCATAATCCACTTCATGATGACTGTCTTGAAAACTGTTCGGCGACTTCCTGTTATAGGGTTGTCAGCGTGTTGTTACATCAACAGCAAGGGGATAACAACAAGGGGGCTGAGCGGGGTGAACACCAGCTGGCTCTGAGGCGCAGGAAAGCAGGCTAACTCAGAGGCTCAATTAATGGATGTTGGTCGCGTCCATGCCATTTATCATGCATGGGACGGCGCAGGCGTCATCCCGCGCAATTCCCTCATTCCAGGTTGCCATAGCAAGACTGAAAGGATAGCTGTTACTCCGTCAGTTCCGATCACGAAAGATGTTCACTTACGACCCTCTTCAGGAGAAACATCGCGAGATCAGGCTCGTTCGACTGGACCCGTCCACATTTGCCGCGAACAGCCCGGACGATGCCGCTGCGCCTGAGACCATCTCACTGGAGATGCGGCATGCGTCTATGAACGATGAAATTGATTACGCGGCATTATCGTATACCTGGGGAAGCCCCCAGGACACGGAGGAGATCATCGTCAAAGGCACACCGTGTCCTGTAACCCGAAACCTGGCTGCAGCGTTGAAACAATTCCATCAGCAGAAGCTGCAGTCGTGGCTATGGATCGACGCAATCTGCATCGACATGTCAAATGCTCCCGAAAGACACTTGCAAGTTGGTTCCATGAGAGAGATCTACAGTCACGCCAACGTGGTCCATATCTGGCTGGGACCAGGCTCTTTGGAGACCGACTTGGCGATGGATTTGGTGTCTCGTCTAGGCCCAGCCGCAGTCGCCTGTGACGTGGCGAGCTTACACGACCATCACAAAGTGCCGCCGGAGGTTAAGTCCTACATCAAGAAGCGTGCTGACTCCCGAGATCTAGATGGAGGGACCGAAGATACCTCCGGGTCCGCGTTGGGGATGTTTCTCTACGATCTTTTCGAGGAGGAGGGCTTAACCGGCAAAAGGGAACCTGGGAGTGGCGGAGGCCCCCTGAAATCTGGAATTGCGAACATTCTGAGACGAGATTACTGGCATCGCATCTGGGCTTTCCAAGAAGTGATTTTATCAAGGGAAGCCATTGTATATGTTGGCACAAGAACGGTCTCGCTCGACATGTTCGACGCAATATTCACTGCAATGTGGAGCTACTGGATCCACGATCTCAGCCGTCTGCAACCAAGGTGGAATAACTTCCGGACGGGCTTAGGAGGAACGCTGTATACTATCAAGGGGCTTGATACCCGTCGTTGGATGCGATTTCCTTCCGGCCCTGTGAAACCGAAGCTGGCAAATATCTTGTGGGAACATGTCGTCGCACCGAGCCGCCCCTTCTACAGCGCGACAGACCCCAGAGATATCCTATACGGGCTTCTAGGCATAATTCCAGTAGAGCAAGCTAAGAGAGTGCGCGTCGACTATCAGAAACCAGTTGCCGAGGTGTTCACAGAAATAACCAGAGCCCTGCTTGATGAATCCAGCAGCCTTGAAAGGCCGGAACCGCATGCTTTTTACCTAGACTCTTGTCTTCCAGGGGAAATAGACGGTCCTCTACCCACGTGGGTTCCCGATTGGGGGGAGATTGGAAAGTACGGAGTGCGAACTTGGGAAATCAATTACTTTCGATACTTCAATGCTGCTGGAAACATACCCCAGCCAGCCTCTACTCTAAGCAATGGTGTTGGAAGTCTGGGGATAATCTGCAAGGCTGGATGCCGTGTTGATGTGATTACCAAAGTTATGGAACCGCCTGAGTGGATTCAGATGGATCGGTATTGTGCATCGCGAATCTGGGACGCAGACGCCTGGGTTCAACAGATCGCTCGCTTCGTCGGATTGGGCCCCGAGTCAGGGCCTGGGGAGGATTACATTTGGCGCACGGCTCACACTCGTTCCACCCGTCGAATCAAAGCTGATGAGGCCACTCGTGAACTGGTCCGCAAGATTATGCGGCATGAACATATTGATGCCGGAAGTTTAACGAATGAGCAAGTCCAGTATATCTATGAGGCTCGCAATGGCCGTTCCTTCGACTGGGCTCCTACGGGCCCCAGGGACGACCAGCTCCGACTTTTCGCAAGTGAATGGCGACGGAGCGTGGGTAGTTGCAGCAGAAACCGGACCTTTTTCAAGACCGCGAAAGGGATGCTTGGTCTTGGGCACTTAGCAGTTGAGACTGGTGACATCGTAACCCTTATCTGGGGTGTGCGTTCACCAATCGTCCTCAGACAGCGAGCGGATGGAGGCTTTTATTTTCGTGGGGATGCTTATGTAGATGGGATCATGCATGGCGAATTTCTTGCTACCTGCCCTGCACATGAGGAGTTTTCAATACATTAAGCAACCACTTCGATTGTATATGAGTCCTTTTGATCATATATCTAGGCTTCCGAAACTTGCGAAATTCCCCCATTTTAATGGTTTGACAAGCTGATAGCACCTAACATGTCATTTCAAGAAACTCAACTGTCTCTGTGAATCAAGCAAACCTGCATCTTAAGCTCGCCTTCACCAACGAGGCCACGGACCTCTCAACCCTCCAGCTTTTACAAGACTTCCGAGAAGACCGTGATGAGGTAGCTCAGGTGCGCAGCCGAAAGATGTGGCCCCTTCATGGTTTCTGCTGTCTTTGTCTTAACACATTATGCTTGGGTTTGAGTGACGGAGTCACTTTGTCCTTTCGATGTGAATGCCTGGTAGTGCCGTAGAGACTGCCTCATCGTCCTCCCAATCGAGGCATACTGATAATTTGTATCTTGATGTTATTATGATCGGATTCGTTGAGCAGTATACGCCTCGCGTAGAGCCTTGCATCGGGAATCGGCCGCCATTGGCAGTATGCGTCATCAGCAAATAAGCTTGTTTTCAGGTGCAAAAACCACTACTCTGTCTCACAGGCCTCACACTGAAAGGCTGTGATATGGCAGCGAAAGGTACCGGAAGCTTGCCACCGCGCATTATTGCTTGCGTACCGGTTTTTCCCTTTTTATATGCATTTGTCATCGATCGCGGATTTCTTCCGTAGATTGCGAAGTTATGCGAGATGTTTCCTTCGATGTGTCGTTTCCCTGCAATGCGGGCGCAGGTTCGTTCACGGGCAGTTCTTGGGCCGGAAGCGTGTGTGTTGGCTTTTCGATGATAGATGGAGCTTCTGGCAGCGAGCCATACAATTCTTGGGGCTGCGGTGGTATGGTATCTTCGTGTAGCTCAGCTGGGTGACTTGATTGTGAAGGTGGCTTCTGTGATTTGTCTTCGGCTGGAATCGATTCTGTGGTGAGGGCAGATGCTCTGGAAGCAACCCTTCGGCGTCGTCGCCAGATAAAGAATGCCCCCGTGAGGAGAATCAGGAGGAGAACAACCGGTCCGAGTACAGCACCAGCTATCCACGCCCCTACATTAAGGAATAGTTAGACCTAGGCCATAAAAGACGCAATAGGAACAAGTGCTCCAGGTACTTACGATCTGTGTTGCTATCGTGGGAGTCTGGCGAGGCTGTGGCAGACACCGTGACGGTCTGAAATGCAGTCGAAATCATGATTTGCGTCGTACTTGAGCTAGTAGTCGTTACAAGTGTGATAAATGTTTGCGACGTTGGCTGTGCGCTGACCGTGAAGCCAGGCGCACTCATTTGGCCGCTATTGCCAACTTCCATTGCGCCTTGGGCCGTTATTTCGGTTTAGAGGGAGTCAAGATGAAGCAGAACGCATGTGGAGGAGGAGAGATGGGGTCTGCAAACACAGCGGGGAATGGGAGGTTGGGGAGCAGAGGAGCATTCATCTTGGCTCGGCATTTTTTGTCTGTTGGCTGTTGGCTGCACATGCATCTCGACACCCAAAACTGAATTGTCCCCACCCCAATGCAGGATGCAGCAAATACAATGGGGCCCATGTTGGTCCTTAGCGAGCTGGCCTTTTTGTCTGGTTTTCTCTCTCTGTCTTCTGACATGGTTGGCGGGGAAGAGGTTGGTCTATGAGCTGCTCTGAGTTAAACCCCCCAGGCCATATGAACGTCTTACTGATCCTCTATTATCCGGGGCTGGTCTTGTACGTCATTAGTTAAAACGGGCGAACTGCAAGTGAAAGGCAGTAGGTAGTTTAGCAGTACTCAGTGACAAATCAACTCTCTTTTTCTAGCCATTCTGTGTTTGATTTTCCCATGTGATATTGTGTGGTGGCCATGTCAGAGCGCCTAAACGTAATAATTCATTATGAATCTGCTTTGTAGAAGGCTCTTGGGATCTTCCCCCTTGAGAATTCACTTTTCCTCTGAACGGATTTCCATACGTTACTGTTGGTTACACACCGCATTCACTCTCCTGTAACTTGTTGTTGACAATCACATTTGCAACAACAATAACAATGACAATGAAAACAAAAACACCGCGAGCATCTCCCATTACTCCTGTCTCGTGGATGGATTTCAATAATAAGTCCATCGTTTCATGGCCTCCCACATTGCCTTTGCTGCAGCTCAGACACCAAAATCGAAGCCAAAGACCAACATCAAACAGACGAGCGAATGCATTCGACAAAATGGACAGACATATTGACTTGATCCTCTCAGACAAGCCCACGGTCGAACGGAACGACCTCCCTGGCATCATCTGGCCCACGCAGATCCCTGGACTGACGGATGAAACGATGGCCAGATATGACTCGCGTGAGGAAGTCTCATCAGCCGTCCAGCGGGTTGACTTGATGTATGACGGTCTTACGCGTACCTACTTAGATAGACTGAGCAAGCTTTGGAGAGTGAGCATGCTGGTTTATCGCGAGAACCCGCTCTGGCTGCTGTCAGGCCATCGTGGCATGTCATGCCGTTCAGGACGGCGAGCTGAAAATGAAGACTCGACATCCGTCATTTTGCCACTCTGGACCCAGCGTTTCGTCGATAATCTCTCGAGCCTGATTCTTCATCCCTTTTTCTCATCGCGACAGAACGGCGCGTTTCTTCGACTGGCACTCCAATTCGCTGTCGCCTATCGGAGCCGCGACAATCGAGTCTGGGATATTTCCGCTCTGTTGTTAGAAGCAGGTGTCCAGTGCCCTGCCTTGACTATGCTCAGCGATGAGATGGCCAGACACGGTGCTACACGCTCTGTGGGTGGTGCAGGCGGCCGCATCTGGAAGATATCCGCAACAAGTGTCTACGAAAGACTGTCTACTATTTGTGGCCTGCTCGACGGCGGCATGTTGTCGGCCGAGGCCAGGTTCCTGCTGCAGCTGGGAACCGGAGGACGAAGAGAAACGGCGTCGACTCTTCGTCGAGATGCCCTGCCGGCCAACGAGCCCAGGCACGTTTTTCACGTAGCTACTGACGACCTGGAATTCATCTACAGAGCCGCAGATTTGGTGGCCAGCAATCCACCTAGCAAGAACGAGGCCAGCAGGGCATGCACTTACTACTGCGGACGCAACAGAATCCCGCAGATCCACAGGACCAACATGAAACCTCACTTCATGAATGCATACCGGCATGAGCTTTATCTGCTGCAGACTTTTAGAGATCGCATGGCTGGACTGAGCCTCGAAACTCCCCCTACAGCGATGCCTCCGGGAGCAATGCAACAAGTTCCTATGCAGTTCTCCATTCAGGGGCCGCCTCCGCCGCAGCAACAGCCTACACCCCTGAATGCGATGTCTCACGGCCAAATGGGTCTCCAAGGACAATACCAGGCTAGGGCTTGGCCGAGTCAAATTACGCTGGGTGCAGGGGACCATGGAGCGCACTTTGGAGCACCGCATACCTCGAGGCCACCGCCGCGGTCTATCCCAATTCGAGATGAGGATGCTTCCACATCAAGCCTTGGGCATCATCCGGATGCATTCCTGCCGAACCAGTCCACGGCCAGCGCAGGAGCACCTGAGGACCTACCGGCATGTACTCCCGAGGGCCAGGCTCTAGTGCTGTTGCTGCAGAATACCCGAGGCGTTGGAGAATACACTGACTCTGAGCCTCCGATGTTCGTCTCGGATTGACAGCTAGGCGCCAACATGTCCTATTGTTCGCGAAGAGTGGCTAGGCAGCACTCATTGGCTTTTGTACGAAGTGAAGATTTGCACACGGCGAAGACGAAATTGGGTCATCCAAGGGTATACTGGTCTGGGATCAGAGTATGGTTGAGAAGTAGGGTGTCTAGGTATTAATTTGTCTCACTCAAATTCGCCTGAGTGAGCCTGCTAGCTCCCACAGAATGCAAGTAGTATAAAAAAGAAAATCATCTCTCGTTCTCCGACGGCATCTGAACACCGTAGCGATACGTGAGCTATATTACCGTCCTAACCCTGGCTCTTTGTCTAGTTTCCATTCGTTTCTTGAGGTTGCAATCGCGCCATTTCAGCCGTTAGCAAGGTAGAGCCTAGTAATCTTCATAATTGTAGCGCTGTTGAGACCGTCCATACTGACTACATATTCGAAACCTACTATCTCTACCGCCTTAGGATTACAAATATAGAACAGCGCCGTGACCCGGCCATGGTTGACCAGATGGGCAAGTAGATAAAAAAAAAAAAAAAAAACTCCAAACTGTCTTGGAGTCGGTCATGAAAGTAAGTTGTAGAACATTGTTTGATTGGTGATGCAAGCCATAAGAGTAAGTCAATATAAACCACCCTTTGATAATTATGGTTGGTGACCTTGGCTTTATATGTCCTTGCTTAACAGGACAGGGAGACCCTTCTCTCCATTCTCTTTCTCATAACTGCTCCGTAACCATGGCCTCCCTAGTTGGCTCTTGGCAGCTTACGAGTGCGGTTCTAATCCCATTGCTATCCTCCAGGATGGCGACCATGCCAATCACAGCCAAGAGCCTAGGGTATTGTAAAACGTGTACATTTCACTAACAAGGGAGGCAATAGCGTAACACTTGAAAAAAGTACATTTCCAAGCCTGAACGCGTAGCTGTGACTACGTGCCATCTACTTCACAATGGGTTGTCAAGATCCCTGCAAAGCGTGGCGATTGGTAGGCTCGCCAGATCGTCGTCAATGCTTCTCCTTTAAGTTTAGCCAAAATCCTACGAGATGGAGGTAATTTTGCCAAGACTACTGACCGAGCCTCAAATAGCCATCTCTCCCCTAGATTGTTAAATACCATAATCTACATAGTGTGGCTATACAGATCCCATGAAGGCTAAAAATGGTGGTACAACCCGAAACGTAAGTAAACACGAGCTCTACCATGGAAAGCAAACTATGACGACATTGGAGAGAGACGTATCGGCCTCTATTTAAGCGAATAACTGCTTGATTTTTTTTATCATTCCAGTTGTTATTATTGTTCCCAACACTCCATTGTGTGTTCTTTGACATTACACCTTCTTCTTCTCGGCCTTCGTTCAGTTTTGTGCAGCATCTATCTGATCAGAACACGACATGAAATTCTCTACTCTACTTGCCTCCCTTGTATTGGGGGAGGCGGTTGCTGGGCAGTCATTTGTTGCTCCGCCTAAAAATATCAACGTCACTCTGTCCCAGAAGTTTCCCGGTGCCCAAATCACATACAAAGAAGTTAAGGGTATCTGTGAGACTACGGCAAATGTCAGATCCTATTCCGGTCATATCAGCCTCCCCAAGGACCTCATTCCCGATGCAACGGGATGGGAGGATGGTGTTTCGGGACATCTGCACTTCTGGTACTTTGGTAAGTCTTGCCCACCTGATTTAGTTGCTCACGACGCTTCTAACATGTTGAAATCAAGAGGCACGGAACAATGCGACAACTGCCCCAACTTCCATCTACCTTGGCGGCGGCCCTGGCTACTCTTCATTTGATGGCTCGGCCGTCTTCCCGTGCTACTTCAACGCAGATGGGAATTCTACAACCCTGAACAAGCACTCGTGGAATAACCATGTGAATATGCTTTATATTGACCAACCTTTCGGCGTTGGCTACTCTTACACCACTGCCCTCAACGGAACTCTCAACACCTTGGATCAAAGTTTCTCACCCGTAACTACTGAGGCAGAGCTGCCGGAGCTGAACTTGACGACAATCCAAGGCACTCTGCATGCAGGCGGTCCTGAGACAGTGACAAACACGACCATGTCGGCTGCCAGAACGTTTTGGAGGTTTGCTCAGGTTTGGTTCAACGAGTGAGTGGTGTCTTTAATCGAACATAATCTAGCGTTTGGCTTCATTCTCCCGATACAAACCGCTCTAAACCAGCTCTTGCATCCACTAACCAGTAGTAGATTTCCAGAGAGAATCACGACCAACGATGAGCTTTCCATCTGGGCAGTATCTGTAGGTAACATGTCTCACCATCACCTCATTGGCCTGGCCGCTAACTGGTTAATATCAAGTACGGCGGGCTGTATGCCCCTTTATTCACATCTTATTTCCTGGACCAAAACGAGCTCATCCAAAATGGAACGCATGAAGTTGTAAATGCGACCAGTTTTAACATGGGCACTGTTGGAATTATCGACGGCTTGGTCGAGATGAGCTCCATGGCACTGGGGTTCCCAGATTATGCTCGCAACAATACCTACGGGCTCCCAGTATACTCCGAGGACGTCTACCAAGAGGTTGTGAAAAACATCACCGCCCCTGAACAGGGCTGCCTCGCTTTGATTGACGGATGTCGAGTTGCTGCCGCCAAAGGCGACCCAGAGAACAAAGGTATCAATGTCGACGTGAATAAGGTCTGTAGTACGGCCAGTCAAGTGTGTTTTGGAATTATCCTGCAGAGCTTCGAAAGCAATTCGCCGGTCAGTTTTCCCACATACAGCGTCTCAGTTATTAGACTGACTGATAGTTAGTACGGCTATTTCGACATCACTTACAATAGACCTGCAACCTTTCCTTACGAGTACGAGGCAGCCTTCTTCAACCAGGCGTGGGTTCAGCAAGAACTAGGTGTACCACTCAACTATACGAGAGGCAGTCAAGCAGTCGAGACTGCCTTCTTGTCATCGACTGGAGACCCGATTCGTTATGGCTTTTCTCATCTCACGCGTCTTTTGGACGGAGGTGTCAACATAGCCATGGTCTACGGTGACCGAGACTACCGCTGCAACTGTAAGAGCGGCTCTAGCTTGAATTGGATACCTTAAGTGATTCTAACAAGAGATTTCACAGGGATATCAGCTGAAAACGCGTCTCTCCATGTCCCGTTTCAGTCGGCGGAAGATTTCGCCAAGGCGGGCTACGAACCCATCACGACCAACTCCTCCTACCAGGGCGGTCTTGTCCGCGAGCACGGAAAGCTCTCCTTCTCTCGAGTGTTCCAGGCCGGTCATAGCGCCGGTGGTTACCAGCCCGAGACCGTGTCGGTCATCTTCGAGCGCGCCATGTTCGGAAAGGATGTCGCCACGGGGAAGGTTGGCCTTGCGACAACGCTAGATTACAGTTCCAAGGGCGAGTCGAACATCCGGGGTGTTAAAAGTGAGCTTCCTGGCCTTCTCGAGAGCGTTTGTTATGTGCTGGCGCCTGAAGGTTCATGTACCGATGAGCAGATCAAGGCACTAGAGGATGGAACGGCAGAGACTAAGGATTTCGTGGTGACGAACCCCCCTGGAACGAAGGGTGAGCGTATGAAGGATGTTGACAATGGTAAAGGAGGGAACGACACCAATACGGGCGGTTCCGGTGGAGATGGAGGGTCGTCTCGCGCTTCAACGCTGATCAGTGGTGGTTGGATGACTGCCGCGCTGGCCATATTGGCACTTTTGATCGTCTAGAAGACATCTATCTTTCTATGTCCCCGTCTTGTCATAGAAGCGTGTCTGCGGTTTGGGCTATTGCACTAATTGAACACTCAATTGCATGAATTCCGGGCCGTAACCGCGAGGTTAGCTATTAAATCTACTGAAGTAGCAGAAATAATGTGATTTGAAGGAACATGTCTCATTCTCTTGGGATTAAAATCTGATTTTTATCTCCCTGACTAACCGACCCAAACGAATTCTCGTCATCACCCGGGCCGCTTGCCAATTCGATCCGTGCCGAGAAGGTCCTTCACCCGGTTCTCTTCCGGTATGGCTGACACATCAGACCAACTGAGCGTGGTGGGAACATTAAACCCCGGCTTGGACCATGCATACCAAGGAATGACCAGTGACGATAAATCTAACCTAGGTGGAGGCGAAACGTGGGCCCTGCTACGACCACTCGGTTCCTCTCCTACGGCTAGAATAGTCCTCATGCCCTGGGCAGTGGCGTCACTCATCCACATGCCCTCGATCCCCTTCGCCTCTGTCATCATGTTGATACCAGACTTCATGCTTTGGGTGGGGATTTCAAGAAAACTGGCAGAGGAAAGAACGTTAGGAGCTTTCAAGAAAAGACAATAGGAGTCGGCCTCTGTTCTGGACTAGGCATTATTGCATCAGAGGCGTGTGTTCATCGGCAGGTCTCGTGTCATGATTTCCAACTCCTCTCGCTTTTACCAGCAGACTCCTATCAAGAGTAGGACCCTTAAAGACGTCCTTGCGCGAAAACATCCACCCCGACCAGATGAAAAGCAGTAGACAAACAGTCACGATGCTAAAGAGTAAAGTCAGCAGCCAGAGTGCAATGCATGACGGGGTTATGTTATACCTGTTGTAATTCATATTGGTATATGTGATCGGGAAGGCTGTCGGCAAGCAGCAAGCAACAATAAGAAGCAGAGTCGACAGTGTCGAAAAAAGATTGATGGCATATCCAAACCGACCCAGGTCAAAATCCCTCCGTGGGAGACGTTCGTTTCTATCGATCAAAAGAAGAATCGCTTGCGGTATGACATAGGAGGATACCAAGAAGATGATGGATGCACTAACCATCAAGGCGAAGGCGCTTTCAGACTGAACAAATACGAGCCCATAGAGCTGCAAAGCTATTGTTAGATAGGAGGAAAAACCCTTTGACAGAACGGTCACCTACAATAGAAAAGCAGGCCTGCAAGAGAACCGCATTCATTGGCATTTCAAACCTGGGGCTGATTTGCTTCCACAGATCGGAACGTGGGAAACAGTCGTCGCGGGCCGCTGACCAGAGGGTTCGAGAAGATCCTGTAATAATCGCTACGGCACAGGCGAAAAAGCAAACTGTGAAAGCAATCATTAAACCGAAAGTGATGGCCCGGCTACCAGTAGCTTGATGATAGAGCTGGATCAATGGCAGTCCACTGGGCGCATCCAAAATGGCATCCATATCCTTGATGACGAACATGCAGGTGCATGCGAAAGGTATCACTGGGAGACTCCATCAGCATATGTTTGGGTCGGGATATTGATGCCAACTGCTAGTACCTGTGATAAGCCCAATCAGGACGGGATATATCTTGCACACACATCAGCCCTGGACAACGAGCCTCGCAACTGAAGGTTTATCAGTCGACCCCAAAGGCAACCTACAATCACTTTTGGGCCATTGACCGAGGGATTCGGAATCTCTTCCGTCATATGAGCCCCGGAGTCAGTGCCCAGAAACCCGTAAAGGCTATTCACGAAACAAAGTGTCCAGGTGTACGGGTGACTCGTCCACCCGGTTGAGATGGTGGTGTCTGTGAACACCCATTTAGCGGAATTGTAGTTGGGGTATGAGCACACAAGCATAGTGATCATGGTCACCAAATATGTTGCCAAGGAGAATGCAACTTCAATACCGGAGATTAGTATCTCGCCGAATGCATGAAATGATGTTGGAGAGAACTTACAAATGCATCTGTTGAAAGTGGGCAGAATCTGAGACCCAAGAATATTGAGGAGCGAGGCTGCAACGATGACGCCCACGTAGAGGAGGTACTTGTGCCAGGAGTAGACGACATATTCGGGGTACATGAACTGGACAATGGAGAGTATCATTCCCGAGATGAAGTTGGATGTACTAGCTGCACCTAGCCATGTGCCAATCACAGTAACAGCAGCAGTGCTAGGGATAGAATGTGGTGAGCGCGAAGAGGCCTTGGCAAAGGGCTTTCATTTACAACATACGTGTAGGAAATTAGCGGCGCACAAGATGGCGGAGAAAGAACAAAGGCCCAGTAATATTGGCCTCCAGCTACAGGAAAGGCAGATGTCAACTCGGCCATGCCCAAGGACACAACAAGGATCATGGTGGCTGCCGGGAGGAGCATGAAGATGGTGCCAGAAGACGACCCTTGGCTCAAGCCGCCTCCAATTGCACTACATTTCCGATTGTTGGTCACCTGCATCAGCCGCTGGGATCATTGGGGCATACCTTGCAAAGCCATTCCAAGTGCAGATCAAGGCGTAGGAGAGGGCGAGGAGGGAGAGCAGGGAGAACTGCCTGGGCATCTCCCGCTTGTACCCGGACGCGCCGAGTTGAGCATCATCGCTGTCGAGATCCTCATCACTACGGTTGGGTCGCATCATTTACGCTGGGAGAGCAGTCTTTGGTGTTCAATGGCGAGGGGAAGAGATGCCTAAGTCACTCAGTGATGACGTAGATGAGCTCCGAGACCGTGACGCGTCCTCCATGACCAATCGCGACAACCTACCCTAGAGCCCTTCACAGACCAACACATAAGCTCGATGTTGGAACCTTTCTTCCTTATAACTTAACATCTTCCTTTCATAATATAGGTGGAATATCTTGGCAGGGGCTGACAAAAAAGCCACACTACCTATTGCGACGCGATCCTTAGACATCCGCAAATTACAAGCCCATCATTCTAAAGCTGAAGATTACATGAGTCCTCCGGTATATCAGCTTCAATGTGAGCTCTTTTCTTTGGACCCAAGTCCAGTTCAAACATTAAAGTCCTATAAACGATAAGCATTGCCTTTCAATCCATCAAGTAGTGGGATAAAACCTACTGCACCTGGCATTTGTGAGGTTTAATGCCGATTTTTAGATGATCTACCCCTGGGTCCTGGAAATTGGTTCATAAGAAGGGAGGACGAACAGGGGTGAGACAAGCACATACTACACATAAGGCGCATCCCTTCTTAACTCGGACAGGAATGCATCAAATAGAATTACGGTTTATGTGGAAATGAGGGTCTCTTAGATGATTAAACAGCATTCGATGTTTGAAGATATGATCAGGATTGCCCCTACATATATGTCCAAGCCCTCTACTCTCTCGGTCCCGCGCTTTTACGCAGATTTGAATACAGCCAAAATTAAGAGACATAATCTTTAGCCTCTCTATTCTTTACAAGATGAATCTACACCTTTTTGTGGCTATCCTTGTTCCAGGAATCGTTGCCACTCCTTTACCCGATTCCGGAACTTCTCCTGTGCCGACACCAAAGCCAGCGTGCGCTGTACGTGTAACGGTTGAGCTTGTCCCTGGGAATATATGTTTAACTAACGTGGGAGATTTGTCGCTTGGTCGCAGATAAACTCGGTTTACAGTGACTGTGGCTCCCTTTGTCAACCTAGATGTCTGGAGGTAGAACCCCGGGTTTGCCCTGCTGTCTGCAGGCCTGGTTGCGTGTGTAAACCGGGCTATGTTTTGAACGTTGTTAGTATAATGAAGACCCAACTACTATTGTCCAAGTTATTCTAACAATCTTCAAACAGTTGGGAATATGCGTGCCCAAGGCGTTATGTATCTTTGACCTTTTGGGTTCTCTCTTTAACCAAAAGAATGCGGACGTTAGTGAAGTCGAGATCTCCGAGAACCGCTCTTGAAAAAGACGTGAGATTGGATTGAGAGCAGTCTATCTATTGAAACTAGGTTCTTTATGGCTCACAAGAAAACCCAAGTCGCTTCAAACACCAGTCCTCACCTAGTTGCTGGCTTCCTGCGCCAGCTGAAACTGGCTCACAAACCTTCTCTCTACAGGATTTCGCACTTCGGCATTGCCGTCTGTGTCAGCTTCTGCCTGGGGGCCCCATGCGCCGCCTCCAGGTGTATCGATGACGAACCAGTCACCCTTGGCTACCTTGAAGTCCTTGCGTCCACCTACTCTGCACCAGCGGCCGCCATCTCCACCCTTGACAATGTAATTGACACCAGACTTTCCGTCTTCGCCACCCTTCATGCCATATGGCCTTGTGACACGTCGTTCACTCACAATCGAGCATCCCATGTCTCTTGCAAACTCGTAGACTCTTCGGATGCCGTTGCCACCATTCCACTGCCCTTTGCCACCACTGCCATCTCGAATACTGAACTCTCGTAGCAAGATGGGATATCGCTTCTCCACAATCTCAGGATCGCAGATCTTGGTGTTCGTCATGTGAATATGAACGCCGCTGGTGCCATGCCAGCCGGGGCCTGCGCCACTGCCGCCGCAGATTGTCTCGCAGTAACCGAACCCAGTATCTGGGACCAGCTTGCCCGTTTCTGGATCAATGTTGCCATCAATGCCGAACGAGACCACGTTGCAGTCTCCTTGACTTGCAGCACAGGCGGCAAATGCCTTGATAACGACATCCGTAACTCGCTGCGACGTGATGGGGTTACCGGCGCAGACTGCAGCCTCATACGAGGGGTTCAGGATACTGCCCTCCGGGATTGTGAATGTCAGGGGACGCAGACAACCTTCGTTGAGTGGAATGTCCTGGTTGATGAGGCAGCGAAGGACGTAGAGCGTAGCGCTTCGTGTGATGGCCTGCGGGGCATTGAATGAATGGTAACCTTGCTCTCCGGTGCCAGTCCAGTCAAAATGAGCCGAGGCAGTCTTGGGATCGATAGTCACGGTCAGCTGGATAGGAGTTCCATCATCCATATGGTCCAGGGCGAAAAGAGGTTTTCCACCCGTCGCGGCGTGCGTGCGAAGGAGGAAGTCCCGAACACATGCCTCGGCGTTGTCCGTGATGGCATTCATGTTGAAATGCACTGTACCAACGCCGTGCTCTGCGATAAGCTTGGAAACAAGCGCGGCTCCCTTAGCGTTTGCAGACACCTGGGCCTTGAGATCGTTGATGTTGTCTGCCAATTTCCTGGTACCAGAGCAGCCGGGATACTTGGCGGGTTCCTCGAGCATCACCCTTCGGATCATCTCTTCGTCGAACACGCCGTCACGGACGAGGAACTCTGAGATAATGGCTGCGCCCTCTTCGTAGAGCTCCACGCTACCAGCTGGCATGGAGCCGGGCAGGATACCGCCGATCTCCTGATGGTGACCACGAGAAGCGGTGTAGAAAATAATGTTTTTCCCTTCATTGTCAAACACTGGTGTGACGCAGGTGATGTCTGGCAAGTGGGTGCCGCCAGAGATGGGGTGGTTGGCAACAATGACATCGCCAGGCCGGAGCTGACCCTCGTATTTCTTGTGCTGATACATGACGGCCTGTTCCATTGAGCCTAGATGAACTGGGACGTGGGGAGCGTTGGCAACCAGCCTGCCGTCGGGACTGAAGAGTGCACAGCTGAAATCAAGACGCTCCTTGATGTTGACTGAGACGCTGGTTTTCTGGAGTGCGTGTCCCATTTGTTCCGCAATGCTCATGAAACGGTGTGCCATCACCGTGAGCTGAACTGGGTCTACCTTCTTCTTGTCCAAAGCGACTTCTTCCTGGAGCTTTGAAGACGCCTTGAGATCTAGCTCGAGGACGACGTGGCGTTCTAGGATGATAGCCTTGGTTGTTGGGTTCACAACAATGGTTTGTGTGTTGTCTAGGATAATGGCCGGTCCCTGGATCATATCTCCCTTTGCCAACGAGGTCAAGAAATAGAGAGGGGCCTCGGTCCAGCCTCCCTCGAAGAAAATCTTGACCGTATCTGAGACCTTGTCAACTTTGACGAGAGTGGGAGACGAGCTCGAGAGCTGCTTCTCTAGGTTAAAGGATGGCTCCACGGAGGGGCTCTGAGCGGTGGCTCGAACTCGGACATTTTCGACGATGATACCACGGCCAGCCATGATGAAAGAAAATTGCCTCTTGTGTTCGGCCGTGAAGGCTTCACCCCATGCCCCATTCTCTGGGCGTGGGATCATGAAAGTGGTGTCAGAGCCCACATACCGCAGATTGAGGAAATGCTCAAAGACCAGAGATCCTCTGGCTGCCCCATCGGATACAAGCTTCTCCGCCGCTGTTGACTCCAACTCTTTGAGTCGGAAATCCAGCTCTTCAAGAGATCCATCGAGCTCAACTGAGCAAGGCTGCTGAATATCATGAACTACTGCAGTTAGTAAATGCAGGCAAGAGAAGACTGGTAATAGGAGAAAATAACTCACCAAGGTCAGCAAGTGCCATTCCGTAGGCAGACAGAATCGAAGAGTATTTGTGGACCAAAATCCGGTCGATCCCCAAGTTGCTGGCGATGGCCTAGATTTGCCAATGTCAGCGTCTGATGCAATTGGAAGTCGTGTTCCGGGGTACTTACGCATGCGTGCTGTCCACCAGCGCCTCCAAACACGGCAAGCTCGTGATCCGAAGTACGATACCCTTTCGCCTCTGTCAAAGACCTAATTGGTCTACACATGGTCTCGTTGGCAACTTGGAGGAATCCCAGCGCAAGCTCCTCCACGGTCTTTGTCTTGGCGCCGGTGGCTGCGAGATCTGCGTTTACTTGAACGAGCAGCTTCTCGAATGCGGCTCTTGCACCGTCGTAGTCCAGGGCCTCATTCTCCTCTGGGCCAAAGATCTTGGGGAAATAAGCGGCCTGGAGACGTCCAAGGACCAGATTGGCGTCTGTGACTGTGAGAGGGCCTCCTTTGCGGTACGCAACTGGACCAGGATGCGCACTTGCAGACTCTGGGCCAGCAAGAAGAAGACCATTCTTGTATGAAAGAATGCTGCCACCGCCTATGGAGAAACAAGAGCAAAAAGTTAGTCATCTCGTCATCCCATCACTGAGAGGGTGTCACTTACCAGCTGCAACGGTGTCGACTTCTAATTGGGGAGACTGGATCGTAACACCGGCAGTAATGGACTCAAAAGTATGCTCCAATGTGCCCGCGAAACGGGAGACATCGGTACTGGTACCGCCCATGTCAAAGCCAATCACAGGCTTCTTGCGCTCCGTGTCGTAGCAGGTTCGGCTGAAGCCCACAACGCCTCCGGCTGGGCCAGACAGGATGGCCTTCAGTCCGCTGAAGCTTTGCCATCCGACTAAGCCGCCATCGCTCTGCATGAACTCACAGCGTGCGCCGTTGGCATCCTCAAGGTTGCCCACGAATCCTTTTCGGAAGCCGTCGATGTAGGCTTTTGTTAGAGGGGTCAGGTAGGCATCAGCGGTGGCGGAGTAGCCTCTTGAAATAGCCTTGATCATCGGGAAGATTTGTGACGACAAAGATATCTGCGTGAAGCCAATCTCGGAAGCTATCTCTGAGAGTTGGAGCTCATGGTCTGGGAAAGTGTATGAATGGAGAAGAGTCACGGCAAGAGCTCTCACACCCTTGTCATATAGCTCCTGTAACCCCTTTCTGGCACCATCAGAATCTACAAGAGCCTGTTAGAATAATTCCAAATATTT